AGTCCTTGAGTGTCTTCCAAACAATTTCCTGCCCTTCCCTACGAGTGCCATCAGAGCTTTTGACATTAAGGGAGAGGGAGAGCAAGGGTGCGCGTAGCTTCACCTTCTCAGGACTCCGAGCATTCACACCTAGTGTGCATAGCATCCGGCGCACATGCCCTCAGCACTGGGTCGTCCTGTATCGAGCTACACTTATTCTGTCATCATTAGGATGCACGAACAGACAAACGAATTAGTTGCTTATTTACGAGTTCTCACCTAGCTACATCTAGTGCAACAGGAAGTGTTTTGTAAAATGTTGCCTTCTAATTCATTCTTACAGCTGCAAATTTTGAGGAGCGCGTGCAGGGGAAGGCAAGACTTTTGTTGCAAGCCACTCAGTACGTTTAAATGAGTTTGTAACGAGTCTGGAGTTTAATGTCTCACCATGAAGACAATAGGAGGGCAACAAGCTCCCTCTTCTCAAGTGGTAAGTATAGATTAAGGAGAGGAAGGAAGAACACAAATCGCTTATAAGGGTACTAAGTAACTTTTCTATAAGTGCTGTATCTGGCTTGGGAAAAAGTGACTCCCTATCAAAACCCTTTAGAGCAACTGAATTTGTAGTGATACTTTTGCAACTTAGCACTTAGTATTGCACGTGTTATTCACTAAAAATGAATTTGTGCTGTGCAACTGTATTCGCAGTGGGCGTTTGTATACGCATTCAGAAGTTGAGTTGCTGCGTTTCTCCCCGTTCTCCGCGTGCCACATCGGCCCCCCGCATTGAGATGGCCTCGACTTATCCTTGTTGCCTGTGCTCCTTCAAATAAAAAGCAACATTCTATTTCTGGGGGCAGCAAATATCGATCCCAGCATGAAGTAAATAATATGACAGTTTTTGCATAGAGAGTGCACGCACGAGGGATGGGACAATACGCAATGTACACCAGCTAGCAGGCCAACAGCACAGGCTGTTCGACGGGGTTGACCGTACATTCCAGCAACTGACCACGAAAACCTCCACAATAGGGGTAAATTAAATAAAGACATGCCATGGAGGGCGACAGACACTGCAGCAGCTTGCCTTGGGGCTGCAAGCGATTGCCTGGCCCAGCTGTCTGTGTGGGTTTGCCAATTAGGACAATTGATAGCATCTAACTTTTGTTATTCAAGTAGGCAGTGCAACCGTTTTATCACTTTTGACATAACGGACAAGGAGCCTTTCTCATTGAGGTGGCTCTCTCGCAGCAGCTGGCGGTTTCGCATGCGCCCCCCTCCACAAACTTTTGCGAAGAAAACCCTAAAGGAACACACATTTTCTTCTTCCGTAGACTGCGATTTCTAGAGTGCGGGCGCACCCCGATCGTGAGTCACCGCCTGATAGGCGGCCCTTCTCTCATTCTCTTGGTTCATTCACTCGTCTTTATCGTTTTGCCTGAACAAGGCTTTTCCGTGGCAATATATGTACAACCTTTCTCCGCTCGAGGATGTCAGAAGGTCAGTACTCGTTCAGCCTCACGACCTTCTCGCCGAGCGGGAAGCTGGTGCAAATTGAATATGCGTTGAACCGCGTGCAGCAAGGAGCCCCCGCCCTGGGCATTAAGGCCAGGAACGGGGTGGTTCTAGCAGCAGAAAAAAAACTTCCCACGCCTCTGCTTGAGGGTGAAACTATTAGCAAAGTGGACAACTTCACACCCTCAGTTGGATGCGTGTTCGCCGGAATGCCAGCGGACTTCCGTGTGGTGCTCAAGAAAGGCAGGAAGGAAGTGAGTGCGAATCCCCCCCGTCTCCCCCCACAAAAGTAGTACCTGCAATGCAAAATGAAAATTATGTCTGAACACTCCACCTCCGTACTTCCTAAGGGTTCTACCTGCACTCCCAATGCCTTCTGTGTGCACCCCATTTTACCGTCACGAAGCATACACTAGGGATGGGCTTTGCAGTTTCCACTTATGATACTGGTTCTAGGGATGCGGTCGGTGTCGATATTCGGTAACACGGAAAGTTGAGTCTGCCAAGGGTTGATTTTAATTCTGTCGGTGGGCTGGAGTTGTGTTTTGTCAGGCAGCCGCGTATGAGCTGTACTACAAAACCCCCATGCCCACGAATCAGCTGGTGCAGGGAGTGGCCTCCGTGATGCAAGAATACACCCAAAGCGGGGGAGTCCGCCCGTTTGGAATTTCTCTGCTGGTTGCAGGGTGAGGCGAGCGCATTGGATCAGCTGGACGAGCTAGCAACGCTCCCAAGACAGTCAGCGTGCAGTGTACGTGTAGGATGGGTGACTTTATCGGTGGCTGTGGCGCATCTTGCCTTTGTAGGTACGACGATTTCGGGCCACAGCTCTATCAAGTCGATCCTAGCGGTGCCTATTTTGGGTGGAAAGCCTCAGCGATCGGCCGAGATATGCAGAATTCCAAGACATTCTTGGAAAAGCGGTGAGGCCTCGAGAATTTTCGGACGCCCATGAGGCACATCCCGTAGTAGTGCGTATTTCCCAAGTCGTTTTTCGCGTTTTTCGTATAGAGTTTAGGGCTGCACCAGCGTGGATTCTCACATTTGTTGCCAAAAGCGGTTTAAGGATGCCTCCGTCGGAGGCGGGAAGGCATGGCTGTAGCGCGGTTTCATCATACCACATTTGCATCTTCACTTTGTCGATTGCGCTTCTACTTTTAAAAAACTTTGCCGCATAATGTCATGAGCTAGCGTGTGGCTAGGTGTCGTGCGAATGAATGTGCAGCTACAGCTCAGACATTGAGCTGGAGGATGCAATTCACACAGCTATCCTCACACTGCGGGAGGGCTTTGAGGGGGCCTTGACGGAAAAATCTATTGAGATCGGCATAGTGGGGGAGGACAGGAAATTCCGAGTGCTGACTCCCGCCGAGATCAAAGACTACTTGAGCGAAGTAGAACTCGGTACGGCGTGAAGGAATTTTAGCCAGGAACAAGGCACGGGGTGAGGAGTAGCGACGCCAGCAACACCGCGGCCCAGAGATATTACAGCTTTGCATTTGTACCTTAGTGCATCTTTGAAACTGACTCAATGAATGTTGCACTACCAGTTGGCAGGCAGTTCTGCGCTAGAATACTGTGGCGGACTAGTGGGTGCTCGGTAGCCAGGAGGTTGGATGAACGCACTCAAATGGGTACGGGGAGGCCTGCTGCAAGGTACTCCTGAAGCTGTCATAATAGCACATGGAAGCTCGGTTTGCTATTTTACCCCACTACTGTCTAAGACGGACTGTTTGTAAAGGGCTGATAGTGCAGGGAGCTACGGGATTGCTGCTCTGCATCGAAGCACGTGCCACCTGAGAAGATGCAGGAATAGTTCATGCCTACTGAGGGAACACATCGCGAGGAAAGACGACTTACATGCCCTAACAAAACCGAGTCACTACAGTTTATTTATCATAGCGAGAATCCCAAACAAAAGTAGACCGCTGCTGTGGTGTCGCCTTTGGAGCTTCCATAGGGAAACGCTTGTAGCCCCCCAAAGCCTATGCAAAAACTTAGTGAAAAGCTGTGGCATGCCCTTAAAAAGAGCTGTCTCCCCCCATAGCGGACTAGGCAACATTTCAACACTCCTAGTACACTATATTTAACTAGTAATTAATAGAGAAGTATTGTTTGATGGGGCCGTGTACAGGTCTTTTGTGTTTCACAGTATACGCCAGTTCAGTATAGTCCGAATAAGAGTTGTGTGCGTGTGCATTAAATGCTATATGCAGTTTGGTGTAAATGTGAGGAGTGCTTAAATAGTGCAGCGGCGCTCATCCTAGCTGCACCTCTCACCTCATGCTGGGAACTTAAGGAACGAAGCAGGGGAAAAAGATTAGCTTGAGAAGACACTCAATGACTTTGTATTGGGTTTCTGTTGAGTTTGGGGTTAGGTGTCTCTCTGCGAATCCCTTAAAGAAAGTTTTACATAAAAACCTCATCAGCTGCTTGGGACGTCGCTACTCAGCAGCGCTGTAAGGGAAGGAGGTTTGGAGCACGTATCCAATTTCACTCGTTTGCAAACGCCTCTCCTGATAGGGTAATCTAGTGTAGACTTAGCGGCGGAACAGCAGGACTGGGCAGAAATCAAGATGTTTGCGGAAGCGCTACATAATCGTGTGCTGCCGGCAGGTTGATCACCGGATGGTCGTCCGGTGCATCACATATAGCTAATACCCAGGTCAGCTCCAAGTTGTATTCCGCTGTATCGGAAGGCCTCCAGCATGCAGATGAGATTGAGCGGTAGGCAAGCGATTCGTTGATAAAGGCAAGCTGCAGGAATTCACCAGCACGTACTGGCTCAACCTGGTGTTGGCGCTGAAAAAGGATGGAAAAGTGGCGCATGTGCGGTAACTCTACTTTCCTGAAAAAGGCCACTGATATGCGGAAGCTTCTGATGTCTCAAAGTTGCGAACTACTTAGCATGTTACACGAATGAACAGTGTACTCGACATCTCACTTTACAGACGCTTACTCAGAAACTATCTTAAGCCTGATGAAAGGGGCGAAAAAAGGCGCTCCAAACTTGCGCCACAAGAGAAGAGAGGAGCAGCTAGGGTGCCCGTAGCTGCATTCTATAGCCATTCTGGGCAGTCACAAGTAGTTACGCGTGTCATGCAGCCCACACGTACGCAGCACTGAGTCTTGTGTATCGAGCTACCAATACTCCGAGATATATCTGCAGTATATTGAACAAGCGTATCACTAAGTCAACACCTTGCTTATTCTTAGTCAATGTAACGCGTTGTACACAGTGTTTCTAGATGTAGCTTAGCCCGCTGCCAAGGGAAAGCTAGTGTGCATGGCTTCTGCTGCACCCTCTAAGCAGTCCAAGCACTTGCACCAAGTTGCACCTAGCAACCTTCAGCAAACGGGAGCGACGCGTAAATTCTTTTATTGGGCTAATACGGAGGGAAATACAACTCAAGAGCAGCCAAGACAAACAAATATCTGCTGTGAACCGTTAATAAGCATACCCAACGTTGCAGAAAGTACCCACAAGTGGCTTTCGGCTAGGTGTACTTGCCTCTACTTGGAATTCTGTTGTTCAATGATCCCTCTCACAGCTGCTGAAAGTGGAACGCTCGCTGACCCAACACCACGCAATTAAAGCTACCCAGCTTTCAGGCACCACGGTGGCCAGTCATAATAAGTAGCAGCTGCACACTTGGATGTCTTTTCATCACCTAAGGAAGAGGCATCTGCTACCTATTCACAGCTAGCCATCAAATCATCCCATGCCATCTTGAATGTTGAATAAAAAGCTGCTTGGCGGGCTAGGCGGAAAGCGAGTGCGATTGAAGCTGCCAAACTTTTGGACACCCCGGTGGCTAGTCACAGCTAGGAGCAACTGCACATTGGAATGCCCTGTCATCGCCAGAGGAATAGGCATCAGGTATTAGTTCACAGCTAGAAAACAACTCGAAATCCGAAAAAACAAAATAACGCTTAGAAATGATAGGGCAGTCGTTTAAAGGCGCAGAAAGAAGTTCTCCTGCATTACGGACGAACAGCCTCCTCCGGAAGTTTAGGTCAAATGACAGGAGTAAACCCATTGCCCCCGATCTTGTGAACAGGCCAAACGAAATAAGGGCAGTAAAACGGATAAGAGCTGTACACAACTCTTTTGTTGTCCTTATGGGATTAGTATGTATGGATATACAAGGAGAAGTCTCTGGCCACGCCACTCCAGTATTTTTGGAGGACCCCTAAAACAGCAGGGCTGTGTTTACGGACAAGGGGTGCAGACCTTTTAAGCAAAGAGCGGCTATTGCACTTTGCGCTTGGCCGCACTCTGCTTTGCAAATCAGGTGGCTCGCTTGCCAAAGTACCGTTCTAGAATTGGGCACCGGTACAAAAAAGCCCACCTTGCACCGCGTTCAGTGCGCACACAAAACGGCAGCGACACAGTAAAATATACCGCAGATGCGTGGCTCATTTCATCACTCTCAAGCTTATCCTAGTCCACTCTCCTCGCAATTCAGTTTTCGAGAACTATACTACAAAGGCCAATACAGCGGAACTCTCCACAAGCAGGCTGCGACTACAGCTCTTCTTGCGGCTGCACCCTGGTCCCTGACAGCTGCTCTTGCCCTGCCATGTGTGGCGGACGACACTCTGCACCGGAGGCCGCCATTTTTGTTGTGCGACGACGAGGGAGCACCAATAGTAGTTGTGATTACAGAAATTTGCATCTCTAGTCGCACAAAGAAGCGCTCTCTGCGTGGCTGCCTCTGTAGGAGTGCATCCATCAGTCAGTCACCTGGTGGGCTCCTCTCAAATGCAGCTCTCAAGCCCGCGATCAGCATCCTTCAGGCCTTCCAGGTGTGTCATGCGCCCACTTTCGGCATCCCCCGTCCCCCCACTCCTCGCCCCACCTGTGGCCTCCGAGTCCACCTGGGCCCCATCGGTCTCCCCAGCTCTTTCCAGTGCTTCCGGGAGAGGATCCACCTGGAGATGAAGGGGGCCCCTCCTGCCAGTGCTGCGCCCACTTCTGACCGCTGCCATCGTCGAAAAATTGCTCTCCCCACCGCTCCACACGACGAGCGCCGGACGCCGATGTCGCCTCCTTGTGAGCTGTCTTCCACCCCCACCGCTCCTGCCATGTTTCCAGCCAGCTCTCTCCCTGAGGGCACACGCTCAGGAAGCTGCACACGGACTAGAAGCCCGAAGCGCTGCAACGAAAGGCGCAGCGTGGCCACATGCGCTCCGACAAGGAAAAGCAAAAATGTCGCTTAAAGCTTCTTCGCAGTCTGACTGCGTAGCATTGCAGTTGGGGAGCACCTGAGCATTGCTTCCCTTTTTCTCTGCCCAAGTTTCCGTCTTCTGATCTCCATCAAACGTTTCACGCCAGCGTTCTTCCCACGCATCTCCTTGCCTGCGACAAGCCCCAATTATACGCGCCAGGGATCCAAGCCGTCTCCACAGAAAATCCCAATACACTTATAGGCGGAACAAGGAGGAAAGAGGGAGAAGGCTCTTTTGCATCACATAGCTTTAAAGCAGGGGGCTCCTCCATAAAGATTCCTAGCTAAGCCCAGAGCATGTCTTAGGAAAGGGTCAATTTACCTATTCCAGCCCGTCTTCTCCGCATCTTTCTCTTGGGGGGTTTCACGCCAGCGTTCCATCCACTCACCCTCCTCATTTCCTCCCCGTTTCACTGCCCACTTCTCTTCCAAGCCATCAACCACCCCAAATCGCTCTTCAAACCAGGAGGTCACTGCTCTGTCGCACTGGTCTCTATAAGCACACAACACACGGGCAGGCAGCAGCAGCAAAACATCAGCACATTCAAACTCATCCAGATACGATACACATGAAGGTCCACGAAAATTTCGCAGGCCCTACAGAGAACACCCCCATAGAGGTATTCCCTGTGTTTCATTACCCGTCTCGTTGCACTGTACTCCATGTGAGGCCCTCAATGCTGCCTTCTCCCCATTCCTGTGCATCCTTCCTCCCCTTTCCCCCTCGAACTTGCTAGCCGAATAGCCTCGCTATCCCCATCTCCCTGTCCTGTGCAGGTTCGGTCTCTACTATGCGCTTTCTCCCCCTCCCTGTCTGTCTCTCTCTTGACTCTACTTCGCCCCAACCCTCCAAACCCCCGCCCCTAGCCCGTGTCTTGCAGTCCGCCTTAGTGCCGAAGCCTACGATCGTATCCATTCGTTGCCTTCTTTGAGAGTCTGTTCATCTCCGTTCGCGTGCCGCTCGACCTTCTCAATAAACTTCTCCCCACAAAACCAATGCTCTCGCTCCCGCCACTGCTGCTGCCACTCCTTGCTTTCGGCAGTACTGCTGCCGCTGCTAAAGCCCCAGCGCACTGCACCCCCTTCCCGTTCTCTGTCCGGTTCCTCCCAGCTCTTGTCCACCCAGCTATCGCTGCCTCCTGGCCCGCATCCCCACGACTCCCGCCACTGTGTGCCATCCACCTTGCTCCCGAACTTCTCGCCTGCACTCAATAGACCCCACAACTCGTAGGTACCTCTCCACCAAATTGATCGGTGAATGCGCACTTGGCACCAGGGTGAGACTGCTGTCAGGGGCTGCAGAGGCGTCGATCGTAATTCACTGGCCTGCGTTGCACCCCTTGAGCCATGCGCCAGAATCAAAGGGTAGGGTTTCAGGGCGGCCTATTTGTAGTTTGGCTTCGCTGGACCTTTTTTCGAGCCATCAGGCATTTCCTTCCATCTGTCAACTTGCTTCTCGCCGCCGTTGTCGTACCAGTTCTCCCGCAGCACCGCGCCGCTGTCCTCTACCCCCCTGGCGGAAATTCCATATGCAATATACGTAGGGTTAAGGGCCCTAGAGTTTCAAATGCATGGCCCTCTCTTTTTACGCCTTCACAGGGACCCAAAAGGCCAAAATATCTTGTAGATGACTTGGAGTCAGCTCATTGCACGACTTACTCTTTCGTTCCCCAAGAGTTCCCATGCGCTTCGCGCCACCACTTGTCGTCAAACCGCCTTCTTCGACGTAGCGGCTGTGTTTGCAGTACAACAACCTCACGGGAGGTCACCTCGCCTCCTGGCAGCTGAAGCGCCAACAGCAATTGGAAGACCCAGAAAACGCGCAACGGCGCTGCGCGGTGAAAGCAACAACAAGCTAGCGTAAACTCGGCAGCAGACAGAGTGGCAGCAGCAACAAACACAGGTCGGCTGCTTCGTACAAGGATGTGCAAATTGACTCTTTGTTGCCCCGCCTCCGGCTCCTCCGTCTCTGTCTCCGGTATTTCTTGCGTTTCCTCCCACTGCTCGCCCCATTGCATCCCGTCTTTCCGTCGGCTGCCCTTCTTTCGTCCCCAGAGGTTCTGCGCAAATACCGTAGCCTATAGTCGAGGTCAAAGGCCTTTATTCCCAAGCCTTAGAGGCGCTAAGCGGCGAGTGCAGCGTCACTCACACCCACTGACAAGTCTAGCTGCCGCGTGTCATGCTCCTGTCGCTTGGATCTGTGTGTGGCTCCTGAACACGTCGGCGCTTTCACGCGCACGACTGCTGCTGCTGCTGGAGCTACTGCAAACACCGCTACTTGCCTTGCTTGTGATGAATGCATCACCTCCTTGGTGCTTCACGAGGGTCTCCTCCACCCACAAGTCCGCCGAAAATTCATCGCCGGTGTCTTCCCACTCTTCATTGGCGACCTACATGCGAGGGAGACAAGGGAAGGCGGCGGAAACTCGCATAAAAGGAGTGAAGCGCCTAGCAGGGCAACTGGTTGCATCTGCAAGGCTCGGCAGAGCACAATGCCACCTGTGTAGCAGTAGATAGGGTAACAGCATCATCAGCATCCAACTCCACTTGAACGGTAGCTGACCTCGACAGAAACGACCTTGCCATCTGAAAATATCTGCGTCTCTTTGCGTTGGCTGCCCCGTGCTTTACCAGGCCCACCCTCAGCGGGCCGGACCCAAGTGTCTGTACACTCCACGGCGCAGCCCTCTTTCACAGTCACTTGCACCCTGCGTCAAACGCCACCGCAAACAGATGTACAGAGTCGCAGGGTTACAAGCCTTAGACCGCAGACCCCCAACCATCGACTTGTTTGATCCTTTACAACCCCCGTCCATACCAACCATCCTAACTTCCCCTGGGCGACAAACCGCACTCGCGACAACCTCTCAAACTGTGCAGAGAAACTCCAATACCCTCCACCTGGAGAAGCCGTATAGAGCCTACGTGGTGCAATACTCCTCGAGTTGGTTATCGGGGTGAGACCTTCTAACGCCCCTGCGCTCCTCCATGCGACTGTTTTCCGTCCGCCTCCGTCGAACGGAATCTCGTGTCGCATCAGGTTGTTCCTGCCACTCTTCTTCCCAAGACGTTCCGCTGCAATACACACAGCACACTCCAAAAGCCTTCGCTGAAATTCCTTTGCCCTTACCTGCCTGTCGCACCCCACCCCCACCCCACGCATTGACCTCTGTCGCAACTCCGCGTAATTCGCCCTCCCCACTGTCCGCCTTCCCTCCTGCCTGGCCTAAAAGCTCATGCAACCCTCTTATCTGTTCTACAGGTGGCTGCCTGGACGGAGCGCACGGCTGTGTGCACCGAACGCCTCCCACAGGCCTCGCAATTGGCTAATGCCCAGCAAGAAACTCTCGCCGAGAAGCAACACGAAAAGAGCAGCGTGAGCGCGGAGGAACGCGCTCCCGAGAGGCCTCCGATGCATGCAAAGGAAGCTTGTTCGACGTGTCAGATGCCACAGGAGGGTTGTGATAGTTACCTAGGGTCTGTTCCTTTCTTGGTGCCGGTCTTGCTCCCGTCGCTGTGAAATGTTGTTTCTTCGCTCCAAGCCTCTTGACCCCCTGCTGTCTCTCTCCAGAGCGCCCGGTAGAGTACTCGGCCGTCTGCCTCTCTGCGCTGCAACCGTCCCCGAGTTTCAGACCCCCGTGTCTCTTCAAACAGTTCCAGCTCCTGGCCTGGAGAAAGACCATCTGCTGCTGCCGCGGCAGGCGTGGCTGCTGCCGCTGCGAGCAGCTCTTCTACTGCCTGCGCTGAAGCGCCTTCAACCTCCTCAGTCTCTCCCGCGACCAAAGGCTTCCTTCTCAGCACACGAAGATTCCAGTGCCTGCCCTCCCCTCTCTGATTGTCCGTTCCTCGCTTGTTTATCCTAATGATACCCGTCAGCCTGTCCTCCGTCTCCTCCTCCTCCCACACCTGCAAGATAGCCTGCTCGCGCTCCTGTTCCCCTTCTTGCTCCTCGTCCTTGTGCTGAGGCCGTAACTCCTGCACAACCTTCTCCACTCGGCGCTCCCGTGCTGTGTCTTCCCACCGGGAAACCCACCTGAGGTGACCCCGCACCCCACACAAAAAGAGCGAGCGGCCTCTAAATTTTTATACCCCTGAACCCTCGCCGAAGTCAAGGACGCACGCTAGCTGCTGGCTGCCAACTTCTTCGCGCTGCGTGCTGAGTCCCCTTCCCAAGAAAAGTCTCCCTCGCCCCTCTTTGTGCATGTGGCTCTGCTGTGTGGCTCAGAGCCTTCGAAAAAAAAACCGACCGCTCATTGGTTCTGTAGTTTCGACCTTGGCTTTGCCCAAACTCCAACACCCTGGCCTGCGGCTCTTGCTGAGGGACTGTCTGGACAGCCCACTTTTCGACCCAACTGCCGTCATTTGCTTTCTTTCTTCCCCACCGCAGGTTCCCGTTCTCCGCGCTGTCGATCTCCTCGTAGAACCCCTCGTGCTGCACAGACACTGTGTTGCTGCCGCCGCTGCCGCCACTGCCACTGCCCAAATGCAGCCGCGCAGGAAGTGCAACATTGAAAGAAGGCTGGGATACAAGGCCTACAAGCACACCCACCGCAAACTCTTACCCCAAGGCCTGCCTGCTCCCTCACAGCACGCGTCTCCGCAAACGTACAGCCTCCTTGTAGCCCTCTATACTACACGCGCTTCGAACTTATCGCCAGCGCTGCTTACCTTCGGGATGCTGGCTTCGCGAGACAGCTCCAGTTCGTGGATGCACAGCTAGGCGAAGAATAGGCGTTGGTTGCTGCTGCCTCTGCAGCAACTCACTGTTGATCTCTCCCGTTACTTCTATCTCTGTCTTGCTGCCATCGGCTAGCTGCTGCAGCAATACAGCCCCCCTGCCGCCCCTCTGCCTGCTGCTACTGGTAGCACTCCTGCTGCTGGTGCCTCTAGGGGGGAATCCGCTGCTGTCTCGCGTGGGACTGGTGCTGCTGCAGCTGCCGCTTGCTGCAGTCGTGCTGTCCATACGCCCCAGATTACTGCGACTGCCGCTGCTGGTAGCAACTGCGCTGCCGGCACTGGTGCTGCTGCTGTCATTGCTGGTGCTTGGAGGCTTCTTGAGACGTAGGACAGGAGCACCAGGTGCCGAGGCCTCCTCTTCAGACCCATTTGACGCCTTGGATGGGATACCCATTGTTACTCCTACTGCTGATGAGGATGATGGGGCAGCTATTTATCGTGTTCCTGCTACAGATACTGCTCGGGTGTCAGCACGGGCGCTACCATGCTTGGGGGTGGTAGTGCCGTAGGAGCTTTCGCAAACTTACCCCCGAAACGCTCGTCGGATTCCTTGTTCTTTCGATGGAGTTCCAATGGTTCTCGCTGTGACTACTGCCGTTGCTACACCTGCGCTCGTTACTGTGGGCTACAAGGAGACACGGAGCCTGCGGTGCGAACTGTAGAAATAACTGTGCACACTGTCATGGATTCCACTTGCTGCAAAACTATCAGAATTGCCGATGTACTGATATTGGTAGCCCAATCGTTACCATTAGCGGCAGCTGCAGAAGCCACAGCTGAGGCTAATTGTGCGCAGCCGCCGCGTGCTGTCCCGTCGCTGTCTCCGCTACTGTCTTCAGCTGCCTTCTGCTGCCATTGCCACCCTTTATCTCGAAGATTATCTTGCCTTCATATAGTACCGATTTCTGCGGTGGGGATTTGGTTTGGACCCCTCGGACTCCCCCAATTAGGGGCCCCAAGTCGTATACAGCCCTACACCACTCCGAAATCGAATCCTCAGTGTCAATACCAAGATATTACCGTTGCACTTCTTGTTGGATCCACTGTGTTGTTGGCACTACATTTTATTGCGTGCCGCCATGCATTGACCAAGGGAATTTATGGGCGGTGTCTCCTATCGGCCTGTCAGTTTGCCAGTGTGTACTGTAGAGCAGGCTCAGTGAGCGCCCTGTCAGTTTATGCTTGAGTAACACCGCTAAAAATGGCTCTGCCGCTTGAATTCTCCTTCAAGACATCATTTTATGCACATGACATTGGCCGGTCTCATGAGATCTTTTCCGTTTGGGGACCGGCGAATGGTGATTTATTGACTACGTACTTGTTTCGCAGCGGAGATATTCACACACGCACTTTCTACTATAACCTGGCATTTGATTAGGAACTAGTAAAAGATTTACTATTTGGCTTGGCTGTTTGTATGTCAAATCTGCTGCAGAGTAGAGTTAACCCAGATTACAGGAAGCACTTTGTGTGCCTGTGAGCTTTTGATTTTGGCGGTGTGAATGCGTGGAGAGCATGGAGAGTGCACCAACACCCATTCATCCTACCCTATTTCTTCTTCCCCATGCTAGAACCCTGCAGGGTGACGAGAGAAATGGAGGAATGGGATGTGTCTAGAGGGACACCACCTTCTTTACATGAATTTTTGTATTAGGTTTCGGGATAGGAGTGCCTGCCTGTGAATACCCTCAAAGTGGAGGCCTACAGCTGCTCTCTGAAATGCTGTGGCAGCGTTAGTAGCTGCACCCTGGACACAGTCCTTCTCACTGCACAGTGTGGGAACATCAAACCTCAGTGTCCGTAGTGGGCCAAGTCATTTCCATGAGTCCTGGATTGAAATATCCTTTTAGATAGCACTGCCATTTCCAAGCTAAGCTTGTCCTATCACAGGTGTAAGAGTTAGCTTATTTGTTGGATGCGATAGCCTTGGAGCTGTATGAAGACACAAATGGGGTGATACGCGCCATACAGCCAGCTGTTGCCAAAAGATCCGCTCTGTCCGCCACTATGGATTCCTACTATGCCTCGACGAATTTGCGAGTCACCTTCTCTGCCTCAGATGTTACCACAATGGCCCTTCACCTGAGGCTATTAGGAAGTTGTTGAAGACAACGGAGAGGACAAAGAGCATCTCACGAACAGCACCTGTTCATTTGCTTGATAGGAGGCAAGGAACTACTAACATGGCTGTCTCTCTCCATCCTGCTTGCAGCACATTTACTCTCACTGTTTCATTTTAAAGTGGAGAGTCTGGATCGCTCAACAAGCACAGGACACACTACAGGGTAGTAAGGCGCGCCCTTTTCGCACACGCGAGGGAGTTGTCAAGTTCTACGCCGAAATTCTACTCCTAGATTTGCCTGAATCGCTTTCTCTCTGACTGATTAATTTGAAAAGATGCAGTGTACAGCTGGACAGAGAAGGCTTAGTCAGCAGGCAGGACGCCTGTCAGCTGGCCTACAAATCCTACGGGAATCCCTGCTGCTTTACAACGAGCGTCATTTCTTCCCTACAACTGATGCTAGGGACGTTGCAGTGAGTGCCATTCTCTCCCAACAATATAGCTTCCCCAAAATACCAAATTATTGCTCATTATTCCCATCGCCTGGCCGAAACCAGGCAGCGGTATCTAGTGAAAAAAACTTCATAACGTGTGGTGGGGCGTGGAAAAATGCCAACACTCTATGCATCAGTGTATTTTACTATCCAGACCGACGTTCGCTCTTTAACATGCTACTCAAAGCGTCTTCAGGGCTGTCATCCTCCTAGAGTTGCTCGCTGGCTTAGGTGCCTCATGCTGTAAGAGATAGCCAACATAGTCGCCGACGCGCTCTCGCGATGCCCCAGCAGTCTACCCTTGTGCAATACGGCCTCCTTTTGCTAGTATGGCAAAAACCTAGAGTGGTGGAATGATGAAGAACCACTACGTTGACGACGGCCTTCTGTGGCCCAAAACAAAGCGTGGACTCCTTCCCGTGTGCAAGCATACTTCACTCCTGCTGTTTTGCGCGAAGCACATACTCATGCTCTTTCGGGCCATGGTGACATTTATGCTACGGTGTAAAATTATCGACGCACTTTTTGGTGGCTTGATGTGCGTCTCACTGCAGATGAGTGTGCGTAGTCGTGTCCAGATCGTCAGCAGCTCAGGCATAGCAATTTTCTTAAGTTTCGACCGCTTTAAAGCCTTCTCGCTCGCATAAGGATGTAGAGTGGCATGACTGTGGACTTTGCTAGTGGACTGCTGGAGGTCAAGGGTGTACACGCATACAATGTTACGTTTTATTGTATCGAACCAACAGTACTCTTGAATATATTGTGTCCGCGAGCAGACACACCCATTAGTCAATTCTTTACTAGTTCTTGTCCGGATAGACTACAGTGCGGTAGAAAGCGCTGAATTGTAGCGTGGCCCGTAGCATGGTCCCTTATATGGGAAATTCAGAGGGAAGCCCCTCCGGCAGGGGAGGGCGGAGGTTCTTTTGAGAAAAGCTAACTCACTTTTTGTTTGTTAGCATTGAGTGTGCAGCTATGTTTCTCAACGGAGACCTCAGATGGAGGGGTACTAGCCTAAGAGTGTTTGCACCAAGTTGCTAATGCCAACTTTGTGCCCGACTACGCACAATTCATTCTCGGCGCACAGAGTGAACGCTCCTCGGTAGCAAGTAGAATATAGGAACAGCCAAACAGACGAGTCAGCGGGTACTAAAACAGGTCATTTTAAGAGGAGCAAAGTGTAGCTTTGCCTGTTAGGCTCTCCATGGTGGCACCCATGAGGGACACGCTCACTGAATAACTAAGTAGTTGATATCAATTAACAGATTCAGCTTACGCGTGTGATGGCACCTTGCACAATGCAGGGGGAATCGTATTCAATAGGGAAACTCCTGACTTCTAGCCTAGGACTGCACGTCGTTCTATTTACAGACTCTTGGTAAAACGGCTGCTCGGGTCTATGCAACAGTTGTCAGTACTAGTTGCTCCAATATTATGTAACATCCATAGAAGCGAGCTACGCAATTACTACCAAAATAGATACGGTCTGCGTTTTGCGGGTTCCATGCAATCAGTAGGTTCCGTAGCTCAGCAGGTTAGAGCGTGTGGCTGTTAACCACAAGGTCGCAGGTTCGATCCCTGCCGGTACCGGCTTTGTTACTCTGAGTATCACCTTTTGCCGACTCTTTACGCTTCCATTATATAAATAGGTGCTTCTGTTAGGATGTGTGTATTTTCAAAATGCTATCTCTGTTGAGAGAAATCTGGTGGGCGGGAATGTCTTTCGGCCGCAATTTCACTGGCAATCCAGTGTGAGCCCTCACCTCAACACAAAGTGCCTGCATATTCACTAAACACTCCAGAATAAAACAAGTATCTCATTTACAGTTTGAAAAACATCGAATGGCGCTTCGAATGCGACGGCAGCTGCAGCCACAATCAATACCAGCCACTGCAGGTCCGCTGCAGCATGAGCAGTAGCAAAGCGGGTGTGGATCTGCCAGCCTCTTAGAGCCAATAGGAAGCTGCCATCCCTGGAATCACAGGGAGCGCAAGTGTATTTGTGCGTTCCTTAGCGAAGGGGTTTAGCGAAATCCTCATCGAACTCTCTGAGTGTGCATCCGTTTCCAAGGCCACCTCGTAGCAGCGGCAGCCGTGTTGCCAACGGTAGGATTGCGACTTAGAGCAAGGCCAGTTGAAGCCGTAGCGGGTGGGGGCCAGCCGGCAGCAGCGGAGGCAGCGATAGCCTCAACGATCAAGGGCCTTTACCGGCAGCTCATTAATAGAGAGAGAGCAACAGCAGCCTGCAGGAGCAGCTCCCGCTGCTGCTGCAGTAGGCGTGGAGCTGCTGCATCAAAGGCAGCATGCTGCATTTTACGTGTTCACGGGGGCAGCAGCAGCAGCTGCTGCTGCGGCAGGACCTGCACATTCTCAGGCAGGCTAGCAGTCCGTGCTGTCTTGCTGCTCGTTAGGCCACGGCTCTGATGTATGAACATCCAGTGCGGCAGCAGAGGCGGCAGGAGGTGCTGCAAACTTATATTTGCCACTACTTTGCTTGTGCTGTTGAAGATTGTCGCACATCGACCCCGTTTCCTAGGATCAGCTGCCGCGGAAGCCGCAGCAGTCGATACAGTTTAGCGTGAAGATGGGAGCCTGTGGCAGCAAGAAGGTCCAGCTGAGTCGCAGCGGCGATCAGCAGCAGCAAAAACAGGAGCAAAGACAGGAGCAGGAGCAGGAGCAGCATCCAAAAGAGCAGCAGCAAGACCAGCAGCAAAAGCAACAGCAACAACAGCCTCCCCAACGGCAACAGACAGAGGGAGACCTGCAAGAGCAGCCAAGCGTCAGCGCAGCTCACGCAATTGGAGTTTCGCTGCCTAAGCAAAAGAGTCTGAAGGAGCAGCAGAGAAGACGCCTTTCAATTTCTGTGACGGTTGTTGAAGATCCTGCAGCATCGGCAGGGACGCACGGGGTAGCCTCCGCAGCGGCACCGATGGCAGTGGGTAGCTCAAACACTAAACTGAACGGTGGGGATGGTGTAAGTGCCACCCAGGGCAGCAAAGGATACGCTCAAGTCGTAGGGGCTGACAGCAGCAGCAGGAAGGCGTTGTCGTTTTCTTGCTCGAACAACGAGGAAAGCACCGACAATCCGGCAAGGGCCGTGACGGCAGCAGTGCCTCATGAAGTTTCTGCGGCTGGGGCAGTCTCTCATGCAAAGGCACCTCTTAAGAAGCAGACTTCCACAGTCGAGCAGCGACGCTCTCATGAAGGTACCTCGGCAGCAGCAGCAGGAGCAGTGCCGCCTGGCAACAGCAGCCTGAGTACGAGCGCTGTCTTAGCTGAGAAGGGCTTCTGTCCTGATCTGCCCCTGCTGTTTACACCTCTGCCCTTCGCACCAGAGAAGGCATGGCTACACCTGGAAGACATCACTGCGCAGTTTCTCTTGGAGCACTTCACAGCCGACTCCCCAGACCCCACCAGATGTGCAGTCTTAGGTGAGCTTCCCTGTGGACGAGGCGCTTTCGTCATGCGATTTCGAAGCCTCAGCGTCAGAGGGGTTTGTGCGTCATGATGCTTCACCACATGCCCATACACATGCACAAGCCATAGCTATTTCAAAGGAGGGAGGGCAGGTGGTACAGAGTTTCGGAGTTTCACGAAGACCTGGCAACCTAAGGGCCAGTTCAGGGGCAGAGTTCTGTGATACAGGTGTGCATGCACACCACTAATTCAAGTTTCAAAGTGTTGGGGTTGTTGGCTTCTCCAGGGTTCCCTGCGCGTGAACGCCAGCGGGGCTTCGATAACAAGCGGATGGATTGCGTGGTATGTCAGAATCTGTGCCCCCTGGCGACAGCAAATGCTTTTGAAACATTCTTGAGGGGGCACGGCGTCCGCGGGGTTGTTGTTGTGAGGGGGGGTTTGCGCGCAGCTGTCTGCAACTGAGGGATGCGGCAATTTCGACGAGTTCCAGACGCAAATTGGTGTTGGCTGCTCCTGCAAGAAGGGTCTCAAGCCGGAAAGCCCCAATCAGGATGACTTTTCCTTCATCAGGTATTTCCTGGAGTTGCGAGAGTGCAGAAGGGGCTTGGGGCAGCAGCAGAGTCCATCGGTGTAGGTAGGCTCTTGGTGCAGTTCAAGTTTTGGATTCGAGCGGGGGGGGGGGGTTAGGGGTTGTCTCAGCAGGAGTAATCGTTCGGGGTGTGTCTGGCTGCACTTCCGCGGCTTTTCAGGTGCTCCGCGTTCGGCGTCTATGGGGTGTTTGACGGCCACGGTCCTAGCGGTCATCAAGCATCGGACTTCGTGCATCGCGTGCTGTTGCTGATGCTGTTGTCTCACCCCCTCCTGAGAACAGACCTCTCGGTAGCCGTTGCGAGCGCTTTTCACGCCGTAGGTTTGCCTCCAGGCCTTGAAGCTTCATCGCTTCTCCCTTTTTCGTGTCAGAAGGAAGCTTCCCTGTTGCCTTTTAAGGGTCTTGCTTGGGGCTTTCTAGCGTCCGGTTGCACATGCAGACCCACAAGGCGCTTTTGGAGTTTTGTTCCGAGGAAAAGAATGTCGACTCTTCGCTTTCGGGCACGACTGCCACCCTGGTGCTGCACGAGGCGGGCAGGCTGACCGCTGCCTTTGTGGGAGATTCTCGCTGTGTCCTCGCAAAGATGAACAGAGACGGTAGGCCTTGACTTAGCGGTGATCAGGCGTGGCAGTGGGGCGATGGCGGCAGCTGGCAGATGCCTGCTGATCAGCAGCGCCATGTGATCGAGATACACATGGATTGCAGCGCTCAAGGCTTCGGCCTTCGCGATTGGGGTTGCTACAGGCACGATAATCCCTGCCTTCGCTACGGTCGACCACAAGCCTACGAACCCTTTAGAAAAGAAGCGGATCGAAGCGGCAGGTCAGTTCGCTGTGCAGGATGCGGGGGAGGGGCGTTTCTTGACGTCACTGCCTTGTGCACACGGCCGCCTCATGCAAGTGATGCCTCGGGCGTCTGTCTACCTTGAACTCCCCGCGCGATACGGACAGCGTGTCGTCTGGGGATCAAAGTCGTTGGGTCTGCGGTATATGCATGTTCGCGTGCATGCATGCTTGTCTGTGTGTATGATGGGGGGTGTGTATCTATATATCTGTGCTGTATGCATATCTGTATGTATGCATATGCATATGTATCTGGGTACCCACCTGTAATGTATCCATGTATATATATGTATATATCTGTGTTTTTTGCACGCATATATATACATTTATACACATACATAAATTTAATGTGTGTGTTTGTGTGTGTGTGTATGTGTGTAACAAGGTGGCGAGGTGATGCGCCTTGATTGTGACATCCCACATCGCGTGTTCGTGAAGGATCATCTGTTTCCTGGTCTGGCAATGAGCCGAGCCATCGGGGATGGCATCGCTCACCAAATAGGCGTCATATCGGAGCCGGAAATAGTCCAGGTGGGGGTCTATGATTTCCATGTGGCTGGTGTTTGCGCATCGCTGGCGTTCAGCATTGGGGCCTAGCACGGGATGCGCTGGCCGCTGGCTCTTGAGGTGTATTTGCAGGTCCCTCTAGACGAGAACTCCTTGTTTTTCATCGTCGCCAGCGATGGGGTGTGGGAGTTCATCAGCAGCGAAGAGGCAGTCAGCATTGTGGCCCGTGTAAGCCAAGTGTGTGTCCTCTCGGGGCGGTCGTTTATATATATATATATATAAACAACCTCCCCAAGAGAACACACGCAGTCCTAACTGACCACAAGCACATCCGAGTGCCGCTAGCATATATAGATACATATGTATATGTATGCAGCAAGCATGAGGCTTGCAGCTCTCTGGACGCGTCTGTAGTTATGCGGAGCACATGGATATTCTTTGAAACACACACGAGCATTCTTGTGACGTGGCAGCGAAAATAACAGGGCCAGCGTTTGTCGCTTGCAATGTGCAGTACGTCACGGGGAGTCCGGATGACTCGGAAAGGATGAAAGATGCAGCAGACCGCCTCGCATATGAAGCTTTCAGGCGCTGGATCGACGAGGAGGGCAACGTTGTCGATGACGTGGGCACGAAGTGCCTGGTTTCCTTTTTTAACCCTAATACATACGTTATACATGTATAAATAACTAACATATACATGTATATGTTGAAGCGTATAGACCTCACGCGTAGAGGCCCAACAAAAGCCAAGCAAGCAACACACACTTTCTTTGACCAGTGCATGCCGACTGCAATCATAGACACCATAAGGGCTTGATCCGGGAGTCACGCGGCCTCAAATTGAGCGGCTGCGCAGCTTATTTGAAGGCGTCTCGTTTATGAATGCTGATTAGGGTTTGGAATTGCTTGTGTGTGTTTTGGTTCTTTCTGTTCGCACAGGTAACCGTAATAGTCGTGTGGGTGGCGCGCTAGCGAGCTCCCGTCTCCGATTGAAGCTTTCTTTTTTGCGGGCCTAGTGCTTCCAGCAGGAAGCTCCGCCACGCAGGAGGCAGCAGAAAGCTGTCATCGGTTGTAGCGAGCTCGCGCGCAGGGTTGCTGCTCGTATCTGTGTGCTTCTATCGGCCTAGCTGCAGCAGCAGCGGCAAACTTAGCCCTTACGACCCTATATTCTCACGAGGCTTCCGATGCGCACTACAGGCGCAAACGAAGCAATAACGACAGCATCGAACTTCGGTATAGGTCAGAGGATTTACGCAGCGGCATAAAGGGCCCTACTGCAGCGTAGCTTTTGTTACGGGGCTTTGGTTCATGACGAGGTAGGCAAGGGCAGATGCAGCTCCCCATAAGTCTGCCTGAAGAAGCTGACCGTCCAGCAGCAAATGTTGCAGGAGGAGCAGGAGGGGTAGGGCGCCGTTGCTGCAGCTAAAGCTGCCGAATACCTCTGCCTCGCCGGTCGGATCCGTGCGACTCCACAAGAAAAGCAAAAAAGAAAAGAAGCACTGCTGCTGCTGCGCTGGGGGTAGCAACCCCAGACCCACTAGGGCGTACGTACACCCAGCGCCAAAGGACAACAGGCGGAGGAAGCGCTGCCTACTGCCTGTCTCTGCTTCCCTCGCGTTGCTGGCAGGGGCGCTGCTGCTAGTCGCAGCACTGCGGCCGCTGCTCCTCTCCTCGATACTGCAGTGCCTCTCGAGCAGCGGCAAATACGTATAGGCGAACGAAAGGGCGAGGGCAGCTGCCAGGGAGGCTTCTCCGCAGTAGAAGAGAGGCGACACGAGACGCCATGGCTGCTTTTCTCTAAAGGCTTTTCGAATGTCAAGGTGGAAGAGAGAGGCAGGAAGAGGGTGTCCTGCCGCTGCTGCTGCTGTTGTTGCGGCAGAAGCTGCAACGCAGAACAGCAGGTAAGCCCGGCTGATAGGCGGCAACGAAAGCACCCACTGTCGCCAAAAAGATGCAATCTTGGATTCGAACGCTGTGCTGCTGCTACTGAACCCCAAGAAACGCAGCAGCCCTTCCTGGCTGCGCTTCAAAATGCCAGTCTTCTTGTCCCCGAACGCCTTCTGCTGAAAATCGCTGACTCCCTGAAATCCCAACGGGAGGAAGCGGCCACGCCGTGACAGGTAGCTGTGCTGGTCGTGCTGCTGTGTCAGCGGCTGCTGCTGACGCCAGGCTGGCTTCTTTGGGGTCGTGGAAGTGACAGCTCCCACGGGGGAAGATCTCACCGCGCAGTTCCCGCTGCTGCTGGCGTCTCCACTCAAGCGGATTTCCCGGCTGAACACGTGAAGGCCTTGTAAAAGCAGCAGCAGCAGCAGCGAGACTTGAGATCTAGCCATTGCGCTTTGTCGCTGCATTAGCAGCGGCAGTAACAGCTACAGCTGGTGGGCCATACTGAAGGAAGGCTGTCTTGTTCGGGCACTGCGGATATTATGCCCCTGTGCGGGGAGATGCTGTTGTTGCTGCCGCTGCCAGCAAGCGGCTGCTCCTGTTGCCGCTTGTGTTGCTATAATCCGACTGGAATCCGGACTGCGGCTGTAGGGTCGTGTGTTTCCCCCCTTCAGTGCTACAGAGAGCGTTGCCGACTCACGAGCAGCCCCGCGCCTAATGCCCCCTACACATACGACAAATGCGTGTCTTGCGTCTCAAAGCATTAAAAAGCAGAAACTATAAAGTATATAATCGCAGTCAGCAAGTCGTTAAGCCACGCAGGAGACGAATCGGAGCGACCGGCCGAAAGCATCGAACCCCATGGGGCTGGCAGCTCTGAACAAGGGATGCTGGATCCCAGAATTCGTCGTGCATGCAAATGCACTTCAGCTAGAGCTTGCGTTCACAGACGCGCATTTAGCTCGCAGCTTATGTTGTTCAGGGGCCTCTTACGGGCCATTTGCACGGAACTGCCTCCTCGTGGTGGCTGGCATCGTGCCGAAGTCTGCCGGCGAGACACCAAATGGGCGGGAGCTCAGTGCGCTGTACTTACAGCGGCAAGGTTTCTTTCTGCGAGGTATGGCCCGTGTAGCGCCGCCTTAAAGGCCCAGAAGGCGGTAGCCCTCGCCTCAAACGGCCCCGCCGCTCAGTTGCGGCGCGAGAGAGAAGACATGACGCGCAAGGGAACGGCTCTAAGTAGCCTTGAGCAAGTGCAAAAGACAGTAGTCTATCACGACCTAGAGCCGCGATCACCGATGGCAACAAGGGTTTGCCGCGCCGCTCGGAAGTGCAGCCTTCAGTCTATGTCTATCTAGAGGAAATGCTGGTAGACACCCATCTTAGCGGTCCAGGCCAAAGAACTCGCACCCTCAATGTAGGACCCTCTATAGCGCTACGTCAGAAATATCCCCCCTTCCTTCCACCAAAACAACGAGAGCATTCAGCGGCGAGGCCTGGCCTCGTTATGGTTTGCTGCCACTACAGTTGAGGCTCTCATGGCTCGTGTCTGTTTTCGGGGCTGCCTTGTAGGCAGGCGAATGGGTTTAGAGCTCATCCTTGACCGCCTCGGAGGGAGTCCACTTTTTAGCATCCTTGAGCTTTTTCAACTTGGGCAAATCGGAGACAGGGGCGCGACCGGCCAACAGCTGTTGCAGGAAGGAATTGATGCTTTCCTGCACACCCGAACGCATGCAACCAAGCGCTGCCTGCCATCTCTATCCGCCACTGACCACCCTTGACAGCTGTACGTACACCCCAAACGCACGCCCTGAAACGCACCCTGGTAAAATTGCCTCGGTGGACAGCAAACTTCCCGCGGGCCAAGTGAACTGCGACCACTGCTGGCCATCCGAATGCCAAGTGCAACTGCTCCTCCAGGTCGAAGTTATCACCACCTATGAAGCACAAACTTCGAAGCCTAGGCAGTGGTGGCCCTTAGGGCTCATTGTGCACACCCCGCAATGCCTCCGTCGCATCGCAACCCTTGAACTCAGCAAAACCCCCTCACCAAACTTGCAAGCAAGCTCCGGCCCCTACGCCCTCCCCGCCTCCTACCTTGAAGCCAGAGGAACTTGACAGGCACAGTGACTGACGCCTTTACGACTTGATTAAGAATTTCAAGATACTCGTGTCGGCCCTGTACGCCCGAATCTAGCACATCTGGGAGGAAGGCCAAGATGCACAGGGTTTCGCTGCAGTCCGAAACAAACTGAGAGTCCGACAAAATCTGTTCTGCCGATGCATTTGCCCTGAGACGAAACACAAACTCCAATATTTACGCCTTCCAGAGCAGAGACAAGCATGTGTGGCATGGATGCATGCATGCCACACACCCTAACACACCCTAGCACACGTACACTAGCTTACACACATACACACATTAACACATAAACACACAAACGGATACACCCCAGTAGACCCCAAGGAGCTTTGGCCCTGTGGAATCACGGCTTGGCCGCAGCGCTCTCTCTCTCTCTCGCGCGCAGGATCAAGTGGGCAGAGCCAAGCGGCGCAGAAAGCAGGCACACGAGAATCGTTCTCCGAATCCGTACCCATAGAATTCCATCGCAAACTTTGCGATATCATCGGCGGTGCGCTGCCCCTCATAGTCTTTGACGAGCGAGTCCGACTTAGGGCCGGCGGGGAATAACTTCAGCGTCGGAAAACCCTAGAGCACAAAAATCCGAGCAACAGCTCCCCAGACGTGGAGAGTTCTAGGAGGCGGAGACAAGTTCCCGACAGTAGGGAATGGCTGCAGAAAAAAGCCTTGACATGGAGAAGGCTATCGCGCTACAAGGGCAGCCCGATCATCGAGGGCTTGACGGACTCGAATGCCAAATCGTGAAGCGAGGACTGTCTCGGTAGTAGCATCGATCTTGCCAACTTTCACCTTCCCCTTGAGCTGCGTTGCAGCGTCTTCCCACACGGGAGCGAGGGCCTTGCAGTGGCCGCACCAAGGCGCGTAAAACTCCACAAACCTGCATTGCATGCATACACCACAAGGGCTGGCTCCTGCACTGTGAGTGCCCCGCTAATGCGGCGCTCAGAGGTTCTTGGGAAGCCACGCCACAATGCATGATGCGGCAGGATACTGAACTTGACTAAGCGAGACAGCAGGAAGGGCTGTGAAGCCCTTCCTGCTGTCTCGCATGCAGGCGAAAGGCCATGCTGCAACACGACGGCAGTCTAGCGGGGTGCCCTCTCCCTCCTCCCCATAAGGTACACAAGGAGAGGCGTATTCCAAAGCCCTTCCTCCCTGGACTTGTGAATACATGTACATACACGCCATGCCTGCACGCGTGCAAGCGGCTTTGTTCGACAAACTACACGTTATTTCACGCAGCCTCAAAGCGCAAAAAAACGCACCACACGTTCTCCCTGTCTTGCATCACTGTCTTTTCGAAGTTGGAGTCCGTCAGCTCAATAACGTCTGAGGGACCGCTGCTCTTGGGCTTGCTGCTGCTGCTACCGCTGCCGCTGTCGTTGCTGCTCTTGCCGCTGCCAGGATCGATTTTACCTGGCAACAGCACACAAGACCACTGCAAACCCTAAATCCAACTTCATGGCGCTAGGTGAATCCGCCAAGGGGCCCAACGCACGCACACTCACGCATAAACACACACACACACGATTGCACTTCCGCACATACGCGTGAACGCAGTTTACCGCTTCTAGCTTAGTTTTAGCATTTACCGGCAAGTCTGGCTTTTGCGAGTTTGCCAGTATGCATAATGACAAAGTCCAGCAAGGTGTTGGCGTCTCTGTTGCCTTCGAACTTGAACGTCTTTGGTTTTTTTCCACCTAAAACAGACACACACAAGTTCCCTGGACTTGCAGCGTCCCTCAAGTACTCCCGTGGCTTTCCGCATCGAGAAGGCAAGCTTTCCCCCACGAAGGGGAGATCGGATCCCCCGCTGGACTGCACACGCCTTCCGCATGCGCCTTCTGCCAGTGTTGCTGCGTGGGCAAGACGCCAAGGCCTAGAGCATACCTCTACCCACAACCACCATAATCGTAGGGAATCCCTTAACGCCGAACTCCTGCATGACCGATTCGTCGCTCACTGCGACAACAGAGGCTACGCCTCTAAGGGCCTTTGAGACTTGCTCGTAAACAGGCGCAAACCTCTGGCAGTGCCCACACCTGCGCAAGACAAGCCCTATACCCAAAATTCAGAGCCTTGGGAAGGAGCTAGCGGAGCGGCGAGGAGGCAAGGCCCCGTAGAACCCTCTAACTGAAAAGCAATATCTTCTCCCCGCTGGGAAGAGGGAGAGCGAAGCGATACGACCTGAGAGCTCCTACTTCGAATCTGGCCTTACCATTCTGCGAAAAACTCGACAAGATGGAGGTCATGGGAATTAACAACTTGCGTTTTAAACTCCGAAGCGCTCAAAACCTTAACGGGGCTGCTGCTGCTGTACAGCCCAGCTTCGGCTGGGCTGTACAGATACCCAAGCACTGCAATGCAGGCGGCAAAAAGCAGCCTCAGAGCGTTGCTACTTCTGCTCTTTTGGCACCTGAGTGACGCCATGGTAGCTTTCAAACGAGGAGACACGGCAGCCGCCACAGCTGTTGTGCTGCTCCAAGAGCTGCAACTTCCTAATTCCAGGCGCCTCGTGCCGGAGACAAAAGTAATTTTTCCTGCTAAGATAGAACTTTGTCAAGAAATGCGCATTAAAAACCATGTACTGTTCCCGTAGCTCTTAGCTGCTGCAGTTGCTGCGGCTGCTGCTGTCGGTGCTGCTACTGGTGCTGCCAGTGTCGGAGTGGTGTCTGCCCGCCTGCAGCTACCACCGTATCTGCTATCATGAAATATTATGCTCTTAGCCACGAATCACATACATAATAGCAGCACGTCCTCTGACTAGCCGCAAACTGCAATATCGAATTTGTAAATACATCGAGGAAAACGCCATTACCTGTTGGTCTTCACGCCTTGCGTCTTCAGCCAAAGTCAAACGAGATTGTGGCTTGGGGTTGGGGCTTGCTTTCCGCTGATACTGGTGCTTTGCGCCGTATTACTAATACTCTCTCACTTTGCTTTCTGTCTTCCAGATGTCAACAAGGCATAAGGCTGCCGAAAATCGGCAAAGGCTGCTGCAAGTGTGTTGAGGGTCTCTGACCCTAAACAATCCACAAGTATCAGCACCCTGTGTTTACTTCAGCAATTTGTGCAGCTCAAGCTGTATGGGTGGGAATTCCGTGCACTTGCTGTTGTGTTAATGGTCAGAAAGGCAGGGCAAACCAGCCCTACAGATGCCACGCTTGCTTACGCTAGCTCGGCGAGAGCTCCTACCGTTTGAGCTACATGTCCTCCCTGAGGTCGCCTCATACTAATGCATCAGGCTATAGCTAAAAGCGTTTTTGCTTATGTGTTGTTTTACTTTGAGTGGCTACGTGACGCATCCATCAACCTATAGAGCATTGCCTGTACATACGCTGGTTGTCTGTGTCTTGCCGATGGACTGCATTTTGTGGGTTGTGGTGTGTTACGCAAGGCTTCTATGAGTAACTGATAATGTTGGAATCCTTTTGTAACTGTCCATCCGCGGGATCTGCAAGGATATACTTAACTCCAGGTGCTTGTTCCTTTCCCTGCATTGTATATTCTGTGCAGGACTGCACAAAATATACGATGTGCCCTTAAGCATCAAGGCTGGCCATACATAGACACGCTGTTTCACTGCGGACTCCGCTGCACTTTCTTCCCTTTTTTTTGGTGGAGTTCTCCACAAGAGGGGAGAGGGGCGGTTAGGGGGTTCATGGCTGCACCATCAAAGCAGTCGGAACACACAGTTAGTTGCACATAACATCTGGATGAGTCGCACGCATCAATGCGTGTTATCGTACCGAAATTACAGTACTCAGGAATATAAGAAATATACAAGCATTCAAACCAATCGGTTACTTCTTATGTGTGGTAGTGCAACATAGCCCGCTGTATCTCCTCGCCGCCTCTGCTCCCCTTCCTGGTTTTCACAAAACATGCCTCCATGTTTTGTACCAGCACATTAAGCTCGATTGCGTGCAGGGCGCCGGAAGCGTTTGCACGGAATCTTCACTCCCCAAGGGCGCAAAAACGCAAAAGACAATACAAATGAGAGGAGGAAAGCGACTAGTACGCGCCACAGTGAAAGAGATCGGGACAAAAGGTAGACGCACGCTAGCCAGCAACGAAGGAGCGCGGAATCTGAAGTAACCGAGTTGGCGTGATGCCCTGCTATCGTCAGAGGGCTGATATGCGTGAACCTGGTGATGCGAGAAGACCTATGACAAGTAAAATGTGTGCAGGGTATCAGAAAATGCACACTAGTTCAGCAGCGCCTCTGCGCCTCAAGAAGCAATCTCTGCATGCAAATACAGCCGGTGCATGCAGCTTCGTCGACTTCAAAGCCGCAGAACAGGCATAGGGAAGGCTGTAGGGAGGGCATGCTTGAGAGTGCATACGCAGAAGTTTGCATTCAGAGAACACCTCAACAGTAGTAACAGACTGCCTTCCAGCGATACGCGCCGATGGTGATGGCCATTTCAGGCAGAGAATGGACTGAGTAAGGCCATTTTTCAATGAACTAGAGGAATTCAGTCCATGGCAAGCAGCACTATCAACAGCACAAAGCAGCGGTTTTGCCTCAGGAAACGAAATCAGCAACTGGTCCTCCGTTAATGCCTGAGACTGGTGGATCCTATCCCATTTCACTAGAACTCCCGTACAGTGTGTTCTCAACAATTGGGTTCTAGAGTTCAGCACCCGTGCGGCGCTTTTTGTGGACACTCCGCCTCCACGCAGTTTGGTTACCGGAGCGACAAACTTCGCGAATGATTCTAGAATTTAAAAAAAAACTTTAAGGCCAGTTTTGATAAATCTGTGGCGTTTTGAACTTCCAGGAAAATCCATAGAGCAGGGAAAGTACCGATTCACTAGAACATGAGAAATGGAACTCGCCGCCTGGCCACAAACTTCATCCTTAGGTCACCTTCGGATGCATCTGATACATCAAAACCAAATCTGCTGGTTCGGAACACGCAGCCGGACTCCGTTTATCCTGTGACGTGTTCCTCTCTCTTGAGCACTACGCATACATTTGCATCCCGCCGTTGCTGTTGCTGCTGAACCCGGACAACCAGGTCCAAGCCATAATCCGAGGGGTGCTCCCCAGTCTACACGGAAAGCAAGAGAGCAATGGGTGGACGAGTGTACTGCTGTCTTAGAAGCCCACTCAGCAGAAGGAAGAAAAACCGAGCGGCAGCATTTTTGTAATCATAGGGTAGCACAACCTACAGAAGAGTGCGCTTGGTGCGCTCCTTTTGTCCATTTACCTCAGGGTGGACTAAGTTCTCCGTATTTATGGACATAAGTGCATGTCAGTCATGAAGGCACTCCAGAAAGCACTCACAGACATAGGGTCCTTACATGCAACCTTTCAGGAACCGGTGAATATTCCAGACATGAGGTAAGAATAGCTGAGCGACTTCCTCAGCGGCGATAAAGCTGGAGTGATGGAAGAAATTGGCGTATTTTGCTGAGTCTGTCCTCAGCGACGTCGATGTTATCTGGACCCTTTACCTCGGCCAGTCCACTGCCCACGCCTACACTCAAATCTATCCACATCCTTCTAAGAGCCAAATGTCTTTGCAAAAGGCCTGGTTACAATAAATGCGGGGCTTCAGCTGCTGACAATCCAAGAACGACAGTGCATACATTCCTGGATAGGGAATGAAAAACAACTTTCAAGAAGAACCCAGAGAATCGTTGAAGCCTCTCCGCAGGAAATGCACATCACATTGAACGTATCACTCCTGTTTGCCGGCTGCGGATGTTAGACAAATCCGCGCCTATCATAGTGAGGTATGGCTGGAAGATGTAGATTTACCTGCAAAGAGAGAACTTTTGGTGCGTTTGGTTGGATGGACTACCCGCGAACTCCCGCAAACTTCCTGCCAGCATTTAGGGTGAGTGGTTGGCAGCTTCCTAGTTGCTGCCCATGGGAAACAGATGCGGCAGACTTGATGTGCCCCTGTACATGCGTGCTCTGGATTTGTATCAATTTGTGTGACACTGTAAAAGGAGTCCACACTGCCATAGTCGCCTATAGCCAACAGCTGCACAGGCGTGAATCCAGGAACCAACGGGCTCTAGATAACCCTGTTTAATGCATAAAACGGATTGTCATGGCTGCCTAGTTATGCAAAGCCTAGAAAACAAGGAGAGTGCAAGCTGCCAAGTGCATTTCAGGAAACGCAATATTCCTAGATTTGAAGGCCTAATCCGTATAGTGTCCCAGTTAGGTGTTTAAAACTCTAGGCACTCTACTCTTTGCCTTTAGCAGGCAGCCCCTTTCTCTTAACGTCTCTTCAAGGCTGTCCACCAGTTGATGCGAACCGGTTAGCGACGAAGGAGGGTCAACCAAGACGCAGGCAGTTAGCTAGTTGCTTGGCAGCCGTACCCTGTGCTATTGCACACACTTCCTTGCATTCACGCTCTCGTCGGCACGCTGTCACACCTGCAATATTTGCAAAGTTGCTGCGTAATTGGCTTAAGAGCGAAGGGATTCTATGTTCAAGGGAATGTACTGCCTGCGTATTTGCGTATGGTATTTGATCCCTACTGCATCTACGAGTCCACCAACACAGAATCAATATATGATATCCACGACGAGAAGCCGCCACACATCGTGAAAGCAGCTGCTGAAAAGCTGAATCCAAGTGCTGTATGTAGCAGGCTCTTCACGAAACGAGATTACCGATTCTCTCAAAAGCACTTTATTCGTTTTCGGTGTCACGTAAGCTTTTGGGAGGTGATGCATTCTTCAGGCCGCTTCCTGGCTGAGGGATCGGTCACCTCGGCCGTTTTCTGCGTGAACGTGTTTCAGCCCGTTTATTCTCAAGATTTTTGCATGAGTTTCGCTTTGAGTTCAACTAGGGCAGGGGTCCACTGCGACGCAGTTGATGCCGGAAACATGACATACTTTCTCTCTCAGGTACTGGCTAACACCTCAACCAGCTCAAGAAGACTACGTACCTTTGTGCGGCTTCAGAGGAGTGGCCAGCTTTACAATTAGGTGAGACATTTCCATCGCTGTGGGGCCGTTGCCAACCCCAAGATGTCAGCTAGGAGCTTTGAGGCCCTATCAAAATGGTAGGGAGAAGCTGTTATCACTCCGTTCTGAACACTTGAAGTGTTGACTCATCCAAGATCACCACCAGTTCGTGGCACTACGTATTTGAGGCGCGGCAACACTTCGCCCTCGCCAGCAGCACGCAACGCGAGGGGACCTGGAGGGCTTAACTAGTGCACTAGAAAATGTACTCAGTGTACATACCTTTCACAGAACTACTACATCATAATGATCGAATATTTACACATGTGCGACTGTGCATGTCTGGTGGCATGTATTTAAAGGTTCGATCTTTAGGGCGAACGATATGTACCACGGGTGGCAAGCTTACAACTAGAACGTATTTAGAAGTTGGAGTCGCCACAAAGCGGCAGATAGGGGGAGACTTTAGGGATCCTGCCGGCACTTTGGTCATGTTCATTCTCGCGTTGTTCCTCTGCAGCAAAATCTCGAGCTGTTTGATCCTCATTGGAGCAGAACTTTCAGTAGTTTTGGTAAGAGGCGTTCCATGCTTTTCACGTAGCAGGCGTGCCGCTGATATTGTACGGAAGAGCGATGGTATTTGGGTGTTTAGAAGCCCTAGCTCGCCGGAATTCGAACGCTGTCTTTGCACGTTCGAGTCGATTGTCGGCAGTGGCCCTTGGATGGGGGTTTAGTCGCGCAAGCACAGGCAATCGAGGGGAAGATCCCTAAAACTAAGTGTGGAGTAGCTGCAGCTATGGGGGAAGAAACAAAAACTGGGGGAAAAAGAAGCTGGTGAATACTACGGTGTACATGCAGTTTTGGAGAGCCCCCATGCAGGAACAGCCGCCAAAACCAAAGATCGCACAATCTGCCACACTCAGCAACTATGAAATAGCCATAGAGGCTGATTAGGAGCTATCGTTGAAGGCGCCAGGGTCCTCAGCAGCTAGAGAGGGGCAAGGACTGCCAGTGAGGCCTCTCACATGTGTGAGTGTGTATCCTAGCCCGCATGGAGGTTGTCGAGAGCGCTCTACTCAATCGAGTGTGCGATCCTCCACCTTGCTTTGCTCCTGCCCGCATCACGTGTAGAGAATCTTGAGAAAAAGACTCCTTCGCTTTCAGAACAAAGTCTGTGTATGACCAGCTGACTGAGCTATGCTTCAGTGTAAACACAGTATCGTCATCTCCGCGGGCATCGCGTTTTGGCTTCATTGGGAGGGGTGTGCTGCCACTTTTTTATTGGTAGCGAACTACTCCCCGTGCATCGCGGCTCTCATATCCAACAACTAGACATAAGGCCACGACTAACATATGGTATCTTAGCCACAGTCACCTGGCTAGTCCCACGGCACGCCGCGAGGCCATCAAGCGAAAAAGAGCTAGCTGGATTTGCCGCATTTGTTCGGCTTGCCTCTCCCCAAGCTGCGCCTGCTGCCTCCGTTCGTAGAGTGACGACGCTCACCCACGCAGTCGAGCCACCATTAAAAACTGCAATGCACTTGCAGCTGACGGCACTGTGCTCAGAATTCACTGCCCTTAACTCCAAAGTCTAGCTTACCCAGCTGTCCCCTTGGACCCTGCAGCGCTGCAGTCCGACACCAAAGGGCACCCCCCTCCTCATCCCATGTAGGCACTCCCCAGAGCAGCAGCAGCTGAGGCTACCGAGGAGGCAGCGCGGGCAGCAGCCATCTGGGGTGCTGTGGTAGTTATCACTGCTACTGTGGCAGACACTGCAGCCCTCCTCAGAGCGTCTCGGATGTGCTCGCCGCTACCACTACTGCTGCACCTGCTACTTGTGCTGTGCGAAAATGCTACCTCCCCCTGTAACTCCATTTGCCACTGCCCGTGCTGTTCGCATACATGGTGGTGCGAAGCTGCCTGCGGCTCCGCAGCTTGCCGTTAGAGGGGCTTGCCTCCCCTCCCTTCGAGTGCTATTCCCTTTGCTATTAAAAAACCTAGCTAGCCGCGTAGGGCCAGCTGTCGTGTTGAACGTCATATTACGAGCAGATTAGGCAGTCAGACGCCGATATGGAATGCCCCTGAGACTAGTACTTGGCCATGCCAAGTGTCAAGCTGCCTGCTACTACCTAGCCGCCGGAAAACAATCAACCGGCCCTTGCTGGTGCACGAGAAAACTCAGGGGGCTTCACTTGCTTCAAAGCATGACAAGCAAGCCACTGCACTTGCCGTCGTTACTACTGCCGAGCAGCGCCGCAAGCATAAAGCCATATTCTCAGCTTGCAACGCCACGTACCCGTCCATCGGAAACATCAAAAACCAAAGAAAATCAAATTAGTGCTGGCGACCACTGTTGCTGACAGGCTTCCTGCTGCTGCTGCTGTGTTTGCTGCTACTGCTGACGCTGTGTTTGCTGCTGCTGCTGACGCTGTGTTTGCTGCTGCTGCTGACGCTGTGTTTGCTGCTGCTCGGCTGGTTGCTGCTAGACTCACGAGGCTTCTTGGATGCGCTGCTGCGTTCCTCCGAGGCGGAACGCTTCTTGCTGCCGCCCTCGCCAGATTTGCTGCTGCTGCTAGACTTTCTCTGCTTATCATTTGTACTTGCCTTGCTACTGCTGCTGCTAGGCTTGCTGCTGCTGCTGCTGCTGCTGCTGCTGCTGCTTGGCTTGCTGCTGCTGCCACTGCTGGTGCTGGGCTTGCTAGTGCCACTGCTGCTGCTACTGCTACTGCTTGGCTTGCTGTTGCTGCTGCCGCTGGACTTGCGGCTGCTGCTTGTGGGCTTACTGCTGCTACTTGGTTTGCTGCTGGTGGTGGTAGTAGATTTGCTGCTGCTGCTGGTCTTGCTGCTGCTGCTAGGCTTCACATCTCGGCTGCTGCTGAGTTTTGCATTGTTGCTAGACTTGGAGTTGGCGCTGTTGAGCTTGGTGCTGCTTGTAGCGGTGCTGCAGCTGAAAGGAGCTTTCTCTGGGCTGTAACGTCCATTTCTAAGGTCTGCGGGCTCTACTACACTTTGAAGCTTGCTGCTGCTGCTATTTGCTTGCGCCTTGCCCTTGTCTACCTGCATACTGTTACTGCGCCTAGCGCTCCCCCTGCCGCGACTTGTGCTTTTGCTGCTACTTCTGCTGCTACTCCCGCTGCTACTTCTGCTGCTACTTCTGCTGCTACTTCTGCTGCTACTCCCGCTGCTACTTCTGCTGCTACTTCTGCTTCTGCTGCTACTTCTGCTGCCGCTGTCGCTGCTTCTGCTGCTGCTCGTTCTGCTTCTGCTTCTGCTTCTGCTGCTGCTCCTGCTCCTGCTTCTGCTGCTGCTTCTGCTGCTGCTCCTTCTGCTTCTGCTTGGGCTCTTTAGACGCCTCTTCGCCACTGCAGCGGCAATGGCGGCTGCAGCAGGGCAAGCCTCTCTGGTGATGCTTGGGCTCCGTCTGTCCGTGCCTCGCTGGGTCTGTTGCTGTTGCTGCTGCCTCTGTTTCAGAAGGAAATCTGGGATTGGCTGCTGTTGCTGCTGCTTAAGGAGCTGCTGTCGAAGCTGCTGCTGGAGCCGCTGTTGTTCCTTCTCGGCTTCCTTTTCCCTTTGCCATTGCTGCTTCTGCTGCTGATGCAGACCCTGCAGATCCTGCTGCGTCTTTTGCGCAGCCGCAAAGACGCTGCCAATATCGAAGGCTTCCCCCTGTTGCGCCCGCAGCTGCTTAAAAACTTGCTCTTGCTCTTGCATACTGCTCATACACACACATACACACACACACACGAACGCACACCAGCATTACATGCACACACACACACGAACGCACACCAGCATTACATGCACACATAAGGAGCGCTCAGAACTCGCATTCCTGCATTCCACAGTCGCCTGATATCTTCAAACCCCAAGAACGGGAGCCGCCAGCAGACGGCAGGCGCGCAGCAGTGACAAGTCTGCAGCTCGGTGCGTACTCGATCAGAATTTTCGAAAGGTCCTGGTCGGGCATTGGTGCCTGTGCAATATACTCCAAATTCTTCTTCAACGCATCCCGAAGCTTCTGAAAGCCTAGGTGCACTCTTCCAGAAAAGTGTTCATCCAAACGACGGTCCGTGTCATTCGCTGCGGCACAAGCGAGAACGACACTGCCAAAGCCCTCAGCTCGAAAAACGCTGCTCGTTGCTGGCGTCTGTAAGGCCTTGACGCCTTAAGAGACAGTGCAATGCTCGGCAGTCTCGTCTGCTGCGCGCCCTTATACGTGCTCCCTACACCAGACCCCACAACTTCGAGGGGAAAGACGTGCCCGAAAGAAGAGCTCCACAGACGTCGCATGGTCTTAGCCGTTGTGTCAGCTGCCCTTCAGCATTCCTAAAGAGAAGTTTGGCTCTTCGGGTTTGCAAAGATGTAAGCTCCAGCGATACAGCCATCGACTGATCAATGCGCCCTAGCTTGCCTAGGTCTTCCATCTGCAGCCACATGGTTCGCATACACATATGTACAAAGATATAGATATATGTACATATGTATATATATATATCCATATACATATATGTATCTGCCCGTATACATATATATCTATACATTTATTTATGCATATCCACACACATACATATATAAATATGTACCTTGCACAATACGAAACAACAAAATGTGACGTAAAAAGCCCTTTTGCATATGTAGAAGCATCTAGGAGAAGGCCTCCTGGAGGCGCTCGCCTACTTTTCTCGGCGCAAGCCACCGTGCGTGCCTCTAGGCCCTTTGCTGCTAAAGGCAGCAGCACGCATGCATGCCTGCCTTGCCAAGGCCAGGAAAAGCCCCGTCCCTTGCTGGCATTGCATCCGCATCTTCAACAACTCACGCTTGCAGGTGTGCCTCCAAACAAGGCCGCCACTTACCTCCTTGAATTTTTGGGCAATCGATAGATCCAGCCGCAGCACCTCCGGATGCACTGATTTCGCGTCATGAACCCCAGGCAACGACGCGCAGTCCACACGCATCTGTACATACACTCGAGGTCCACAGTAAGCGAACCGCAGCCCTCAAACCTCCCCTCCCTTCTTCCGGCCCTCTCCGGCCTGCATACACTCTATCGAGTCTGCAAAGCAGACTGCTCCGTCGCAAGCCGCAACACACCGCATCACAAGGCCCCACACTTAGACACACCTGAGCCGTCTGAACCTTCTTGTCCGCTTCTTCCACAAGCGCTCTGCAGAGCTGCACCGCCAACTCCTCGAAGCCATACCGCTTCTGCTTCCGCACGACGAAGTACTGCTCTCTCAGCGTCTCGATGTGTCTCTTCTTGCAAGGCCCCAAGTAGAACTTGTTCTGGCCACAAACCACACACCACCGGCGCCAGACGCATCTGAGCGCAGCAAGCGCGAAGAGTGGACAGCCAGTGGCTCATGACGGGTGGGAGACTGCCCCGAATAGGTCCCCTCGCCCAATAGGCACCCTTGAGAGCGAGAAAAAGGCGTCGAAACCTCACCTTCATGTTGTGATAGTTCTGCAGGCAGCAACACACAAGGAGGGAGGGAGCAGAAGGCGCACAAATACGCACGCAGAAGCGTACTTAGGAGGCGCACAGAACGCCTTCAAACTCTGGACCCTCTAGGAGACAGTGCGCATGCGGTCAAAAGTGGTGTAGCCTTGCGGGGCTGGTCGGGAATGCAAGAAGGAGGGGACAGGAGACCCACGTTGCGAATGTTCAGCGTGAGGAATCCGGCCTGAAATCGCCACCAAAGGCACCCGAGTTTCCGCAAATTTCAGAAGACATTCGCGTGTCAACGTATGCATGCAGTGGAGCGAGCTCCTGCTCACATTCTGTGCCTTGCTGTCAACTCGGAGATTGAACGGATCGGAAAAGGGCCCACCGCGAGGCGGCAGCACGTGCATGGAAGGGGCGACAGGCTTGTGTCTGGGATTTTCTGAGGCGTTGCAAAAGGGTTCATCAGCCTTCCCGACGCACCTCATTCTCGAACAAATCGTGCGGGCAGAGACCTGTCAAAAAGTACTTGCAGACATTTTCGTCGGTAAAGGATTGGTTTCCGTCATCAATGGAACCCATAAGGTCCGACCACTGTTGCCTCAAGTGATGCATTTTCCCAATTCAGCTCCTTATGATTGAGGTGTTTGCGGACAAACGTAGACTCGAGACCAGGGGTGCAAGAGAGGCCCCGCTGGCGGCAGCGGATTCTCTGCAGGAGAAGGCGCTGCGCGCTCTTGATGCTTCGGAATCGAGATGCAAATGACAGCAAATAAAACGGGTAGTTTGAGATGGAGGAGTTGGGAATAATGAGCGATTCTGGCTGCAGGGAGTCAACAGCGTCGGCCGGAGTGAGCCGGGCAGAACGTGCCCCCTGGTCGCCTCTTGGGCTTCGGGTTTGCGAATCACGATCTGCCTTCAAAAAATCTCAATATGATCAGCAGCGCGTCGACAATGCTCGCGGGCAAGAATGCCACGTTATGAGGGGTTTTAGCGCAAAAACGCATCGAGGAGCAGGCGCTGTAAAACGGCAGCAAACAGTGAGGCGCAGCATGCAGCAGTCACCAGCCCCACCTCCGCGCATTTGTGCTCGCTCCCTCTCCCTCTCCTTCTCTCTTTCTCTTTCTATTTCACTCTGTCGTAGCTCGCTGGAGGGCCTTTAAAAGCCTCCATCAAAAGAGGAGAGCGGGCAAGCGACAGCATCAAGCGAGGCGACTGTTTTTCGTGGATTCGCAGCATTTTCCGGTGCTCCCTCCCATTCAAGCCGATCTTCCCTTACTCCCGCGGCGGAGCTTCTCAGCCCCCATAGCACCCTCTCTCCTCCTTTCTTAAGCGTTTCTGGAACAAGCACGACTCAGTGCCCCCTCCTCTCCCCTGCCCGCTGCTTCCAAAGCCGTTGACAGCGCTTCAGAGCTTTGATAAGCGACCCCCCTGCCTGCCTGCTCCCCACCTGCTTCGCCAGCCTCCCCTTCGCTGCCCCCAGTCCAGGCTGCAGCAGCGGAGGACGCCTCTGCTGCTGCGAATTCGTGTTGCCGTCAGCGCCTCTGGCGTGGGGGGGTCAAGACGTCTCACGCGCTTGTGCAGGCACCATGCCGCGAGTCCGTCTTAGCGGCAGCGAGAAGCCACCGGAGGGATGGGATCTCATTTCTCCTCCGCTGCTGGAGTTCGAGCGGCAAATGAGGGAGATCGAGAATGAGCCGCATGAAGGAAAACGCAAGTGTGAAGCCACGTGGCCAATCTTCAAGCTTCATCATCAACGATCGCGATACATCTACGAATGCTACTACAAGAGGAAAGCCATTTCCCGTAAGGACGGGCAGGCAGACTCTCTCTCACTCACACACCCACATGACAAATTCCTCCCCTATCATGAGACTCCTTTCCTCTTGCTCTGCTGCGGGTGGAGGTACCACTGCTGCTGGTGATTGCGCCTTCTTTCGCGTGATTGAGGCGGCTCATCCCCTTTGCTAGTGGACATATTGCCGAGTAGTAGCAGTGCAGAACGAAAAAAACACACAGGCAATTCATCGGATCGCACGCAGCAGAGGCCTGCATGTCATCGCGGTGTCACACTGCAGGGTCCAAAAGGGATGTGGCATGTGCATTTCTCCGCGATTTCGCGCGACTTTTTCCTGCTTCACTTTCAAAATTGCAGCCCTCGCATGTGTTCCGCGCTTTTCACCGAGCACGCAGCGATACACGCCAGTACAATACTTTTATTGCGCGCTCATGCATCTGCATGCAGGAGAGCTGTACGACTATTGCGTGAGAGAAGGCTGGGCAGATGCACGACTGATTGCCAAGTGGCGAAAGGAAGGCTTCGAGCGTCTTTGCTGCCTGCGCTGCATTCAAACCTCCTCCACCAACTTCGGCACGACTTGCATATGTAGGGTGCCGAAGCACGAGCTGCCTCCAGACAAAAGAGTACGTCATACGCGTAGCCCACCGTAGACTCAAGCATTTGAACACATCACAGGCATAGACTCACAAACACCCTACATAGTGCGTGCTCAAGGAGTCGGACCCTAGTGAGCCGTGTGCCCCCAATCGATCACACGCTGAGCTCCTCACTGCCTTCGCGCAGCTTTCCCCTTTTACGCTTTCGTGCCGTCTTCATGGGCTACTGCTTTCCCCCCTTAAGCCCTCATTTTTTTTGGAGGCGTCTGATAGTCGGGCGTCTGGAGTTCAGAACTGTCGAGAAAGCGCCGGATGCTGTGTCTTGCCACTGAGGGTGTCGAGTTGCCTGCTTTCGTCTGTACCGCGCTCGCCTTTTGCGGCTCGCAGTGCGATTGACCAAATATCCATGGGAAAGCCTCCTTAGCTGGGCAGTTGCCTTTGTGCTACACTTCGCAAGGGGCCGTCTAACAGAAGCAAAAAGGGGAGAGGGATGGATGGCACGTGCTGGATGTGGCCGTCTCGGGGTGTGTCCTGGGGTGCTCGCAGGTGGTACAGTGTATCCACTGCGGGTGCGGTGGTTGCGCTAGCGGCGATTAGCTACGGAGCGCACTGTATTTACCAAAGGTGCGCATTCAGCACCTGAAAGCATGGTGCATGGCCTGCCCGGCCACGGGTTGCTGTCTGCCTCGAGGCGCGTTCCGTGCTACTGAGCTGTACGTACACCTCGGGTGGGTGCTGCATTGCAAGAGATGTAGGCAAAAGACGTGCAGCAGAAGCAGCAGCGGGTGTCACAGCGCGGTAGGTGCTGTGCGTGCTGCTAGGATGTTTTAGTGCAGTGTGGCACTGCCAGAGAGCAGCGGCAGCCGCTGCCGTGGGTGACCCTCAGCCTGATCATGGGGAGATTATGACGTGGAGAGGTTGCGGGCACTTGCACCTCCTGCTTACAGTAATGGGAGCACCTACGAAAACTGTGAGCGCCGCTGCTGTAACGGGGGCAGTTCAGCTTCATTAGGGCCCATTTGTAGAACTACGACTCTGTCCATCTGATGGGGTGTTTCGACGGCGCGTTCGGCCTCCAGGCATTACAGTGACGCTAACTGTAGGCCTTCGTTCGTGGCTTTGGGTTGGAACCAGGTACTCCAGCCTCACCTTACTCGTAGAGCGCTTCTGTAACGCCCTAGTGAAGTATGTGGAGCAGATATGGGCCGATAGGGAGGACAGCGTGCCGTGCGCGCGGAGGTGGCGCGAGTTACACACGACAATTTGGCTGTCGTATGTAACTATTTAAGCCCTCCATAGGGCGACACTTAAGTTGACACTCATTTAAGATTACTGAAGCGTTGTGGAGTGCTTTTCACAAGAGCCGCCTCCAGTTTTAGTCAAGACATCCGCTGTGGCGGGGTAGAAACAGCTGAGGTGCGTGTTGCCGTGCCCTCTCGACGCGCTCCGCTCCGAGAGCAATCACAGGTAGTTGCCCTGAGAATGCAGCACACACGTGCTCTCTCAACACGGGATGAACCTATTGGTGAATTCGTTCCGAAGGCTTGATTAATTTTGCTCCTGTAGAAGACCCTGTTCAAGTCTTTAGCTCAGCCCGGAGAGGCGCACACACCCAACGGGTGCCCTGGAGATGGCTGGATGTAATGACAGATTTCGACACGAGGCTGCAGGCAGCAGAGCCGTCAGCGTAGCAGGGTGGAAAGCCTGCGCGCTCTGGGTACGTCGAGACACAGGAATCTGGCTTAGGACCTGGCAGCGCTGCAGATGTGTACGACACAGATTCTGCGTAGCGGGAAGCGCCTAGGCCGGCGGCATTCTTAGGATGGACTTGAGGGACTCCAGTTTTGTGCAGAATATCAAGCGCTTTAAAACAACACCTTATTTCGGCGGATGCAGCAGACTGTGTGTGCCTGGTTGGATCGGGAAAAAGCTCGTCGTGTTGCGTATTTACAGAGTGACCTCCTCGGCGCAGGCGTTGGTGATTGACTGCTTTGCATGTTCTCCCTCGGCCGATGGTAGCAGGAGCAACCGGATATTTTGTTTAGTAGGAGTTCGGAGGCCTTGAAACTTGCGACTTCGAGCTTTCAGCTTTTCGGAATGAGCCGCTGGACTGGTGGCAAGCCCCTCCGCATGCATCTCTGGACTCGCGTGCTGCATGTCTTGTTATGGCGTTTCGGGCAGAAACCCTTCTTCTCTGAGCCGGAAGAGCCCTTTGGGCAACATTTACAGCATTTCAGCTGCCGCTGATGAATGCGCCTCGGGTTTGGTCTAAAGTGTATCGGTTGGTGGGCAAAGACAGCTCAAGGCTTTTATGGTCCCTGCGTGAGCACCCCGAGCGGACGCTGCTCGTTCTCCTGCTGCAAAAAAGCGTCTCTTTAGGCTTCACAGAGAGCGCGATCGGTTCCTTGCTCTCTCTCTCTCACTCGCTCGCGCCTTCCGCGGCCGAGGGTGGTATGTAGTCGCTGGGGATCAGTATGTTAAGCCAAGTGTTTATTCTCTCCCCCCGGGGAGACTGCCTGATTAGTCGCGACTTCAGACGGGACGTTCCTCGAGGCGCAGCGGAGATATTTCTCAGGAAGGTTCGATTTTGGGGTCAGCAGCAACAGCAGGAAGTCTCAGCCACCAGCGATGGCTCGCCAACAGTCGCAGCGGGCAGCGAGGCGCCCCCTGTCTTCACCGTGGGGGGCCTCTCTTTTGCATTCCTACGGCGCAGCGGCCTCTTATTTGTGCTGGTTACGCAGCAGAACCCTTCGCCATCCCTTTTGATCGAGGTGCTCCTCAGGATCGTCAAAGCCATCAAGGTCGCACCCTTGCACTGCACACTGCACTGTACAGTTTACAGACCACCCACCCACGTCCTACGCAGTTTCCTGGAAAAACGTTGCAAATCTCAGTCTTAAGGTCCTCACCTGAACCTCGCTCTCTCATCCGACAGCCTGCCTCTCGCCTATCAGATTCGTACTCTCACCGCTGGCTCCGTGTCTCCCTCGTAGTTGGTGCTGCCTAGTCATGTGAAAGGGCCGCTGTTTCGCGAATCCCGGCGCATCTGCAGAAAGGCCTGCAGATAGAGGCCTTCGAAGGGGCGTATGAACGGACAGACACTGCAACTCGTGTTGCAAATTCATGATTCAAAAAAGTGGTGCCGCGAGGGAGCAGCTAGGCCGGAGTTCAAGAATATCTAGGTGCGATTTTTCGGCTGCTCAGGATTTTTGCGGCGTGTTGAGCGAGGAAGTTGTGCGTCGCAACTTTGTGCTGATCTACGAGCTGCTTGACGAAGTGTGCGACTGCGGATACCCACAGCAGTCGGCCACAGAGAGCCTCAAATCGGCGATTCATTCGGAGGCAGTCCTTATAGAGCCACAGCCTCCAAAAACTCCGGTAACAATATGTATATATATGTATATGTATATATATATGTATATGTATATATATGTATATGTATATATATGTATATGTATATATATGTATATGTATATATATGTATATGTATATATATGTATATGTATATATATGTATATGTATATATATGTATATGTATATATATGTATATGTATATATATGTATATGTATATATATGTATATGTATATATATGTATATGTATATATATGTATATGTATATATATGTATATGTATACATATGTATATATATGTATATATATATATATGTATATATTTAGAGGCACCAACACCCGGTCTGTAGCGTGGCCACGTTCAGTCTGAACTGTTAAGGCAGTATGGCGCACACGGCGATCTTTGCTGACGAGCGGCCTCCTTGCAATGATGCATGCGCGGCTGTCCGCGCAGCTGTCTGCTACGGCTGGGGCTGTGGCTCTGCATGCGGCTGGTGCGTGTGCGGTTGCAGCCCGTCTCGCTGCCTTCCTTCGTGAGTACCAGCCCCAAGACTATGCCATCTACGGCTAGCCGCAGGCCTGTGGCTGTTTCTGCTGCCGCAGGGAGCGGCAGCAGCAGCGCGGCAGCAGCGGCTGCGAGACGTCGCAGCGAGATCTTCGTGGACGTGATCGAGCGGCTGTCTGCCGTTCTCTCGAGAGACGGCAGAGTGCTGCATGCATCCCTTGACGGGTGCATTCAGATGAAGTCTTACCTGGATACCCCGCCTCTCATGAAGCTCGCCCTTTCGGACCAGCTGAGTATTGGCAGCAGCGGTGAGAGCCACGTGCGCGCTGCCTCGAGTCGAGGCGGCGAGGAAGCACGCGCAAAGGGGAAGGGGCACACGGAGGAAAGGCCTTAGTGCGGGAGGGGGAAGGGAGGAGAGCGCTCAACACTTTCCTCAGAGACCTTTGTGTTCGATGGTACTTTCCTGGGGTTGAGCAAAGCCGCCGCATGCGAAGCAGAGAGCACCAAAGGGGGGCGGAAAAAGTGTCGGTGCATGCTTCAGGCCTTAGTGAGGGTGGCGCCCTCTGTACGGATTCGTGCAACTTCCACGAATGTGTGGACTTGGCGCTCTTCGAATCTCAGCGCCTTCTCACATTTCGACCTCCCGATGGCGAGTTCGTCCTTTTGAACTACAGAGCCGTCTCTGTTAGCCATGTGCCTTTTAGGGTTCTTCCCACCGTTGAGGAGCTTGGCAACGGCAAGGTAGGAGGGGGCTTTGGAAGGTTCTTCCAGGATGATGCGTTGTGGTAGATATCTTTCTGTTGTCGGCTCCCCGCCGAGGCGTGGTGGTAGTAGCGCTTCGGGAGCCCCCGTGTGTGCCTAATATATGTGTGTATGTGTTGGGGGGGGAGAAGGGCAAGGGTAGCGCAGCGAGGCTGCCCTTTCACAGCGTTACTCTCCGCGAGGCGTTTGCGCATCATCTCCAAGAAGAAAGACTCGACCGGGTAGAGGAAGCTCTTTCCATTTCTGTCGGCATGTTTGCATCTTTTTTTTCACAGGTAGACGTGATACTGCGAATCCGCGCCGATCTCCCCGAGCAGTCCTGTGCCGCGAATGTCTCTGTCTCTGTATCCCTGCCAAAAGCCACGACTTCCGTGGCTCTGGAGTCGATGCCACCAGTTGCTGCCCAAGTAAGCAGTAGCATACAAATGTGTCCCTATGCATGAGTGCTTTTTCAGGCGTCCAAACATGCATGCATGCATTGTTCACCTGCGCATGCATGTAGGGGGGCGTATTCTGTAGTGAAGGGTGGCTTGGAGGTCCTTTCCCAAGCGTAGCGCTTGCAAGTTGCGCTGGAAGCAGCGCACATTCTGGTTTCTGTCGCTCTTGGCCTCTCTCTGCCATGCACGCAATCCAAATATACCTATTTTCAAGCCTCTGCTGCTAGCATAGGCTGCTCGACCCCTTGTGCCCCTAAACGCTCCTCCCCTCCGAGCCTGCCTGCTCACTCCGCCTGCAAGGCCTCGATGGTTTTTGTGGGTGTTTGTGCCTCGGCAGAGGCACAAACACCGCTGCACTCAAGCTCGCTGCCTGCGTTCGTTTGATTTAGGGTATGGAGTTCATTGCAGCCGAGCACCGAATCCACTGGCTCATTAAAAAGTTTCAGGTAAGGGCAGTCGAGAGCCTGTTCAAGGGGAGGGCGATGGGGTGCAGCACTATCCCGCTTGCCGTTTCTGTGCACTCCAAGAGTGGGGGATGGAGACGGGGTGTAGGAAGGCCGCCAGGAGAGTTGGGGTGTTCTTAGAGGACGAGAGGCATCAGCACAAAGACGCCATCAGTGTAGCCTAGCCAGCAGGTCATGGTGCGAATGTGGAAGCGCGCGAGAGAGCGCATAGACTGAGGCGGAGAAGTGTGGCTTTAGGAGGCACGAGAGAGCTGCTTGCAGAAGAAGGTCTCGCAGCCACAGAGAGAGCAGCCGGCTGTAGACGATGGACAGCGAGGAAGGGTCCCCCTCGTGTGTAGTTGTGTGTGTGTATGTAGTCGTGTGTTTGTCAGTGCAAGCCTGGCTCATTAAAAATGCGTGTCACATTTGACACATATACATATATTATGTATATCACATGTATATATCTATGGACGATCAGAAAGAGTCAATAGATAAGGATTGCTTTCCACCTTGGTTTTGTCGGGATGGCTGTTCTCCCCTCAGGGTGGCTGCGAGCTGAGTTTTCGGGTGCGTGTGACACTCAATCCTGCCTTGCCCCCCCCCTTGCGCTCGGAGTATGGGCCCGCTACTTTAGGCTTCGAAATTCCGATGTACAACGTATCCAGCCTTCAGGTGGGTGGTGCATGCAATGCGGCCACACGCGCTGAAGCCTCATGCGTGAGAGGGCAGGCCGCCGTTCAGCTTCGTCGCAATGCGCGGGCTAGGCATGGGGGAGAGGATATCTGTTTCTGGACGTGTCTTTTTGTCTTCGGACGTGTCTGTGTCTCTCTGGGCGTATTTCATACCGCATCTTTACACCATCTTTTCTTCAGCCCCGCCTCGACACGGTGCCCCCTGGGGTGTATAGCCACCCCGCGGCTCGGGCAGCGGCACTCTAAAATAAACCTCGCCGTTTTGCGTCTCTGCTGCTCTGCCCGCTGCAGGTTAGGTATCTGCGGGTGGCGGAGAGGGACGGGGCGTTTAATCCCTTTCGCTGGGTGCGTTACGTTACCCAATCCTCGTCATACGTCTGCAGGTTTTGATGTTTTCTTTCTGCTTTTTAATACATCGATCTCCCCGTGTGCCGCCGTTTGGGGGCCCGCCGTGTGCATGGAACACAGATGCATTCACACATACCCGTACACGGATCCGCCCGTCCCTTTTAGGCGACGCCTTCGCACCCTGCATTCCGTTATGCCCTTCCTTCCCCTCTTTTCGCGGGGAAGGGTCGCTCTCTAGAGGGGCAACCAAGCGCCTCCTTAAAAAGGCCTAACACAGCTGCTTAGACATGTCGCATTTTCGCAGCCCATGTCTCGGGTGCCTTTGCATCACTGGCCGCTGGGGGGCCATCTGTCCCTTATTCGCTCTCTCGCTCGTGCACATAAAAGGGCACGGTGGATGCGCGCGAGGGCAGCAGAGCAACGCTAGAAACTGCTGCTGCCCCTTCTTGTTCCGAAGACGCACTGTAGCGGACTGCCCTACCGTTTCCCTTTCCGCCTTTCCCGCGCTGCCTCCCGCAGTGTTCCACTGCTCGCATTGCACTACACCCATGCCCTTTGTTTAGGCGCGCTCTCGGCGGAAGGGCCGTGTGCAAGGCGGAAGGCACGTGAGCCTTTCGCACGAGCGCCCCTTCTCCCCAGATACCAAGTGGGGGCTTTTGAAATGGCAATCACGGAGCCCTAGTCATCGCCAGACCTACACACTGGAGAAACGCAACGGAGAGTGCACCCAAAAAAGCGATACGGCAAGCAGGCAGGGGCGAACCGGAGATTCAAAGTGCTGCCACGTAGAAAAGGAGCTATTTCAGGTCGCAACAACGAACGCTCTAGCTATATGTGTCCGTGCAAAACCGGTAACCTCAGTCAGCGGTAGAGGACAAACAAAAAGAGCGCCTAACGTTTCAACGGCGAAGCGGTTTATGGCGCTCCCAGGTAAAACGCCACCCGAGTGAGATGCTCCTCGTGCTGAGTTTTCAAGGGCGCGCAGTGGTCTCCTTGTCTCACCGCTTCTTGCTATGGGTCTTCCCCCTTTTTTTCATGCCGTGTCTGTACCGTCTCTTGCGGCAGTCTGCACATTCGGTGTGCCTGCTTCTACCTGTGCAAAAAGCTTATGTCTGTGCCTGCCTGCGTCCCGCCAGCCAGGATGTGTTTCTGCCGTCGTCTTGCGGCGCTCCAACCAACTCCCAGTGGGCGTGAGCAAGCCACTGCGATTTGCTTGCTGCGGTATTTCAGCAGCAGAGCGCGTTCTGGTCAGAAAGATCATGAAGAGGAAGGGGTGTTCGGCGTTGCGCAGAGGTCACAGACACTGCTCACACGGGCCCTAGAAAAAACGCGCGCATGCTGGTTCGTGGCTTGAGCCACTTGAAGGCGCTGCTGCCTCCGTGGCGGCAATGATTTGTTGATGACGAAGGGGCCGTACAGACGTGAGATGGAGGACACAAGCGCGAGGCGCAGGCGATCGAGGCCTCCCTCCGCATCCGTAGACGAGGCAATCGAGGCAACAACGGAGACTGTGCGCGTCCCCTTTTGCGCAATCAAACAAGAGAAAGAAGAAAAATGGTACGATGGGGGGCCCTTGTGAGTATTTGTCGGTACTCAGGGCAGCTCTGCCCACCGCAGCCCTTTTTGTGCTGTTGCCGCTGTCGGTGTGCAGTAGCTGTATGAGCCCTCGGGGAGGACGAGGGACTAACGAGTGAAATTTCCCGATATTGTTTTCATCATTCTCTTTTTCGCTTGTTCGAACGCAGACAACTCCCGCTAATGCTGTTTCCCCGGAGTGCCACAGCCGGCAAGCCGCAAGCATGACGGCTGCGCATTGAGCGATTAGTACGCAGTTTGCCGAGCAAGCGCGCCTAAACACTGATTTTACAGAGGGAGAGAGTCATTTGGGGCCCTCGAGGCCTTGCTTGCCGCCTGCAGAGCTGGATAGAGCTCCTTTTCTTCATGAAGGGGTCCTCAGCGAACGCGACGCCGTTGAGTTCCTGCAGTTGAATCGTACAGCTCTGCATACGAAGGCGGCTGCGGTGCATGTGCACGCCTTCTTGTCTTCATTGGGAGTGCAGGCTGTTCCTGCCGCCCGTACTTTTCTCTGTTTTCACGAGCCGCTCCCTCCCACCTCGACACAACCCTAAGAGGGGCCTCTCTCTCCCCCCTTTCGTTCTCTCTCCCCCCCCAAAGGGTCATCATAACGTGCGCACAATTTTTAACTATGCGTGCCAAGCCCCGAAATTCCCAATAAACCCCAAGATCGCAACTTCACACCGCAAAGATGGCCTCGTACTTCACTCCTTTGCCGTTCTTGGATGAAGACACCCTGCTGGATCTGACAGGCAAATGCTTCCTCGTATCAAAGCCGCCACAAAGCATCAAAGCTGCAGGAGATGCAGAAGTCATCTGGGAAGCGCTAAATAAGATCTACCCCGCGTGGTTTGACCAATCCATGCACCCGACGGAGTGTGAATCTCCGCAGGTATGGACTGCATGCATGCATCGCCTAAACTTGCACACGCCTTCCTTCCATGAGAAGGACCCGGCCTTCGCAGCTCCAACTTGAATGCCCGCATTTCTGAACACACATCCGGCACTTTTCTTAACCGCATTCCCACGGTGTATGCGCCCGTGGTGCCTGCAGGCGGCGGTAGAGAACATGCTCTACTACATGAACGAATTCTTGGAGAACAAGTTTCAATCAGATTTCGATGTCCTTAAGGCACACATCCCAGAGTTGCTGAACGGCAACTCCTCACTGGTAAGCTTCTCGCTGCTGCCGCAGTGCCCGGCCTGACCAGCGTTTTGCAACACATTTAGCGTCTTCCTCGATGGAGAAGAGACCCCGCCACCCTTCTTCGTAAACGGAAAAAGCATATGCGCCTTCTGCGCTTGAATTAGAGCCGGCTCACAGGATAAATACCGTGCAAGCGCAGCGCCTTTCTAAACAATGCTTCCCTGCACTCTGAGCAACGCCTTCCTCCTGAAGGGTTTCATGGGCAAGGGTTCAAGACAAGTGCATTAAGATCTTGCGTTTTTTTGTGATGGCGAGATTCGTGTTTGCGGAGGTTGGCTGGATCATTAGGCGGGGCTTTTCAGTGCGCAAAGAGAGGGCCAGGGTTGTGGTTTGCGATGATGTGTATGTGTATGTATGTGTGTGGGGGGGTTTTGTTGTTGTGTCTCCTGTGCAGGTGTTGAAGCTCTACGAATTCATCCTGCTCATTTCGATTCAGAGCGAATGCCAAGAAGTCGTCGCCCGCTTCATGCAGCTTAGCGAGACCTCGCAGACCGTCATCCAACGCGTCATTCAGTTTTATGCGGACGATGTCAGTCACGGGCTCTAAGAGAAGCCTAGCTCGCTGCACTGCTACCCGCTGCAGGTGTACAGGCAGGAACCCCCGCTCGCGGAGTTGCTGCCTGTGTGTACATGAGTTTTGTCTTTGCGGAAAAGCCAACGCCGCGCTGACAGCGGCCCAGCAGCAGCAGCCGCTCGCCTTCCGCGGCTAGCCGCCTACTTTAATTGATGCAGTGGCGGCAGGCTTCGCTGTCTTGTCTCTTTGCTGTCAATACAAGGGGGGTGGCCTTGAATGGCGCTCGAGAGTGGGTGGTGAGTCACGCGTCTGCGCAGGACGATTCGAAGGCTTTCCCGGAGGTTGCTGCGCTGTCAAAGAGCTGGGGATCTTCCGCGCATCCCTCTGGGCATGACGACGGCGAGGGAGAAAGAGGGGGGGGGGGGCCTCTGGCGCAGCGGCTGAACGCGCAAGTAGCGGCACTGAAGGATCAACTGGCTGCAGCGAAGGCGCAACTGGCCGACAGCGAGACGCAGAGGGAAGCCCTTCTAGACAGGCTCAAGCGCACCGAGCAGGACAGAGAGCAGGAGAAGAACAAGCGCATGACGCTAGAGATTCAGCTTGAACGCAAGAAAGACAGTCTTGTGGTGAGCTGAGACGCTCAGGCGAAAGCTGTGCGGCTCAAGGGGTGGTCTCTCAGAGGCTTTGCGACAAGGCGGATCTGGCAGTCCGTCCAAAAGGGGCTTTTCACGTTTCTGCGGGAGTTGCTCTGTCTGCGTCTTTCTGCGTTCAGAAGGAGTTCGTGACTCAAGCCGACGAGCTTGAGAAGACGATCACCAAGCTTAAGGCGGAGCTCGAAGTGGGTGTCTTGTCCTTTCTTCTTCTTGTAACCGCTTGCTGGGAGGCCGCAAAACGCGCGGGGTTCTGCCCCTGCGCGAAGGCAGCACTCAGCGTCGAGACGTGGTGCTCGCCGTTTGTTGCGTGCAGACAGAAAAGAAGGAAAAAAAGAAACTTGACGAAAAGCTGAAGCAGCGCGTCAACGAGTGAGACGCCGCCGACCACGCTGTTGCCGCCTTTGAGAGGCGTCGAGCGTCTGTCACGCTGCGATCTGCCTAAGCGATTCCTGAACACAAGGAGAGCCTAGTTTAGAGACCCTTTTTTTGCCCCTAGACGCGCATGCTCCGCCGCTTGGCTGTTTGAGATCTTCACGCTCCTCCGGCTAAACCCTAGAGCCTTGACTGCGGAGATCAAGTAGGCTTGCCGCCTTCGCGGCTGCCTGTGGCTTCCGTGAATACAGGCTGCAGGATGAGCTCGAGATGGCGAAGTCAGAGTCTCGCAGGGCCCAAGCACTGGAGGTGCAGGTGGAAACGTATAAAAACAAACTGAAGGAAATTCCGGAGCTCAAGGAGGCCGTCGCGAGGCTCGAGCAACAGAACAAGGTGGGTGCTCTGCTGTTCTCGGAGAGAAAAAATACACTCTAAGAAGCCACCCTGCTAGCCAGGGAAGCTTGCGCGGAAGCTGCGAGCAGCAACTGCCCCTTTTCGCAGCGTGCAAGCTCCACGTTCCGATGGGGTGTGAAGCTGTGAAGCATATTTTATCTGGGGAAATCAGGCGTTGCTGGCGCTTTGCCTGCTGTCTAGCTCGCTGCCTGCCTTGCTCGCGTCGCTTTCTCAGTGCCTTGCTGCACGCGCGGCGTCAGCTAGCTGGCTAGCGCCTTTTAGCCCGCGCTCTAATTCTCTCTGCACGTGCTGCGCCGCCTAGGCAAATCTGGAGAAACTGATTGACGCCAGTCCGGACCCTGGAGAAGCCACCGCTCTCAAAAAGTCGGTGGAGCTGTACAAGGAAAAAGCTGCGGGTAGGCTGCAGCATGCGAACTGCAAATCAGCAGGGCGCTGCGCGCAGTTCGCCTCGAATTCGATCGTGTGCTTTGTCAGCTGGTCCTTTCTCTCTCTCTGCCTCTCTCTCTTCCTCTCTGCAGCGCAAAGCGCAAGGCGTACCATCCCCGCCTCGCACTCTGGCCTGTAAACAGCTGCACGGCGGAGTGAAAGGGAGGGTGGGCAGTCGGGTTTAAAAGCCTCAAAAGCTGCTCCCATTCCCTGCTCGAGGTTCAGGGTCTGTGCAAAGGTGGCGTTTGTATTGGTGTCTGCGCGTAGATATCGAAGAGAAATTGGTGGAGGCGCGAGCGCTTGGCGAGGCCTTGCAGACGCAAAAGAAAGAACTGGAATCTAAAGTCAAGGCTGCAGAAAAGAAAGCGTATGCGAAACGTCTCCACTTGACACTGCAGAGCTGCTTAGTAGGGCGTTCGATCGGGGAGTCTGTGGGAGAGCTGTCTAAAGGGGGTTAGGAGCCACGCCTCAGCAGGACCGCAGGATGCGCCTTTGGCAAGCCTTATTTTGAGCGGGCATGCATGCAACGCCATGTCTTGCTTTGCTCCTTCCTAGGCAGCTAGCCCATGCTCCACTGCGGCGGGGCCTTAGAGAAGCTTGGAGTGAGGACCTATATGTATATACATACATACATGTGTAACATGTGTGTATGTTTGTTTGTGTGTTTGTGTATGGTTGTGCGTTTGTTTGTGCGCTGCAGGGAAGTTGCGCAGCTTACCTTGGTGCGAAAGGAGGCTGAATTCGACGCGAAGACATTCGAGATCGAGGCTTTACAGCAGGAGCTCGAGAAGGCCAGGTCAGCACGCACGGTGCTCGCAGAGTGGTAGCCAGCAGTTTTTCGATATGCAGGTTGCGAGGCAGTTAGCGCGCTGATTCTTCGTGCATGCAAGGGCCTTCCGTACGCGCAGCGCAGCCGCGTGGTTAGATGTGCATGCAGCTGCCTCGCTGGCGCGTAGGCAGCAGGGTTGGTGCCTTGCGGCAAGGGGGCAGACTGTGTATTCGCCTTCGAGAGACGGCCGGAAGTTCGCCCATAGGCTTTCGAACTGTTTGGCAGCTTGTCGCCCGTTTATTCCTCGCCTTCGGAGCCGTTGTGCTGCGAATGCAGAAAAAGTGCCGGGGAGGCGAAAGTCGTTAATGCGGCCAAATCCTCGGAAGATAAGGAGGCTCTAGCAGCGCGTGTTGCAGAAGTCCGTTGTTGCCAGCTCTTACCCTGAGTCTCCATCCTTTTGCATGTGCTGCATGCAATTGCATGTCTGTACACTTTGTTTTAGCCCGTTCTGACAAATGTGTTCTTTGCGTGCCTGCCTGTTCTTAGCTGGAGAGCGAGCTCGACGACGCCATACGCGTTAAGAAGAGATTGGAAAAGGCTCAAGGGGTCACTCTTGCGCAGCTGCAGTTGCTTCAGAAGCAGCAAGAGAAGGAAGGAGACAAGGAGCAGCTCCAGCAGCAAATCAATGAGCTCATAGCTAAAAATGCGGAGCTGCAGAGCAGTGTCAAGGATCTTACGGAGGTGTGCACCCTCCCCTCACGATTTGCACAAGTCAAGTCTAATAAGCTATGAGTCCTTTTACCCTGAAGCTAGTTACCCTCCATAGACATGCCCTTCCCCAGCGGTGAACTTCGCAGCGGCAACACCAGCTGCGCTGGGGAGATACGGGAAAGTCGTTGTGAGAGAAAGCCTTCCGAGCTACCCTCTTTGCCCTCGGGCTGTTTAAAAGGCAGGCATGCAACGCGGTCGAAGCCTAACGAGCTCTGCGCTTTGTGCTGCAGAGTAAGGATCAGCTGACGAAACAAATGATGGAAGCGTTTGCAAAGAACGACTCGAGGGGGACGAGCGCAGCAGACGAGCTCAAGGTACTAGAGAAAATTCTACTGTCTGACCTGCTGCGGGGTGGGAGGGAGGCAACTGTTTGCGATGAGCCTGCTGCTAGTGCTGCGGCTGCTCTGCTCAGCAGACAGCCGCCGACGTGCGACGCCTTGAAAGTGCGTCTGCTCGTGCTTCTTGTGGGCTACTGCTCTTGCTGCTCTTGCTGCGCATGCGTAGGTGCGTTTGGCTGCAGCAGAGGCTCAGGTGGCTGCCTCCAAGGAGCAGCAGCAGCTGCAGATAGATCTTGTGAAGGCGCAGCTCGAGAAGCAGACTGAGGGGGCACTGAATGCTCTGAAAGAGCAGCTGCAAATCCGTGACAGGGAGTCTAGCTTCTACAGGAAGGCCATGTGCGTTTGAAAGACTGCAGTTGAGGGCTGCAGCCTTCCTCGTGGGCAGCAAGCGGGTGTGGGCGCCTTGTAGTAACTCGAGAGAAAGACTTGGGGTGCGCTCTGCGTGTGGATTGCCAGCGAATTTCGGATCTGGATTTTGTCTCTTCAGAGAGGACGGTGCGGAACAGAGCCGGAGAGAGCAGCGCTTGCTGGCGTCGGTGCTTTACGAGATCGGCCTTCGCCATCACCGATTGCGTTGTTACTGTCAACAACTCAAGCAAGAACACGAGGCTCTAATCCTCAGGTAACGAACAGTGCTAAGGAGAGCCTTTGCCCTAATGTCAGAGGAGGCCTTGTTGCACCACGAATCCTCTTGAGACAAGCCTCGCGAGCTAGAGTGCCGCGTCAATTTGCATGCATGCAAACTGACGGAGCCTGTGCCAAACCCTTTGGGGTGCAAAAAACTGGCGACGCAAAGCGCCTCGCGAAACGAATGACGGCCCCACCATGGGTTCGCAGCAGTCCACGCAAGTTGCTGCCAACGCACATTTGGAGATAATGATAAGCAGCAGCAGCAGCAGCAGCGCTTTGCGGGAGGGTCGCTCTGTGCACCCTCATTCACGTGTTTGTGGTGGTATCTGTGGTGTTTTCTGGCCCTTCGGTGTTTTTACGCGCCGCAGGCTGCAGGCGGGGGAAGGAAGGCGGATCGAGGATCCGACAGAAAAGCAGTCCCCTGAGGAGCCAGAGGAGGGGGGGCCTCCCTTCACGAACGATATTGGGCGCTCGAGCACAAAGATGCATACTCCTCCTGCTTCGGAATAAAATGCACTTCAGGGAGCAGTCACACGTACAGCTGGGCACTCCCGGCAGCAGCCTCCAGAGCTGCCGCCGTTACTGCCCGTTAAGGGATGTTTTGGATCGGCAGCAACAGCCGCACCCCCTGCCTGCTGCTGATGCTGCGTTTGCATCTCCCTCTCACACCTGGGAGCTCTTCAGCCTCAACAGGAACAGCAGCAGATTGCTGCTGCTGCTCCTGTTGCAGCTCCTGCTGCTGCTAAGATTTGCAGCCTGTAGTTTCGCATGCTAAGAGGCACTGCGTATACCATTCTATAAAGAGCTGCGTCCTTTCGGTTCCCACTATTCGAGAGCAGAGGCGCTCTCTTAGCCCCTCTATTACCACCACCACCCCTGTTACCACCACCCCCCCTATTACCACCACCCCCATCCCGCTCCCCACCCTGCCCACGAAGTGCGGCTTTCAGGCTCAATGGCGCCGTAACCGCTGCTGTTGCATGGGGTCAAGCTGCTGCTCTAGGCGCTGCAGAAGCGCCTTCTCCGCCTCTTCCTGCTCTTCTGGCTGCTGATTCTGCGCTGTCTCGAGGCACTGCAGCAACGAGAAGAGGTCTGAGGTCGCAGACACAGCAGGAGCAGGTTAGGAGGCTTGGAGAAAAGGCGTGTGCTTTCGACAAGCGAGAGGGGAGCGCGCATGCATGCCAGCTGAGCTCCCGATTCTTCTGGAGGGTTGCGATTCTGTCAGGTTCTAGAGTTTAGCGTTCAAAGGTACTGGATGCTCTTTGTAGATCGCAGAGAGAAAGCCGCAGCAGGGGAGCCCTCCGAAGCCGCAGGCTCGCTGCAATTTCAGAACGCAGTGTTCCTACTCCCCGCTGCAGCGCGGCAAAAATCTGAATCAGGCAAAGCAGCGGCAGCGGAGCATTCGGACGCCACTTTTCGGATTCGCGCATGAGAGCTTCATGCAAGAATTTACACACGCATTCCTCAGTAGATACGCGAGAGCACGTGTATGCGATAGGGAGACGTCGGCGCAACGGCAAGTAACGCTCACATGGCGCTGCTCCCCAGGCTCCGCATCAATGGACAGTTCAACATCTGCTACTTCAAGGCCCTTGTGGAGATGTACTGACACCACATCGATGCTGCACGCTGCTGCTGCTGCCGCTGCGTCTTCGTCGCCACCATTCTCCCATCCCTCTCGTCCTCCTTCCGTGTCTATTCTGAATGCGTCCTCTGCGGCGCTGTATGTACTGGGGTGGCTGGAGGGCATGAACCTGTGGGCTGCGGCAGCACGCAAGAGCAAGTCAAGACACTGTGCAGAGGTAGCCAACATCCAGGGGTAGAAGGGAGGTGGCTTTTCATGAAGCGTTTAGAAAGCACTTGAACGGCCAGCACGCGCTTCTCTCTATCCCTTTCTTCCCCCCCCCCCCAGAACGCCGGAGCTTGCAGGCTGCTCGCCTCAGTCCCTTCATTGCTCCCGAGTAAAATGCTGCCAAATTCGTGGGCACTTACCGTGCCGGATAAGAAACTTCTGAAGAATACGCTTGATCGACTCTTGAAGCCTGCCTGCCCGTATGTGCTGCCGCTTGGCGATCGCGAACCAGCCGCTGCTGCTGCTGCTGCCTCTTCGCCGTTTATCCCGGCGAAGGTTTTGGTGTCTGCTGCTGTTTTCGCTGTTGCTCTTTTCGCTGTTGCTCCTTTCGCTGCTGCTGCTGCTGTTTCCAGTGCCGTCGCCAGCGCTCCTGGGAGAGCTGCAGCTGGCAAAGGCGCTGCTCGTGCTCAAGCAGGAGGGCGTCCGGCTTCCGCGACAGCAGCCGTTCAGAGTCAGAAACAGACAAACTGAGGCGCTCCCAGCAAAGGGCTGCCTCTGCTGCTGCACCGACAGCCCAACAACGGACGCTCTGCCGCAAGTTGGGGGAGACGGCGGCACTTTTGCGAGGAGTGTCGCAGACTCGACAACTTGCAGCGCAAAGCTTGTTGCAGGGAGCCCGAGAGCGTCCTCTGTACGCAGCAATAGAAGCAGCAGCGACAGAAGCAGTTGCACGACGCAGACTGCAGGAGGGGCCATTAAGCTGTCGACTCGCCAAGACTGCCGCGCGGGGTGCTGCCGACAGCAGCGGCGGGGGTGTCGGGGAGGTCTCCAAGGTGTCTTTCTCTGTTCAGCCTCCCAATATCTTCAGTTCTGCGCATTTCACGCCTCTAAGAAGGACCAGATGCGTGGATCAGAACGCGCTCTCACCGCAAGGAAGCCTAGGTGATGATGCTCTTCCGCCGCGATGGGGCTTAAAATTCACGACATGCATGCACACAGAAGAGCGCTCCACTCCGAAACAGCCTTCTCCCTATGACAAGACACACTGAAATCTGCTGTTTCGGATCCGTTTCTCACAAGAAAGCGACTTGTCGCTCCTCTCAAATCCCCAGCTCTCAAGTCCGTCCAGCTACTCCAAAGTAACCCCCAGCGTCTACGGATCCTTCCTCCGAGACTCAGCCTTCACCTGAACACCAACACATGCCCCCTGCAGCAGGTCCTATGAACTCCTTCCTCCTCCTCTCCCCCGGAGAAACACACCCACACACTGCGCTTCTAGCCTTTAGAGCGGCAACCCCTAGGCACTCCAGCGCGTGCCTCGCTGCTTCACCGCCTTCCCACCGAGCGATCAAGCCTTCAGACGCATGCCCTCGCCACACGCGGCTCGACGTTCACTATGGAGGCTGAGGAGGGGCCGCTTTGCACGCGCCTCCCTCCTTCCCAACTCTCGTCTTTCCCAGGCAGCCGCCCACCCTACCCTGTTACCACAGGAGCTCTCCAGTAGCAGCAGCAGTGGGGCGACTGCTGACTAGCCACCTAGGCCGCTGACAGGTGTCTCTACCTCCCCACGCTGCTCAAGAGGAGCAGAAGAAGCAGCAGCTCGCACCAGCTGAACCTCGAGAAACATGGACCCCACAACACCCCCCGAGAAAGCTCCCACTCGCGGCAGTCCTCCCAGCAGTCTTCGCAGCAGCGCGTCTGGATCCGGATGTCTGAGTGCCTCCTCCGTGTGCAGTCTGTATGCATCGCTCTCGCGTCACTCGTCACTGCTGCAGGCTGCCTTCTCCAAGAGCAGCAGCACCGAACTGCAGAAAAACTTGCGCCTCGACGGAGCCCTCTTAGACGTTATCACGCCGAACGATACTTACGTAGGTTGGTCCTTTTTTTTCAAACCGTAAGGATAGAGGACGCTTGCGGAGGATCTGGAGGGGGGCAGTGGATGTCGCTGCTCCAGTCGGTCCCCTTGCTGCATCTCTCGGCTTTTTGTTACCCTCCTCCTGCCTCTGCTGCGAATGCTCTCTCTGCCGCAGGCAGTCGGCAGCAGCTGCACGCATGGCTCTGCGCTGAGCCTCGCACTCCAAAGCCAAAGTCGCCGACTCAATCACCAGGTCCACTTGGAAACCTCGCTACAGCTCCTCCACAGCTGGAAGGATTCCGTAAGTAGGCACGCCATTCTCTTTTGTCGCTTGTCAGAGTTGTAACCGATGCATGGCTGAGGCGAGGATTGAGCCCCTGCTAGCGATGCGAGAGGGCTGGGGATGCACTCCCAAACAGCCGTCCCAACGACTACCCTTTTGGAGACCACTCCAAGCAGGAAAAGACGCGTGGATCCAAAAGCGCAAGCCTAGGATGCCTCTGCTCTGCAGGTGTGTGCCTATGTGTACACGCCTTCGCAGTTCAGCGAAGACGCAGGAGGCCTCTCCTTTGCAGCGCTGGGGAGCGCGCTACCCCTAAGCTTGAGCTCCTGGAGTCTCTTGGAGGCGGAGGCTTTCACGGCTGCCCCCGTCGCGGCGGCTCTGAGCGCTGCTCTCGCTGCTGCTGCCGATCCGAAAGACGGAGCAGCAGGAGCTGCTGCTGCAGGAGCTGCTGCTGCAGGATCTGCTGCTGCAGGAGCTGCTGCACTGACGAGGCGGCGATCCACACGCAAGCGCTCTCGGAGAAACCCTTGCACAAGCACGCGCATTGCAGACGAGCCAGTATGGTCCTCTGATTTGTACTCTCAAAGCTTCTCAAATACGCAGTTTTAGCGATTGGATGTCAAATTTCTGCTCTACTAAAAGCCGCCTCCGGCTTCCACCGACTCCTGTGAACTCGTCTCAGGCCTCGAGCGATGAGCAGCGTGAAGCTGCAACGTTGCGGCTGACTCAGCGTCTGCTGGAATTCTTGCGAAAGAGACGCGCTGCTGCTGAAGCCGCTGCTGCTCCTTCTGATGGAGGAAGGGAAGCCTCAAGCGGAAGCATGCAGCAAGCCGCTGCTGCCGCGATACCGCTGTGGGAGCTGGCAATAGACCCCCGTGAGGAGGGCGGCTTCACGGGCAGCTGCATGCGCCTCTTTTGCCTCACAGGTCTGCTGCGAGATGGCCACATTTCGCTTTCTACTGACCACGACGGCGTCCTCATGGTGCAGGTAGGTACAGTGCAGAAGGAGGCTTGAGACAGCTGCTGTTAGAGGGCAGCACGCCCAGCACAGGCGAGGGGAATCTCCACTGCCAGCACTTTTGCATGTGCTTGTTCCTGCAAGTTCGCGCAACAGCATGTCTCGGGGCCGCTGCGGCCGGTAGCAAAAGATCCTGATGCTTCTTCACAAAGCGTATCGCTTCGCGCTGCGTTGCTGCGGTCCACAGGCATCCTGTGTCGACAGCAGCAACGGCCACGGCAGCAGCAATCAAGGCAGCAGCAACACCAGCAGCAGCGGTAAAAGCAGCACCAGCAGAAGAACCAGTAGTAGCAGTAGTAGTAGTAGCAGCAGCAGCAAAGGAAGCAAGCCAGAGACGAGTCAGGCTGTGCTTTCGCCCTTCACTGCCGCCGTTTGGAGGGATCTAAGAGAGGCTCTAGGCCTCGGTCCAGCGGCTAGGCCGCTTGCAGACACTGATTCAGATGGAGACGGCTAGCCGGACCTAAATCCGAGTCTTAGAGTTCGGTGTTTGCTTCCTATACACTCGCTGCTGACAGTGCCTTGCGCTGCGGCACCTGCAGCTTATGTAGCGGCAGCAGTAGCAGCAAGTACTGCCACGCCCAAGAGCCGCTTCTGCGAGACACGCAGGGCATACCGAAAAGACTTCTCTAGAGGCTCAAGTTTCTTAGAGTAAATTAAATACAGAGCGCCGACAAAGGCGCAAGACGAGGGCGCTTAGAGTCCTTCACTGCCAGACTGCTCCAAACTCGAGGTCGCAACTAGGCACCTCATCTTCAACATGGAAAAGGGCGCCAGAGTGAGACTATGCATGAGCAGCATTTTCCTTTGCGGCTGTTGCGGCTGCTGCTGCTTGTGATACGCGCTTGCTGGAAGGACTTATCCTGACGGCATCCAGGCGTTTAATGGTCTTGAGCATTGCCGAATGGAACCTGCAGAGAAAGCGCAGACTCCCTTGAGGAAGGCATCATGGACCTCCTCCAGCGCGTAGCGTGCAGCAGGGTAAGTGTTCGTGGAGCTGCTGCCGCTGCGCTGGGGGGAGGAATATGCAGCGCTGCTGCACCTGTGCACGTCCTCTTGCGTGTTGTATACGGCAAGCGAGGCACGGAGTGAGCCCGTGGAGGCGCCAAGGATTTCTTCGTGCAGCGGCTGTGCGCAGTGGTGGCCTGCATCAACCGCGCGCACAACTGGAAGCGCTCCAGTTCGCGCCAAGGCTATCAATACGTGCGGCTAGCGGAGAGCAAGCAAGCGCAAGGGCTTTATCTCCGCGAACTAGCCACTGCCAGCGTCGAAGGAAGGAGACTCAGCAGCAGCAGGCGCAACTCCAGGCAGACAGCGCTGTGTGAAGAGAGACCCCGCGGAAGTGCAGCGTGTGGGGCGGAGGCGCAGAAAATTAGCAGAACAGTAGCAGTAGCAATACCTGCTCGCACGTGCACGTGATACCACTGGTCAATGCAGAGGGCCACATCGAAAGGCGATAGTCCCTCAATAACGAAGCTACATAGAGGAACCGCCGGAAATTCCCCTCCCACTGCTGCTGCACTCTCTACCCCCTGCACGTGCTGCTCTTGGCGCCAGGGGTCGACAGAGAGGATGCGAGCGCGCGGAAGAGATCGAACGGCCTCCATCAGCGTCTTGGAGAGCTTTTTGTCCGCGGCTGCTATCTACACGCAAATCCCAAAACGTCGGCTCGCCGTCTTTTGGAGGCTGTGCGGGTCGAAAAAGCTCCCTTAACCCTGACACCCCTCCCCCCTTTCGCGCTGCCAAGCCCTTTACACACACTTGCATGCAAACAGCGCACATTTTGGAATCCCACGTCTTGGAGGAAGTCGAGAGCAGCTCCTAGGCCGACGATTTGCGCGATGGGCAGGGTCCCCGCCTCATATCTCCAAGGCGCAGCAGCAAAACTGCTGCCGCTCAAGCTCACACGCTGCAGCACAGTGCCGCCACAGCGCAGAGCCGGCTACAAGGCGCGTGTGCAACGCGGCAGAGGAACAGCAGCTCGCGAAAAGCAGCAGCGCGCGCTGCACACACGGGTACGAGGTTTTTCTCGCATCAGCGCAGGCCAGCAACGGCTACGGAAAAGAGACACGGCAAGCACCTCAATCATTTCTCCACCGTAGCTGTCGGGAGGCATTTGCTGGAGGATCTCCTTCCGGCCCCACAGGAAGCCCACGCCGCTCCCGCCATACATCTTGTGGCCGCTGCCAACCAAAAAGTCAGCCCCCAGGGAACGTGCATCGAGCTGCGACAGCACTTCACAGCACCCGCAGAGGAAGCCAATAAGTGCGACACGGAAGCGAGCAGGGGGGAGGTGTCGGAAGCGCAGCTTGCAGAGGCATCAAAAGCCGCCAAACCGAGAAGGTCTAGCTCTTCAAAGAGGGGTGGAAGGTAGGGGGCGAGGACAGCACGAAAGCGGGGGATGTCAGGTGCTGCAAGGAGTCAAGAGCGCTCAAGTCACACCAGCGCATGAGCAAGCGCCTGCGTTGCATCTACGAGGGTGATCAGCCGCGGATGCGCCTTCTTAGCCGCGCGCATCAGCTGCTGCAGCTGCTGCCTCCGCACAAAAGAGCCTAGAACGTTGGACACGCAGGCTACAGCCAGCACTTGCGAGCGCGGAGAGAGGAGAGACACCGCGCGCTTCACATCCAGAATTCCGGTGTGCCTCTCCAGCTGCACAGATCGCCAGCACTCCAGAACCGACGCGTTCTCGACACGGCCCGAGACGCATGGCCTTCGGGAGAAGGCTACAGGAGCTGCGTTCTCACGGGGATGTATTTCATGTGCGCCTTCTTCCTCTGCGCCAGCTGTTGCCAAGGAACAAGGTTTGCGTGGTGTTCAGCAACGGACACCAACACTTCGGCGCCCTCCTCCAGGAAGGCGTCTCTGCAAGTAACACCCTCAGGCTGCGAGCACCCTCCCTGAGGCTTGCAAGGCTTGCATGCATAGGTCACTCGCTTGCTACACAGAGAGAGGTTGCGAGCACCCTCCCTGAGACTTGCAAGGCTTGCATGCATAGGTCGCTCGCTTGCTACACAGAGAGAGGGTTCTCTTAGGCCTACCCTACCTCCCCTCGTCTCCCCCTCTTCCCCTTCAGACACACTCCCCGCTATCTTAGAGCCCATAGGGGCCCACGCGTGCGACGCACCCCCAGGCACGAGCCACCAGATTGATCCCGGCAGTGGCTCCCGACGTGAAGATGATTTCTTCAGCATCGCCTCCGACGTAGCGCGCCAACTTCTCTCGCACGTCCTACAACGCACAGCCAAACGCTTGCGCCAGGCCCCATGATGACACAGGCAGAGCGATTTTTTTACACCTCGGGGTGCATAGAACACTCGAGGCTTCTCAGATTCTGAAAGGTGTACTGTACTTCCACGGCCTCGGTAGCAGCAGTCGCCAGGCGATACGACCCCCGGTGGATATTCGCATTGAGTTGTCTGTACACCCGAGATTCCGTCTGCAGCAGGCGTCGCACGCGAAGCGCCACACAAGTGTCGATCGTCATCCCGTCATCACCAAAAGCAACACTGCGATTCGAAAAAGTCTTTATGTCCTAACAGAAGCCGCGGCGTCATGAAAGTAGCAGCGCTGCCCGCAGAACCTTTCTTCGTGGTAGCATGCGCAGGTACAAGGGAAGTCCACCCTGCTACATGAGCGCTTCCAAGAAATAACTCGCTTTCGGTGCACCGCTCACTTGAATGACGATCTGCGGTTTGTGGGTGGTTGCTGCATTGTCAAAAGGAATTATGCGCGTATTTGCAGCCAACAGAGGAAACAAGGGCCGCATACACCGACCCAATTCCAGCCCTTCTGCGACAGCTGCTGACGCTGCTGCTGACGCTCTAGAGCATCTCGATGCAGCCTCGGCTGCTCGCTGAGGCGGTGCCGCAGACTCTTCCGTCGCAGAAGGGGGTTCAGGCAAAGCCTCGGAGGCACCTGCGCCTGCCGTTTGTGGTGAATCTGCCGAGGCAGCTGCAGCTCTTGCAGCCTGCAGTGCTCCCCGCCGATGCAGCAGAGAGGGCAGAGAACAGGGCGGGCAGAGAAAGCCTTGGCATATCTCCCTCCTGCGACTGGAGGAGCAAGGAAGAGGCAGACTTGCGGTCACTTGGGGGTGGTGTTGCTGTCTTGGCAGTGGCAACAGGCGGGAAGAAGGCCAAAGCACGTCCCCTAGGCTGCGCTTTGCCAGTGCTAGCAGCGGCAACACCAACACCAGCAAAAGCGAGCAACAAGCCATCTTTGTGGCCCACCCCAAACAGCCACAGCCGCTGATATGGAATCTCTTCTCTTGGCTTCGGGGAAGCAGCAGTAGCGACAACTGTCGCTACTGCTGCTTCCCCGAAACCCCTGCTGCGGCTGCTAGAAACAGTGGAGGCCGTGAAGGGCTGACAGCGGAGGGGGGGAACTCCCTGATATCGACTGTATGCGCAGGCGTTGTTGTACTCGACCTTCGTCTTGCGTGGTGGGCGTCGGAGGGGTGAGAAAACGAGTCCAGCCGAATACCACGCACTAACAGATCGTGAGTATCGAAGGAGCTAAGACTGACGTAGGGGCCGTTGAGCTTCGCCTGTTTCGTGCGAGCTTCGGAGAGATGCCGCTGCAGAGGGGCCTTCTCCTATCGACGCCGAAGGGACTTGCATGCCATGGCATGAGCGATTTCAGATCCCTATCCCCAAACCCCCTATAAAAGGCCGTAGATCTTGAATTTTGGCAGAAATATATCAGTTTTAAAGAGTTTTTGCGCGCTTTTCAGTAGGAAGACGCAGGAAGCCCTGCTCTCATGCAGGTCTGTCTGGCAGCTGTCAGCCGAGTCGGCCGCGCCGTGAGAAATCCATAACTCCAACCTGCTGCTGCCTTCTCTCCTTTTAGTGTTCCTTTCCGTGATCCAGGCTTTTTGTTGTGTGCAGACCGACGTCTAAGACTCGGGGTGTCCGGTTATGCATGCTGTTGCTCCCCTCGCGCGCTTGCGATGCACCTAACGAGCAGTACTAATCAACGCGCATGGCGAAAGCTTTAGTCCCAAAGCCTAAGGCTAACGCTAAATGCTACTGAACTGCAGGAACGCTGGTTTCCAATGGTGTGTGTTGTGTAGCTTTGCCTGCACCTCGCTCTTCAACCCTTTTCCGTCCCGAAGATGCTATACGGATGCAGCATAGTCCACCGCTCTTCCGTCTGTCGGCGGTTCGCCACACGCCGTTTCTCGCGTCCATGGATTCTTTGCATGGCCCTGCGCCTCGTGTGTCTCTTTGTCCCCATATACTTTGCATTCCACAAGGATGGTGCGCCAACGAGTTGGCAGCTTGCTTGCCACTACTCCAGGGAGCCACCCATACAGCCCTCCGGGGCCATACGCATCAATCGGTCCCACACCGACTGCCTAGCTGTCTAGCAAGCCAACACGCGAGAGCGGTAGCAAGCTAGTTCCCTGGGGAGAGAGAGTCACTTGCTTGCGTATTCGCGAACTACGGGGCAGGCTGTTCCTTCCGTGCTCTCTGCGGGCAGCGCGGAAAAAGCCCTTAAGCCTTAACCCTAGGCAGCTCTTTGTGTATCTTTTCCGCGGGTGTAGGCTGGTGGTTTAGCGCCCCTTCTAGCGTGCCTGTCGCCGGAGACCTCTCCCTGAAAACAGTCACTCTAGCATATTTCTCTCTCGGAGGAGGTCCATACTGCGCTCGGGGGCCCTACGGGGGCCCTGCGGGCCCCTGTGGATTTGTGGGCACCCCAGGCGAGGGGGTGAAGCAGATCAGTCTTAGTGGAACAGGGAGGACTGAGGCTTTCGCGGCTGCAGACTGGGAACTGGAGGCCAACGTAAATCTCCCATATTAGCGTTTAAGACCCTGTGCAGAACAATGGATCCGCCCCAGTTGCCATACGAAGTACTTTAAATCGCAGTTTGTAGACATCCAGATGCCCGGAGAGCGAGACTTATACCGTAAGGCTTTCTGGCTTCTGCTGCAGGTGACGGAGGAGACACTGGCAGGCAACATTTTTCGGGTGTACATACATCTCAAACCCATGCACGAAGCGGCCACCACCTTGCCCCCCATTGTAGCTGCTGAGCTCTCGCTCCGCGTTGATGGTACTATAGGGACCGTAAGGATACTTGCTGCTACTCCGTTCCAGGGTGCTATGGCTGCTGGCCCTTGAAAGAGCGAATCCACGCAAAACTGTAAGGTCTAAGATTCGACTTTGCGGCGAAACGACTTTAGATCGGGCCGGCTGGACAAGTGCAATGTGCTATTCGCGTTTCAGACCCCATTTGAAGGGTTTCCCAAGCTCCATGTATCCTCCCTCTGGCCCTCTCAGGGTCTTAGGGCCTCGTCTAAACTGAGGCTTTTTGGAGATATTGCACTGAACACGTGATAACATCACCCCGAATCTCACATGATCTATCCCCAAGGCGCAAAAGTGCACCTCCGCACCCCCAAACACTTTAATGCTGCCGTAGCACTTGTTTCCTGGTGTCATAGGGTGCTTATTGGGAGCCGAGGTCTGGTGAAATGCAGGGAGTCAAACGAAGCCGCCACAGCGCATTCCCAAGCCCCCAAAGCAATCGCCACGGAGACAGGTGATTAGCGAAAAACTCAAGGCCCTAAAATACCCTCACGGCCTGATTGGAAGAAATCGCGGTGCGCTGCGGCGGCGCTTGTGCTGCAGCGACTTCTCCGGTGTACATGCAACTTACATCGTCGGAATGGGTCGAGCAGCCCTTTGCGGGCCCGGCAGCAGCAGCAGAAACAGCGGTGGAAGGATTTACAGTTGAGCTGTCTCTTGAAGTTCCTAAGGGGCAGAGACGGCACAGGCTCCCGAATGGGATCGACGCTTTCGGAGAGTTCCTTCAGAAAATCATAGTGCCCATCGTTTTCTTCCTGTGAGAAACCCTAGCTGGGTGCTGCAGCTGTCACGCGAAGAAGCCTCAGGCTGCAGTTGCTCCTGTAGTGGCCTTGAGTTGTTCCTGCAGTTCCTGTGTCTGCGACGTCTGCCGCTGCAGGTGGAGTTGCCATTATCTAACGAGCCTGCTAATTCGCTGGAGCCTCCTCAGGGTTGCGCTGCTCCCTTCGGATCCGCTTATTAGAACCTGAACTCTGAACGGCAAGAACTGCCTCTTCGCGGGGGCAGTGGGCTTACTTCAACGCAGCCAAAAAATCTAGGTTGGGGTGTCGTGCGTTTGAACCCCTTTGTGGGGGTTTGCGCAGGCCTTAGAGCCTCGAGAGATTAGATTATTCGCTGCTTGGCTAGCATAGAGGCTAGGTCGTGGGGCTTATGATCTGTTGTTGGAGGTAAGCGTCTGCTTCCTTCAGCAGCCTCCCCATATCTTCGAAGCCGCACAAGGCCGCTGCCTCCTCGCACGCAGCCCATCTGCAGGCGCAGCAGCACGACGTGTGTTAGAAACTCTGGAGGCGGGGTGTCGAGGCTGCTGCGCTGAACGGAAGATGGCGTTTAAGGAGCACTCCTGGTGCTTCATGCCAACACTGCCTGAGCTTTTGGGGTGTGTTCGTGATTTACTGGAAGTGCGAATGTTCATCCGAGAGCATCACGGGGGTTTGCGGATTTTTCAGAACCGCAAGGAAGTAGCGACTCTGTTTTGGCTTTCCTCGTGCCTCGTAAAAGAGGTCCTGCGCAACTCTTACTAGTAAAATATAGGTAGCTCAAAGCTTGTTATCTGGGCGACGTATCTAACTTCAGCTACCTGCCCCCGTTCCCTTTAGAAGTTCCAGCTTCGCAAAAAGTGCCGCTCCCGTAAGACGTATGCATTTTGAAGGCTTCTAGGAATCTAGAGGATAGCTGCAACTCGGGGGTTGTCAGCGGGCGGCTGTCAGCGCTCCCCTCGAATCGGGAGGGGAGGGAGGGCTTTGCTCAAGCGCTCACCTTGTTGAAGGATTCGATGAGGCGAAGATCGCTGGGGGAGATGCCCGCCTCCTCTTGCGTCTCTCGAACGGCAGCAGCCAAGAAGTCCTCTCCCTCGTCCACATGGCCTGAGCACCTTCCACGAAAAAAGCTGCTTGATGGAGGAGCACACCACATCCCCACTCCCCTTCAGCTAGGCCATATCACTGGCAGAGCTCCCCTCACTACATGGCCCTTTTGTTTGGGTTGCTTGGCGTGACTTGCCCTTTGGAGGTGACCAATGAAACGGGGAATAAGACGCTTTGAGGAGCAGAAATTCCGCCCTCTGGCGCTCTGCTGTTACTGGCGCAGTCGGGAAAGACGTAGACGACCCTGTAGCAGGGGGGGATTGAGTGAGCCGAGCGACCAGGAGCCCACCGGCTCTCACCCTCGCAGCCCTGAGAAAGTAACCCCTTTATATGTATATATGCGTGTAAATATTATTATATGCATACACATTTGTAAACATGCATGTGTACACCCGGATTCTAGACCTCCCCTTAACCCCGCAAGTACGCGCACTCGTTTACCCCTCCCTGCCTGGGGTTAAGCCTTAGAGTTTCCGAGTTTACATGGCTGGAGCGGGCAACGTGTGCAACCAGTGCCCAGTTTTTTAGCCTTCGAGCAGCTTTGAGAAGGCGTTGGCTCTGGGCGTGGTAGGGTTTGAGATTTTGTGCCGTTCGGCGCGCCCTCCTTCACCGCGCCGCCTCTGAGGATCCCTAGAGACACAGCAATTGTTTTTCGTGTGTCCACGCAGATGAGGAGGGGCGTTCTCTGCCGCTGCGTGCTGACGCCGCCGATCTGCAGCTGCACAGAACAGACAAGAAGAGGGCTGCAGCCGCTCGTAGGAAGTTGGCGGCGACTGCGGATGCTGCCACCCCACATGCCGAGGTAGCGGCTGCAGCGGCGGCTTTCGAAGGCGTTGTGGGTCTCTGTTTTGCGCTTTCTTGATTCTTTTAGTGTCTTTTGCCCAAGTACTCGGTTCGAGCAGGTACAGATACAGACGAAAGCGAAGATGGCAGCAGCAGCAGGAGCAGCAGCGGCAGCAGCGATCCGAACTGCTGCCCGCCTCGCTGGCAGCAGCAGCGGACGTCTCCACCTGCGCGCCTTCAGGAGCAACGCGTCTTCTTCTGTGCTCGGAGCCGCTTTCTGCTCACAACAGCGCCACATGCTGCAGCAGCAGCGCGCGTTCAGCAGCAGCACGGCAGCAGCTGAGTCTCTGGCGGGCGTCATCCAAAAAGAAATTGCCCACGAAAAGTCGCAGTACGAAGCAGACAGTCAGCTCAAGAGCTTCCTCGAGAGCAACAAGTGGCAGTTGGAAGATAAGGAAAACGACGTGCTCGTTACGCTCACGAAGGAAGTGGACGGTGCGTTACGCTGGGTCGATCGCCTCCATGGCATGCAGCCTCGCACCTCCGGCTGCCACCTCCCTCTTCCCCCGCACCCTCTTCTTCCCACTGCAGAGCGTAGATCGGCATGCAATCTTCCCCGCTGCACTGTCTAGGCCGCATGCAAACGAGCCTTGACGCGTTCAACGCCGCTACACACAGAGCGGCAGAGAGGGGGGGGGGGGCACTTGGCAACGCATGCCGATTTCTTCTCGACGCTCGTGACTGACACCACGCGTGACGCGCAAGACACGCCTTCGCCCACTTTGAGGCGCTAGGCGCTTGTCAGGCTGCTGCTGACTTCTTGCGGCTGGGACCAGTCTGCGACTCTGCATTCGATTGCCTTAAATTGCTCGGAGTGGTGAGTGGTGCTTGTCAGGGCGCAAGGTAATCGTCGAATTCTCCTGCATCCAGCCCTCTGGCGGAGACGAGGAGGAGACGATTCCAGAAGCCTCCGACTTCACCGTCTCGGTTCAGAACCCTCAGGGCAGTGGTTTGCTCTTCTACTGCTCGACAACGAATGAAGACGAGGCTGCAAGGTTCTGCATTGGTCAGGTAATTCGACTTCGCCGGTTCGTTTTCCGCTTTCTGAGCTGGCTGCTCGCTGTGTGCAGAGAGGGGTGCCGCCTCACAACGCACTTCGCATGCGCTGCTGCGGGGAAGAGGGGTGGTGTGTGTTTGTTTGCTCGCGCGTCGAGGGGCCGAGTTGGAGACGCCAGCGCGTGCAAGCTGCATGCGCAATTACATCGGCAACGCCTTCGACCAGCGAGCTGCTCGCCGAGGCGGCGCGTTGTGAGGCTCGTGGGTTGCGCTGCATGCGAGCCTTGTGGGCGCAGGTTCGATACTTTTCTGACGCCAGCAGCAAGGATTCTCTTGCTGAGTATCCTGGTCCTTACTTCGAGGATCTGGATGATTCGTTCCAACAAGGGCTAGACTCGTGGCTAAGCGCTCTAGGCATTGACGGGGAACTCTGCGACTTCATCGATCGCTTTGCTGCTGACAAAGAGAATCGGGAGTACATTGCGTGGCTAAACAAATTGCAAGGCTTCATCAGCAAAGCCTAGACGCTGAGGGAGGCTCTCAGGAGTCGTCGTTGCATGCGGTGGTGGTGTTGGGGAGGGGAGGCGGGTACATATCTATGCTTATAACTACTACCGAAGCAGCGTGTAGAGAGGCCTCTTTGCGCGCGCATGAGAGCGGCAGGCGCCTCCTCGGAGTGCTCCTAGACTGCGAAAGCTGGCTGGAAACAGCTAGCTCCCTAGAAGGGAGCTAGCTTTTTTCCGCCTTGCAGAAGACGGAATAGTTGGCGGCTTTCACGCAGCGGGCTAGCCAGTCGGCTCCGCAGCCTGCCAGTCACTGCGCGTGGCATGACGCACTTTTAACGAAGAAACGCTGTGAACAAAACTTCCTTTTGTTGCTAATGCTTGGCCTTTGGCTATGGACTGCCCATCCCCAGTCTGGCGGGTGTTGCACTGTTCAAACGCGTGGGGTGTACCTACACAGGGGGAAGGGCTCGTCGAATAACGGCCACATGCGTATGGGCGTGTGCAAATGCACCATCACGCACAGCTGCGTGCGTTGAACCGCTTAAATTGCAGCGCTAGTTTCGCCTCTCCCCCAGCCTCCGTGCAGCTGCGATCTTCAGGCGTCGAAACTGCAGGCTTCCCAGGGAACAAGAGTGGGAAAAGGGGGGAGAGGGGGGATGTCTCTGTTTGTTTGTCTCTGTCTCTGCCTGTCTCTGCTTTTTTTTCTCTCTCTTTCACTCTGCCACGTGTGCATTGCGGGGGCGGCTTTCGGCTGCGAAGAAGGTTCTGCCTGCCTCTGTCTCGTGCATGCTTCCACGGCTCTGCCGTCTGACACGAAATTTCCTGTTATTAAGAGTGAGGACAGCCGCAAAGGAGCCGCTATAGCAGCAGCAGCACATGGTGCCGCTAGCGCCGCCGTTGCTGCTGCCTTGATGCTGTTCGATATCTTAGACTGCATGGTTCATCCTAGAGAGCGAGAGGTATGCATTTTTAATGTACTGTACACGCAGCAGCAGCAGCAGCAGCAGCAGCAGCAGCAGTAATCTCTTGCTGCTGGCCATCGTACACGTAAACAAAACGTGATTACATTAGACACATACATCCGGGTGCAGCGAGCACACAGGTTCCTCGCGCGAAGACACCTTTTAGCAGAAAAGATCAAGACGAATCGGACGGACTTGCATGCGCTGCCGCTACTTCAGGCGGAAGACACTGCGGGTGTAAGAGCTGCACAACCCCGCCACAGGAGCAGCCGAGATGCCGTCGCTGTTTGCTGTTGAGGAGGGGAGCAGAACGAGCTGGCGAGATGGTCGAGAGCAAGCGCCTTGCGTGGGGTGAGGAGAGGGGGTAAAAGGCAGCGGGGAGAGTAGGGGGGAGGGGCTCGCAGTAAATCGCATGTCATTCATGTAGTAGCCGCATATTCCTGCAGTTTTGCATGCACTGCCAGTGCAGCGCTTGTTTCAAGCCCGCAAAACTCGTCCTCGGAGAGGGAGCTGGGGGGAAGATCGAGGAGCTGCGGCAGCAGCGGGAGGTGTGCATACACCTCAGCTGCAGCGTTCGCGGCGAGCGCAGCTGCCGCGAGGTGCTGCAGATCGTCGATCCAGCCCTTCTGCTGTTTCCATCCGGGAGGCAGCAAAGCTCTCTGATGCGGGGTTAGCTCGGCAAGCAGCTGCTGCCGCTGCCGCTGCGCTGGAATGCGCTGCAGCAGCGAACCCTCTGTCACTGCGAAGAAGTAGTGGCGCTCGTGGGAAGAAGCTGCTGCCTCCACGGCTGCCGCCACGATGTCTCTGCAAGGGCATGTTTCCGCGAACTGGGGGCCGAAGCCTTGATCGGCATGCGTGATCGCTGCTGAGGCAGAAGCGGAGGCGGCAGAAGCATCCGCGGCAGCCTCTTCATCTGCAGCAAGCAGCTCGCAGTGCAGCTGCCAACCCTGCAGCTGCGGTGAGGCTACGAGAAAAGCTGCCTGGCGAGGCCAGTCGAAGACGTCACTGCAGGAAGCGAACAAAAGCTTTCGCGGCTGCTCCTTTGGCACTGGCTGCAGCATAACGAGTCGCTGCCATCGTTTGTCTCTCCCCCCTCTTCCCTCTTCTTCTCCTCCCTCGCCATCATCCTCGTGATTCTTGCCCCCCGCTGCCGCCTCTCGCAGCTCCTCCTGCTTTTCTTTCCGCAAATCCTTCTTCTTGGAAGACTTCTTCGGCTCCCCCGCAAGGCCAGGAAAACTGCTGCTGCTCTTGCTGCTGCTTTTGCTGCTGCTTTTGCTGCTTTTGCTGCTGCTGCTGCTGCTGCTGCTGCTGCTATCCGCGCTCGTGGTAGCAAAGGCTTCTGCTGCAGCTACTCGGAGAAAGACATCCAGCAACAGGCGAGTGCTGCTGCTGCTAAGATTAGGGCATGCCCAAAGAGCCTGGAGCTGCCTTTCGTCATTCTCCAGGATTTCAATGAGAGCGCCACACACTACCAGCCGCTTCAGCTGCCCTCCCGCTGCTGCAGCCGCTGTCGACATGCCCTTGCCGCAGCTCTCCCCGCTGATTTCTTGTTGCTCTTGCTGCTTCTGCTGCTGCAAACGATACTTGTTCGTCAAAAGCAACAGCCAGAAGCCAGAAAAGCTCTTCTCCCGCAACGCCTCTTGCAAGGATCGCAGCTTCCTCTTTTGCTCCACGTTAAACTGCTTCTTGCTTCCGCTGCGCGCCCCCGCGAGGACTGCTGCTGCTGCTGCTGCAGCTGCTGCTGCTGCTGCTGCTGCTGCTGTCTTGTCCTCCCGCGCTCTTGCCGTTGAATAGTCTTCCCGCATATGGCTGCTGCTGCTGCTGTCGGGATCCAGCCTGCGGTCCTCCTTTTCCCCCTGCTGCTGTTTTGCTGCCGCCTCCTGTTGAACTTTTGCTGCAGCAGCTTCCGCAGCCGCTGCAGCGGCGTGAAGGACTGTGGAGGGTACTTTGCGTGAGGGGTGTATGGAGGGAAGCATCTGCAGCGGAAGGCAGTTGTTTCTCCTGCTGTGCGGCACATTCGCTTCCGACAGGGAGAAGGAGATGTTTTCGCTGATTCGGCGAGGCAAGTACTCTCGGAGGTTGCGAAGTTGCTGCTGATGAAGGGTTGCAAGAACCTTCTGCTGCCGCTCTTCCTCGTCCTGCTGTTGTTGCTCTTGCTGCTGCTGCTGCTCATGCGCTTCTTTTCCACTGTGCCGCTTGGGAGCGTTCTCGGGGGAGTTTCCTGAGGCGACGGGGACTACTTTTAGCGTGAGGCGGTGAGCGGCGAAAAGAGATTGCGCAGCTTCTCTCAGCTGCACAAGCTGGCTTGGTCCCCATGCGGGAAGGAAGGGCGTTGTAGCGGCAGCCATTGCAGCGGCAGCCTCTGCTGCCGCTGCATCAGGTGTGGGGAGCTCCGCTGCTGCTGCTGCGGAGACAGGAGACGCACTGCCCTCCTCGCTGCATGTGGTACTGAGGCGGGGGCCAGAGTCAGCTTCCGCTGCACTTGAAACTGTGGTTCCGTGGTGCAGCTTCTTGGATTGCAACGGAGGCTGCTGGAGGAAGCTGCTGGCTGTTCGCTTGGGGGGGTGCTCCGCTGGTCGTGTCATCTGTTGGAGGCGTTCGTTGCTCGGATGCGACTTGTCTCGCAAATGCTGCATGCAGCGGCTGCAGAGCTGCTGCGCAGCTCCGGGACTGACGCTGCAGTGTCGTGGAGGTTCTTCTGCAGCGCGCACTGGCACGTGATCTGGAGGGGCGATTCAAGGCGCGTGGCAGTTCATGAACACTGGAGAAGGCACCCGCTACAGATTTGGGGTCGTTGGATAGCAAAGGCAGCAAAAGGAAGCGCCACTTCCGTCGTTCGCCTCCCTCGCGACCTGCTGGTGCGGGTGTGGGGTGTACGAACACTCTGGTGTTGCTGCGCGGCAGGCAGGGCAGCAGCTGCCGCGTCAGCAGCAGCAACGCGATTGCGAGTTCGGAAAGCTGACGACTGGGAGACTCAAAATCATCGAATTACACTTTGCTTCTGCCTGGGGGTGTCTTTGCTCAAGCGCAGAAGCACACAAGCCGCAGACGGAGCAGCACAGCTGCTGCTGCTGCTACAGTGGTGAGCAAAGGACCACCGGCTGTTTCATGAACAACCATCCCCTGCAGTCGCTGGAGCAGGAATACCGCAGTCAAGCCCTCCTACTCTAGTAACAATGGAGCAGCACGCTTCTGTGAGGATACAGCTGCCGTTTCTGCGTTCTCGAAGCGCCTCACTGCCTTCACAGTGAGGCGCTGCCGACAGTTTGCACTACACGTCTCCCTAGAACCGTTACCAAGCCGCTTGCTGGGGGTCCACTTGCTTCTTGTTTTCTAAGCCTGTCTCCTTTTCTCCCCGCATCAAATTACCGCCGAGAATCCTTTCTACGCCCTCACTTCCTCCCTATTTCTCTCGACCATCATCTACCGCCTCTACATACACACTCGTCACTGCCCCCTTGTTTCTCGCAGTGCCCCCTACTACCAGCTACGCTCTGCCTCCTCTTGGTATATCCAAGCAGTGCGTGCCGTTGCCCCCATGTGTGCTTGCCTTCTCCTCAGTGCGTTTGCAATTCATCTCTTCCCCCGCGTACGTTGCAGCCGCTGCGCTTTGCGTGATCGATCCCCTCACACTTGCTGCTTCCCTCCTCCGCATACCTCTTGCATCTCCCTACCCGCCTTGCATAGATACAAGCGTACACACACCCCACTCCAAAAAGCCGCACGTCCTAAAGAATCCCTCTAGTCGCTGGCGAGTTACAGAAGGAGCACGAAGCTGCAAGTTGCCGTAGGATCCCTATAGGCCGTCTGGCGTCGTCTCTCTCTCTCTCTCTCTCTCTCTCTCTCTCTCTCTCTCTACGAAATCAACGAAAGTTGATGCTCACAGCCATAGCTGTTGCGGACGGCTGCTTCTGCTGCTACTACAATGAAGCACGCAGAGCCATGTGCAAATAACCGCTAAACACACCCACCCCAAGCCTTCGTTTCGACAGCAGACAAGAAAACAAGCATTTTGATCATGCGCCTGACGCAGCAAAACCCTCGGTGCCACACACGTCTACTTTTACTCGCCGACGAGCTGTAGCAAGCTACAGCAAGCTACAGCAAGCCATTAGTCCCACTGCGGCTTTTTTTCGAGCCACTAGCGCAGCGCAGTTCGAGGGCAAGCCTCAGTTGCCTCCGCTGCTGGGAGCAGGCGGAAGTCTGCCCTCTTCGCGCGCCACTCGGATCATTTCCGCCAGTTCTTTTCGCGTCTTCTGCAGTACATACACCACAAATTTCCGGCAAGAGAGCCAAAGCCTGCAGCCTCAGACGAGGGGCAACTGTACCGAGATTCCATGCTACTACGACTACTACGACTACGACTACTACGACTATCACGACTACTACGACTACGACTACTACACGCGCGCAGTCGGGGGGAAGGAAGACAGGCAAGAGGGATGTGTATGTCGCTTTCGACTGCATGCGCATAGGAACTCAACGCTGCAGCACCTCCTTGAGAAGGTAGTGTCTGTAGTTGTGGTGCACTGCGTCTTGCCATATGTAGACGATGTTTGCGCCTGCGGCACACAAACGACTCTCGACATATTGAGCGCTTGGAGTTCTCGAGTGCTGCCACAGTGCCCGCCAGGCTGCTCCAGGCTGCTCAGCCAGAGGAGGAGGAGACACATTTTCGCTCAGAAGTGAAAGGGAGGAGAGTCGCTCAAGCAGTTACCCTGAAATACAGTAAAGGCGATCATGGTGGCTGCGACAACTGCGTAGAGGCGATCGTAGAGTCGCTCGCGTCTTATGTGGAAGGCGCTGTAGCTGAATCTGAAAAGCCACGAGGCGCACATCCCTCCCGACTCCATCACCTGCCAAGTGGAATATTCCCAGGTAGAGGCATCTTGCGTAAAGGCGCAGTGTAGCGTGGCGGACGAACAGCGAGCAAGGCAGCCAGCCGAAGAAAGACTCCAGCGGCAGCGTTTCCGAGCAAGTGCAGTGCGTTGCAGCCTCACCGATTCCAAATAAACTGGAAGGGCTTATAACGGGAGCCGACCATCGTTCTCACGAGCTGCTGGATCTGCAGAAGGGGGTTTAGTCGCTGGAACTGGGGTGTCTGTACTCACCACGACAGACCACCGTGTGAGGCACTGTGTTTCCCCCAACGTGTACCCTCACTCTCTGTATGCGTGGCGTGGCAGAGAGCTCATCAGGAGCAGTCCTGCAAGAGGCTTGCCAGCACAGCTGTCGGAAAAGCACAGCAGGGAGCGGCAGGAACGCTGCTATCCGCTGCTGCCGCTGCTACACGCTGCTGCCGCTGCTATCCGCTGCTGCCGCTGCTGCTGCAGTTTGAATCATGGGGAGCATTCCAACGCCGATCGGCGGACGGGAACCAAAAGGGGGAACCAAGAGCGACTCTCCCTGGCGGGTTACGCAGGCAGTCAGAAGGCACAGGAAGCAGAAAGCCTCCACGCGTTCTTCTAAGATACTGCAGACGAACAAGAAGCGCAACAACAGCAACACACGGTTCAGGAGGCAAGCCTGTTGCGCCTCCTAACCAGCCAACGAAACCAGCTTGGCCAGCTGCATGCACGACAGTGGCAGCAGCAGCAGCAGCAGCAGCAGCAGCAGCAGCAGCAGCAGCAGGACCGTGAGAGGCGCCAGCTGCAACTGTTGCCCCCCTCTCCCAGATAGGCGCACGCAAAAAGCTCGCTAAAAAGCGCAATAATGACACTAGAGTTTCTTTTTTAGGGGTTTTTGTGGGCTTTGAAGAAACTGCGCAGCGAGCTGCTGCGGAAGACCTCTCCAGATACGAGCAGTCAGCTGCCGCTGCGCAGCGGCGACGACAGCAGCAGCAGCAAGACAGCCGAGACACAGCGGCCAAAGCAGCTTCTAGGGAAGCGCAGCGCCTCCAAAAAAGATTCCTGTCTGCCGAAAAAGTCTCTGTTGACACCTGAAGGCTTTCTAGTCCCCGGCTGGCCGCTGTATTTCGGTGCCAAGCGCAGCAGCAGCAGCAACAGCAGAGGCAAGGGCAGCAGCTGCACGCGAACCGTACAGCAAGCTGCGTGACTGACCGCCTTGCAGAGAAAGCAGACGATATCTCACGACTCGTGTGCTTCGGTGAAGCCAAGTCAATAGACAGCGTCTGCACCGCAGCGCTGGGTTGTAGGCCTTCAGCCTCCTCCTGCTCCCTGCGTTCGGGTGTACAGACAGGCGTTTTTCATCTCTTCATCACGTTCTGCACTTCCCGCTTCGTACGGCATCGCCGCCGGCGAGCCGCTTCCTGGCTCCGTTGTTGTTGTCAATAGCAGCAGCAGCACCAACAGCAGCAACAGCAGCAGTAGCAACAGCAACAGCAGCAATAGCAACAGCAACAGCAGCACCAACAGCAACAGCAGCAGTGACAGCAGCAATAGCAACAACAACAGCAACAGCCTCTGCTAGCGCTTTCATCATCTCGAGATCCGTGATAGCGCCTTTTCCAGACACAGCGAGAGTGCTATTTCTGGAAGAGCGACCTCGTTTCTTCTTCCTCCTCCTCCGCGCTTCTTCCGGCTGCGTCTACGGTGGAGCCCATCGGTGGCAGCCTTTGTCTCAGGATGCTCGACGCATCTACGTTTCGCTCCAAGCTGCAGCGCACGCTGCAGCTGGATCTGCCGTCCTTCGGAGTTGGAAATTCTTCCAAAGGCGTTCTGCCTTCTTCCAGGGGTCTGTTGAGCGGCTCTCTGGAGGGGACAGACAAGGGCAAAGTGCTTCAGGATGCTCGCTGCTTCTCAGTTTCGCCCGCAGATCCTGTCTGCTGCGCTCGCGTCGTGGCGAAGGTGTTGTATCTGCTGCAGCAAGGCGTGCAGTTGACGGCGGAAGAAACCAGCGTCCTCTTCTTTGGCCTTACGCGCCTCTTTCACTGCCGAGACGAGCATTTGCGTGGGCTTGTTTATTTGCTGTTGCGGCGACTGCCTGTGTCTTCGTCGGAAGGCTTCGTGGTGACGTCCTCCCTGACACGCGATGCCACTGACGCCAATCCGAATTTTCGCGCCTCAGCGCTGCGCTGTCTCTGCACGTTGGCAGACGCTGCAGTGACTGCGCAGACGGAGCGCTACGTGAGGACTGCCTTCACGGACGCATCTTCTACCGTGGCTTCTGCAGCATCCTTGTGTGGCATTGCGCTGCTCTCCGTGGCTCCTGAAGCCGTCAAAAGATGGAGCGGCGAGGCGCAAGGGTGCATTGCCTCCGCTGCTCCCTTCGCTTCCGTCCACGCCTTGCTGCTGCTCCTGCTGCTGAAGCAGAGTGATCGAACGGCGCAAATAAAGGCCGTTGCAGGCGCTGTGCAAGGCGCCTCGAAGGCTCCTGTCTCCGAGGCTGTGCTCGTTCGGTGTGCAAGCGCCTTGCTGCAACGCGAGGCAGATCCTAGGATGCATGCTCTCCTGCTGCAATTCGTGGAGGAGGCGCTCCGCAGCAGCAACGAAATGATCGTGCTGGAAGCGGCACGCGCCCTCTGCACGCTGTCCGCTGCAGCGCAAGAGCAGCAGCAGCAGCAGTCTGCTGCAGCGACAGGTGCAGGTGTCTTCGCAGGTCGATGGCATGGGTACAGCCGTTTGCTCACCTACGATATGACTCAGGCGTTTGGCGCCTTGTCGCTGCTCTGCAGCAGCGGCAAAAGCGCTGCTCGCTTCGCTGCAACCCGAACGCTGTCGCAGCTCTCTGGATTCGCGTGCTGCCGTCCTTACTTGTCTTCTACGGGGTCTGCCCTCGAGGTTGTGTTGAGCGGCAGCAACAAGATGGCTGCTGCGACTGCCGTCGCAGTGCTCCTCAAGACGGCGAGTGAGAGCAGCATAGATCGGCTCATGCGCTTGGTGTCTTCCTTGGCGACGGATGCCGCAGCCTCGGAGCCGCTCAAGCTCTCCCTCATAGCCTCCGTGGTTTCGCTGTCTCTCCTGTATCCGAAGAAGCACAAGCCGCTCCTCGCCTTCCTGTCGGCTTGTCTGAGGGAGGAGGGTTCGCTAACCGTGAAGACGGCAGCCATCAAGGCGCTGTTGGTGCTGCTGAAGCAAGTGCCAGCAGCGCGAGAAGCCTGTCTCTCCTTCCTCTGCGAGTTCATAGAGGACTGCGAGTACCCCTCGCTGTGCAGCAAGGTTCTCTGTCTCCTCGGAGACGAGGCTGCCACGTGGAGTGAAGGGGGGAGCAGCGCGCCTCAAGGAGGGGGGGGCGTCTCCTTAGCCTCCCTTGCCGGCAGCAGCAGCAGCAGCAGCAGCAGCAGCGGCAAGTATTTGCGGCACATCTTCAACAGGATCGCCCTCGAAACCTCATCTGTCCGCGCAGCCGGCGTCGATGCTCTCGCAAAGGTGGGAAAGAGCTGCAGCAGCAAGAGAGACGACGTGCTGCTGCTGCTCGCTGTAACGGCTGCGACAGATCCCGACGACGAAGTGCGGGATCGAGCTTTCGCCATGCACCGCGTCCTCTCACTGCAGCAGAAGACGGCGCAGCAGCAGGTCGGCGGAGACGGCGAAGATGCCAGGAGCACTGCGAGCACGGCAGATGGCGATATCGCAGACATGCTGCAGGAAGAACCTCCCGTAGCGCTGGAGTGTCTCTGCAGCGCGCTCGTGCAGCAGCTGCAGCAGGAGGAAACTGCAAACGTCCTCATTCGTCCGGAGACCTTCCCTACCGAGGCTACCTATCAGCAGCAGCAGCAGCAGCTGCAGCAGCAGCAGCAGCAGCAGCTGCAGCAGATGGCGGCAGGAGGAGCAGCAGCTCAAGCTGCGGCACAAGCAGCAGCACACGGAGCCGTCGATGACGCCCACTTGCTGATTGCAACCAGCGGATTGAGCCTCCTGCCGAGGGGGGGGGAGGGGGGGGTGACAGGCGTGCTGGCTGCTTCGGAGCGAGAGCAGGAGCTGGTGCGAATTCTAGACTCCTTAGACAGCCGTCAAGCAGCGGAGGCTGCGAGCAGCGGAGAGCGCGCCGTTCTGCATGCGTCGTGCACTGCTCAGCTGCTTACCGAGGAAGAGGCGGAGTACGGCGTGGAAGCCGTTCTTCACGTGTTCAGCAAAAGGCATGCCAAAACGCAAGTTGGCGCCTCAGAGTCGTCCGTCTGCGTTCTGATGGAGTGGAGAATCAGAAACACTCTCGAGAGCCAAACTTTGGCTGATGTGCTGCCGCGACTTTCTCTAGCGGATACTCCCTGGCAGTCAGCTTCTTGTCTGCCAGTGCCTCTGCTCGCTCCGGGAGATTGCCGCAGCAGCTACATCCTCCTCGTGCCGACTTCCCCAGTCGCTGCAGGCAATCGCGCTTCGGCTTTGCTGACTTGTGCCTCGATCCCCGCAGCCTTGACGTTTGTCTTGCGAGAGGCGGAAGAAGACTTCGGATGCAGCGACGAGTATCCTCTAGAACCCGTCTCTATCACGCCGACGCATTTCATTCGTAAGTTCTTTGCGCAGTCGCAGACACACACAGAGACAGGCAGACAGTGAGAGAGAGACAGACAGAGCGAGAGAGACAGACAAAGCGAGAGAGAGAAACAGAGAGAGAAACGCATACACAAAAACACACACACACACAGACACAGACGGAGAAGAAGTGCTCTCGCATCGGGGTACTCATCGCGGCTGGATGGCTCGGAGAGGGAGCAAGCATGCCAACTGCGAAAGAGAAACAAATCAATCACTTTTTGCCCGCGGCAGCGCACTTTGCTACAACCCTCCTTTATTCCCTTTCTCTACCCTCCCTCTACTCCCCTCCTTGTCTGTCATTCCCTTCCTCTACCCTCCCTCTACTCCCCTCCTTGTCTGCTTTCCCCTTTCTCTACCCTCCCTCTACTCCCCTCCTTGTCTGTCATTCCCTTTCTCCACCCTCCCTGTACTCCCCTCCTTGTCTGCTTTCCCCTTTCTCTACCCGCCCTCTACTCCCCTCCTTGTCTGTCATTCCCTTTCTCTACCCTCCCTCTACTCCCCTCCTTGTCTGCTTTCCCCTTTCTCTACCCTCCCTCTACTCCCCTCCTTGTCTGTCATTCCCTTTCTCTACCCTCCCTCTACTCCCCTCCTTGTCTGCTTTCCCCTTTCTCTACCCTCCCTCTACTCCCCTCCTTGTCTGTCATTCCCTTTCTCTGCCCGCCCTCTACTCCCCTCCTTCCCTGCTGCTGCTCCTCCTCCCCCTCTACACTCCTGAGGCTTCGCCTCTTTTGCTGTTTTGTTGGCGCCTTGCCTGCAGGTGCTTGTGCAGTGCCTCAAGGCCAGTTTGCAGCCGTGTGGCAGTCCTTAGAGGAGGCTGAGGCGCTCACCAAGCTGTCTCTGCCCTTCCCCTCACCGGCTGCCGCAGTCGACGCTCTCCTGGGAGCTCTCCACATGGCTCCTTGCGAAGGCACGGAAGCGATTGGCAGCAACAACAGCAGCCACGAGCTGCTGCTTTCGGGTATTTTTGTGGGTGGGCAGCAAGTGCTGGCAAAGGCATTTTGCCTGTTCCCTGGAGACGGATGCCTTTTGCGTCTCGCAGTTCGGAGTCTGGACCTCACTATCTGCGAGGCTGTCTGCTCTGTTCTCGAGTAAAACTTTGGTGCAGGTTGCAGCTGCAAAAAGGCGAAGACGCTCTCAGGGGAACCATGCACGCACGCATGCAGGCAGGCAGGCAGGCAGGCAGTCAGGCAGTCTTCTCAGAGGCGGGAGCTGCGCGGCGAGCGTTCTTCGACAGCTGCGCGGTGCAGCTGTCAAAGAGCGGCTGCTGCTTGTTTCGGCTGTATGCGCGCGTGTGCAGCCTAGACAGCACCGTGGGTTGTGTCTCCAGGGCAGAAGGAGATGGGGCATGCAGAGCGGGTAAAGAGCTTTCGCGAAAATGAAACATGTGCCGCAAGATGCGGAGTCGCGTAGAACGAGCGAGAGGGAGGGCCAGACTGCCTCCACGCTCAAAGCCTCCCCCAAGATGCCCTCCCTATCTAGTTGCTGAAGTAGGCACTGTAGCGACAGCTGGTGGTGGTGGTGTTGGCTGCAGCTGCTGCTGCAGCAGCGCCGAGACTTCTCTCGTGTCTTCCGTTGATTTTCCCCAATCCCTTCACAAAGGGCGCTGGCGGATTTGCTGCTGCCGCCGCTTGCCTTGTTTTGTTGCAACAACACGAAAGAGAGGGAGTAACCATTGTACGGCGAGGCGGCTGCTGGCAGGCACAAAGTACTTAGAAACAGCGCGAAGACACTCCAGACACGGCCTGCCCCGAGGCTTTAGAGGCAGACGCAGAGTAGCAGAAAGACAGGAAGGCGAGCCGCCTACATCCGAGGAGCTCTCAGCACATCCCACAGCGGGGGAGGAAGATAAACGCGATTGCCGATTCTTGCATCTCGCGACGATTCCCTTGCGCCAACACTCCCCAGAGGCTGTTTCTACGCCCAAGCTCTCCGCAAGGTGACTTGTGCCTGACGCGCGTGCCGTCGTGGAGAGACGCTGAGGCTGCACACCTATGCGTCGACGGATATCGCTAGATGCCACTCTCCCGAACAGAGGAGGCGCACGCACACCCCTTCCCGCTTGACTGGTCAAATATCGTCTCATCGCGTGTCTGCTTGCGCCGCGTCTGGCTTTTTTTCAAGGTACCATTTTAGGTGGCTGGAGTGCAGACGTCGAGCAGGCAGAGGGTTGTTTTTCTGTTTTCTGCCTCCCGCGCCGCGCTTGCGATCCGTTTTTGAGGCTTGCAATGCCCTCCCCCGCGCGAGTCTCTGTCTGCACGCTACTCCCAGTCTGCGTCGCCGCTACTCAGCAAGCCCAGCAGCTCGAATTAGCGAGCCAGAAAGCAAGCCGTCTCTAGACTAGTGAAGCGCACTCCCGCGCAGCTATCAAAGGACCTGACCAAATGTTGGTAAAGTAACTGAGGAGCTTGGGAGCCAGCAGCTGCCTGGCTGCCTTGCAGGACGGAGGCTGTCGCTCTGTGCGCCACCCTTCCCCACCTCTCCCTTCCCAGATGCACTTATTGCTGAAGCTGCTTTGCGATGAGGGAGGAGGCAGAGGCGCAACAGGAGCTGCTGCTCCTGCCAGCGCCAGCTGGGCAGCTCGCGGCGTGCTGCGAACGCAACGCCTCTGAATGCGCAGCAGCAGCCACAAAGGGGAAAGCCGTTGTTGCCGCTTGCCGCTGCTGTTGAGGCAGCAGAGCAGCATATCCCGAGAGCTGCTGCTGCAGCGGCTGCTGCTGCTTCGGAATCAGCAAAGCGGCCTCGTAGCCTGACGGCAAAGTCACAGGCTGCTGCTGTGGCTGCACCCGCACTGGTTCTGCAGCGACATCCAGCAACAGCTGCGGCTGCTGCGCCTCTTGCTGGAGCTGAGCCTGCGCAGCAGAAGGAGGAGCAGCAGCAGCGGCTGGATCCAAGAGATCAAACTCCCATGAGACCTTTGCCAATGACGATGGGGGTGGTGTTGCTGTCGCAACCTTGGTGCCGAAGCAAAGCAGCAAGGCTTGGTGCTCTTGCGACTGCTCCTCCTGCTGCTGCTGCTGCTGCTGCTTCTGCTGCTCTTGCAACTGCTCCTGATGGTCGTGCTCCTGCTGCAGTTGCGGCTGCTGCTGCTCCTGCTGCAGTTGCGGCTGCTGCTGCTGCTGCAGTTGGGGCCTAGCCTCAGCAGCAGCTGCCGCAAGAAGTGCTTGCGTCGCTGCTTCCGATGCAGCGCACGAAGAGGCATCCGTCGATTTGAGCTGCAACCCCGAGAAGAGCGCCGCTGCAGGCAGCCACGCCACAACCCCACCCCAGAAACTGCTAATTTAAGAGCTGAGAGGGCACATGCAGCAACGGGATGGCAGCAGGAGGACCTTGAAATTCCTCTCGCGACTCACTCGGGGGGGAAGGAGGCGCAGCGGCAGCTTCGTCGAGCAGCAGATCCAGGCTCTTTCCCTGCATGCATGCATGCAGAACGCAACAAAGCGCTCCATTCGCTCCACCTTGTTAGTCTCCAACGTGTGTGTGTGTGTTTCGAGGGGCAATAAAGCCTCAAGGAGACACAGGCTAACCTGTTCGAAGCCTGCTGGCGCCGCTGCGAGGGGAGAGGGGGGAAGAGCTGCTGAAGGGGCGTAATTGCTCAGCAAATCCTCGAGCAACGGAGACGCAGACTCAGCCTTTTCTGCGGCTGCTGCTGTCTCTTCGAGCATCAGGAGATCCTCAGACGCAGAGCAGGCAGCTGCAGCGGGGGAGGCTGTCGCTGCAAAGACTGTCGAAGGCGCCTCTGTCGCAGCAGTAACTCCCCCCGATGACGAAGTCAGCAGCAGCACCAAGATTTCCTCGGCGAGAGGCTTCAGCTGAGGCACTCGCATGCAGCCTTCGATTTGCTGCTGCAGATTTGCTGCTGCTGCCTCTCGAAAGCTGCACCGCCCCGAGGACCGTTGCAAATCCTCCTGCTCCAAGAGAGCCTGCAAGCACAGCAGCAAACGCTGCAGCACCTACTCTCGCGACTTGCTGCAACAGACACGAAACACGCTGCTGCAGCACCTACTCTCGCGACTTGCTGCAACAGACACGAAACACGCTGCTGCAGCACCTACTCTCGCGACTTGCTGCAACAGACACGAAACACGCTACTGCAGCACCTACTCTCACGACTTGCTGCGACAGACACGAAACACGCTGCTGCAGCACCTACTCTCACGACTTGCTGCAACAGACACGAAACACGCTACTGCAGCTGCAAGCAGCGTCTACACCAGCAGCAGTGGAAGCTTCCTCAGTGCGCCTCAGGCAAACCTTAATTCCATAAAGCAGTCGAAGCTTTGAAGACCACTGATCGTCTTGCGCGGCGAGACGTTGTTGCAGCAGGCAGCACAGCAGCAAGGGATCCAGCGGTGCTGCTCGCTGCGTGAAATCTCGCAAAGCGGCTGCAGAAGGACGCAGTCGCACCCCAGCAACTGCTGCTAGCGCTGCAACAACGCTGGCCTCATACTCGCCTGGAGTGCTGCTGCTGCTGCTGCTGCTGCTGCTGCTGCTGCTGCTGCTGCTGCTGCTGCTGCTGCTGATGGTCGCCTCCGCATGCGGCAGCCTCGAAGACGCAGAGCTCTCGTATCCACTGCAGACAGAGGAGGCTCCCCAAGGACCTCGAACGGGAGGTTGGAGGTGGTTGGGGTGGTAGTTTTGGTGCGGTTGTTGTCGCGCTGCGATTGAGGCGCATGAGGCCATGCCGCTGCTGCTGCCGCTGCTGCTGCTGCTGCTGCTGCTGCTGCCGTATCCGTATCCGCGATGCGCAGCAAACGCACTGCCCGCAGCTGCTACATAGCCTCCGTGGCTGCTGCTGCTGCTGCTGTTGCTGCTGCCAAAGTACGGAGTGCCTAGGGTGGGAAGATGGCGCTGCAAGGCTGCAGGAAGATACTTTGCAGCAGCATCAGCAACCATCTTGATGGCTTGTTCGCTCGCAACGAGAGCAGCGCTCGGATGCGGCTGCTGCAGCGTGTGACAGCTTGGGTTCTCAATGCCCATAAGTCGCGTGCTGCAGTAGCTGCTGGAGGGGGCCCTCAAGGGGGGCCCCCCCACTCCGCCCCCGAGGCCCCCCCCTCCGTCCCTGCTGGGGGTGGGGTTGGTGTTGTCGGAAAAGAGCAGCTTCAGCGCGGAGGCCGTTTCTGTGCGAACGGAGGCAACAGGAGCCTCTCCCAAAATGGGGTGGTGGGCAGCTCTGCGAAGCACGAGGACGCATTGGAGAAAGAGAGAGATGTACACATACATATGTACATAGATAGATAGCTATGTACAGAGGTACACATAGATATAGATGTGTAGATATAGATGTGTAGATACAGATAAATACAGAGTATATACATTTATATATATAGATGTATACATAGATGTATATAGATGAATAGCTCCCTGAACCTGGTGACTTTCACAATCGCCTCGCTTGCACGCGCTCACGCCAACTTGGCTACCCACAGCCTCGCTACTCGACGCGTGCGGGGGGTAGAGTATTGGCGCATGCGTGAAGGACGAACCGGAATGTCTCCAGAACGCGCAGAGGATTGGGATTAGCGCGCTGAAGCAGCAGCCGAAATCCTGGGGGCCCCTCCCTCAGCAGGAGCGTGCAAAGTCTTGCACATTTAAAGGCCAAGAAAGGATTTGCAGACGCTGTGGCTTTGGCTACCTTTTGCTGCACCGTGTCTACAGTGAACTGCAGCAGCTGCTGCTGCTGCTGCGGAGGCATCTGCTGCAGCTGCTGCTGCAGCTCTCTGAAACGAGAATATGGAGCCGGTTCCTCCTCTGCCCCTAGGAGGCGCAATACCAGCAGACGATCCATCTTGTTTGAAGGCAAGGGGGCCCTTGCTGCTGACGCCTTCCGTCTCGCTTTTGCTGCCGCTTGGATGCTGCTGTTTCGCAGCTGCGCGTGAGCGCGCGAGGCAAGGCGGCAGCAGCAGCAGCAACAACAACCGCCAAACTGCGCAGCAAGCAAGAAAAGCAGCAGAAGGCCGCCTGCCTCCTCCCCCGAGCAACCCTGTCTGCTGCCGGAGCTGCTGGAGTCGTCGTCGCTCTGTGCCGCTGGAGTCGTCGTCGCTCTGTGCTGCAGACGGGATAACGAGAGCAACTGTCAAAGACGCAGTTCTGCCGAGCCGCAGTTCGACAAGACAGCGCCGCGCAAAGGCAAGAGCATCAGCGCAGCGCCCGCGGCAGCAGCAGCAGCCGCCGGCCTGCAAACTGCTGCGACACACTTGCGTGTAAGACGCCAGCAGCAGAGAAGGAAAGGCAAAATTAAAATAATTTGTTCATCTTTTGCGCCGATTGGTGAGGGTGTTGCGGCTGCGGAGGCGGCGGCTTCCGCGTGAAGAGATACCAGCATGTGCTGTCGCCGCTGCTGCTGCTGCTGCTGCCTGCTGCACGGAAGCTGCAACTGGTGCTTTTGGTAAATTATTCGGATTGACCCCTGACTCACGAAATAAGAGCAGCACTGCTTCGATGATTCATGTTTCTGCCGTTGCCGCCTCTGTTGCTGCAGCATTCAAGCCCCCTGCTGTAGAGACTGCCGGTGCGCTGCCGCAGTTCCGCTGCATGGCAACGGCCGCAGCCGATGCAGCAGCATCTCTTCCAGGAAGAAGGCTGGATATGTTTCTTTCTTCTCTTGCGCTCATTCTGCAGGAGTCGTGAGTGTAGCAGCAGTACCGGCAGCAGCAGCAGCGAGATCTGCTGCTGCTGCTGGTGCGGTTGCGGTCGATGAGGCCGGTGACACAATTTGCTCATGAACAACCCACTGTGTGAGAACCAAAAACGTTCCTGACTTTCAACCCCTCCAGACGCCTTCTGATTTCGCAAATTCAAAGCTCGCGTGCCCTATGGAGGCTGACAAACGGCAAACTTGCGTGCCCAAATCTCTTCCCGGTGAGCTGTATTCAAACCTCCCGAGCAGCCTCCTCAGGTGCTTCAGAGCTCCCAGACACCACGCTTCTACGCTTTCTCTGCCCTTGCGCGTGCCGTCCATTCGATGTGCCCAGCAACGCCTACTGCCGCGGCTGCACCTGCAGAAGGAAGGGATGGAGCACCTCAGCTGCAACTTTCTCCAGAGGAACTGGAAATCTGCACTCTCTATAAGTGGCTCGACTCCCTCCCTCTCTCCAGGCCTAAGAGGAATCTGCACAGAGACTTTGCGGATGGAGGTGCGTTCCGACCCCCGGAGGCATGCGCCCCATACCGAGACGCTTGCATGTGCTAGACCAACAAGGCCATTGACGGGCATCTCCAGCAGAGAGCACAACAACCCCACCCCCTTCCGACCAGTTCAAATTTCGACTGCGATGACGGAGGATACACAGATTTCGAGCGTGTGTGTGCATCTCTGGACGTGGCCATGTGTGTATATTTTATGGGGTGTCTGTTTGTTCGTGTGTATGTCTCCATGAATACATGTGTATGACATGAATATACATGTATTCTTGTACGTGCATGCATTCATGTATGCTTGCTCGCGATCCTCAGTGTTGATGGCAGAGGTTGCCAACCACTGCATCCCGCGGATCGCAGACCTCCACAACTACAGGTGATCATGCAAAGGCTTTTTGTAAGAGCCTCTTGGAAAATCTGAGATAGTTCTTCTCGCTTAGCTTCACTCAGAAATCGTTTCTTATGGCCAGGCTTGTGCGCGGATGATGATGCAGCACTGCGAACTCCTTTCAGCAAAAACGCTACAACTGGGAAACCCTCGCAGGTTCGCCATGCCTTCCACGCCGCGCGCTTGCGAAGGGCGCAAGATGCAGCGCTGCTTCATGAGCACATAAAGCCTTAAAGCGTAGGTTTGTGTGGCTTTCATGAACAAAAATGCATGCTTGAGAAGAGGCGGCAGCCTCCACACCGCCGACTGCTGAGACCTCTGGGGTGTGTACGTACAGAGCGCGTCTTCAAGCGCATAGGCGTCAAGCTGAGTAGCACCGAGATCGAACGTGTGATTGCGGCTAAACCCGGTGCTGCGGAACGCATTATTCTGAAATTCAAACACAGAGTGCGAAATGCCGTGCATGCGCGCTGCTAGTGCACGGGTGTTGTTTGAAAGCAACCGCGTCCGCGTGTTGTATGAACCTCAAGGAGCGTCAGGTGTTCAAGTTGACTTGGAGTCGCTCGATTTCCCAGTTCAGGTTCCCGTTTTATTGTGCACAGGCCGAAGTGCTGAAGCGGCAAGCCACTCGCGACGTTGAAAGCACCCTGAGCGGCATGCGGCTGCGAAGTGAGAGGGTTCTTCCCACGCCTTCGGAGGAGGCAGCGCAGGACTGGTGTCTCGTGCTCGTTCGCAATCGTCTTGTGTGCAAGCGCGCTGCAAGTATTGCAGGGAGGTTTTCGCTTCCTGAAACATCCCTTCTGCCAAGCGTTGCGTTGTGCGTGTGTAGGTCAAGGATCCGCGGATTCCTCCTTGCCGACAAATCAGCAAGAGTGGATGGCTCTTTTGGTGAGCACCAGCGCCCCCCTCCCCCGCGTTTTTCTTGGATGAAATCTGTGTTACGTGCAGAAAGGATAATGTTTTTTCTGGCGGCTCAGAGAGGCGTCTCGAGGCGCGCACATGCACGCGTTCCTAGCTGTAAATAGGAAACTGGAGGGCTCAGGGGGTTCGAGACGTGTTTGCCACGTTTTATATATGCGAGGTGGCGCACGTCCACTGCCGTCAGAAAGCAGCCGCGTTCACACCGCTTTTTCGCAGGGGCGAGCACGGTGTGGGTTGGATGTGCGCAGGGGCGAGCACGGTGTGGGTTGGATGTGCGCAGGCGCATCGAGACTCAACCATTCAGGAGCTGGAGGAGACGAATGCAATTTTGACGGCTAAAGCTGATAGCCTGCAGAAGCTATTGCAGCTTCGGGTTCGTTCGTATGGGATAAACGCTGTTAGCCCTGTAGCGGCGCTTTGGCGCGCAAAGCTGCTGCTTTGCGGAGTACGTACAGCCCACGGCAAAACCCACCTTTACGCATTTTACTCTTCAGGATGCAAAGATTGAGCTGCTCACCAAGGCGCTGAGGGCCGCTGCGGCGCCACCCTCCACCTGAGTGCCTTTAAACGACCGCTGCGAAAAGCAAGGCTCCGAACTGGAGCGTGGTACCCTCGCTCGCCCCTTTCCGCGTAAAGGGGGGAAGGCGGGGAGAAGGGCAAGTAAAAGGCCTCCTAGTTGCGCACACCGTACCTCTCCTGAGTCGTCCTTCAGCCCTCCTCGGGAGCTGGAGGGGTTCTGTTGCTCTCCAAGGCACTATCCTTCGTAAAAGCAAGCACGGAACCGGAAGCCTTTTTAGTATTTGTTACCAGAGCCGCGAATGCAGAGCGAGGGGCGTGTGTCACAGAGGCCCTCGATGCGGCCACCCACCAGTGCAAGCCGCTCAGAGGCGGGAGGGGGGGGAAAAACGAGGAACTGGGGAGAAGGAGGGTCTGGGAGTAGCGTAACGGTCACCTAGAATGAGGGCTGCTTTGGGGCGGAATGCGAAAGACTTGCTGATGAGGCTTAGAGGGCGGGAAGGAGGGAGGGAGCAGCGCTAGAGGTCGCCTACAGGTTGGTCTTTTGAGGCAAGGGAAATGCCCCTCAGAAATTCTCTGTCGACGTCAATGGCTCGTTGCTGCTTGAAATAGGCGTAGAAACCCAGGAAGCAGAGCGCGAGCACAAAGCAGCAAAACGAGAGAATCGCGAGGCCTAAGGGCAGAGCAGCAGGAACCTGATTGGCGCAGCTGTGTCAATCGCTGAGGCATGGGGAAGGCAGAGGCACGGCGGTGCCGAAGACTTTGCGAGTGCGTGTAGAGAGAGGGATGAGGATTGCTCAGAGCAACAACGGGATGTAGAGGAAGTTCTGTTAAGGCTTGGAGCTAAGCTCCACCACATATTTTTGGACGTGCATGGCTTCCAAATTCTTGTGGCGTATCGCATGCCGATTGCGTTGGCAGCACTCCACATGCTGAACACTGCATTGAAAACAGCACATCAGGAAGACAAACTGGCGCTAAGTTCTAAGCCTGTGCCCCCGGGGATTCCGGCACACGCCTCGCATGGCTGGCCCCTCTCTGCCCTTCGAAGCCATCTCTTGTGTTTGCTGCGCTTCAAAATCTCCCATTCGCAAGCACACAAGGCTGTTCGCGGGGTGTCAAAGTCTCAGAAAGTCAGAGCCTGCCTCAGGGGTGTAAGGAAGTAGCTTGCTCCGTACCGAAGGACATAAAAAGCGTGATTTCGGTTGTGGTAGGCGCGGCTTCCTGAGCTACGGGGTCATCGCTGCGCCCGCACAGACGGCAGCAGGCTCATCCCTGTGACTATTTTTATTTCCAGCTTCGTGGTTTGCTTAGGCGTCGCGCCGTTTGCGTAGGCAGCGCTGGCAAGTGCGCAGGGAACTGGGAATTTCTGGCTGGGCTGATACGGCGAGGGAAGCGCCTTTCTGAGGGGGTGTCGGCAGCACATGGGAGCTTGCGAGGAGAACAGGAGGTAGAGAGTTCCTTTGAGAGGATAGCGCTTCCCCATGCGAATGGAGGTAACGACAAACATGGTGGAGCTATAGCTGATGACGGCGATTGCCTGGTACAACGCAGCGCACAGCCAGGGGATCTCGCTCGTAGCAGTAGCCAGCCCTCTAGAGGCGCCCACATGCTGACCCCCTTGAGGCTTCAACGTGCAGTCTTTCGCGAAGCTTCCCCCACCCCGCTTCCTTCAGGAGACACCTTAGGGAGCGCCTAGCTCTGCCCAGCAGAAATCGGCGGGGGGATTCGAGGCCCTCCACAGTGTAGTGCAGAGGCAAAGCTGAACCCCAACGCGTACATAGACATCTTTGCCGTTGTTTATCAGGAAGATGAGCGACATCAAAAGCTGCGGCAAATCCTCCACCACCCGCATCAGCAGCTGGAAGGTCCACGTGAGGCGCTCGAACATGAAAAGGGCCTTTGAGACATACACACAGAATGCATGCACAACGAGATGTCCATCCACCAGAGGCCTCTCTCAGGGGGCCACTACAGGCAGGCAGAATCACAAAGCTAGCGTTCTTAGCCGCCTCTGCAGGTTCTTAGCCCTCAGACAGACTAGTGGTGTCAGCGGAGCAGCAGCGATGTCACGGGGGTTGAGCTTCTCCCGAGGCGCGCTGAGGGGAAAAAGGCGCCTCGACGTCGTACCTGCGGACAGTGAACTCCCGATCGCTTTATCTCCCCAAACACGGCAAGCGGCGAAAATAGCCTCAAGCCTGTTGCACGGCACACACGCACAGACACACTAGAGATACACACAAGCAAACGCATACGCACACACGTGCGTATATAAATATATATGTACACTTACACATGCATACGTAGACACATGCATATATGCATATGGGTACACTTACACATGCATACGTAGACACATGCATATATGTATGTGTGTGTACACTTACACATGCATACGTAGACACATGCATATATACATATATATGTATATGTATGTACACATACATACGTACGCATAACTATACACATACATACATGCTCGTACCGAGAGGCAAAAAACGCCAGTGAGGCCCCAAGTGGTCGCTCTCTATTGCTTGGGTGTTTTGGGCTGACTGTTTGCCCGTGAGAGCATCAGATAATGGGGCAGATGCATGCGCAACTGGCCGAGTCAGAGGATCAGGCAGGTATTGCTCCCTGTCTGTCTCTCTGTGTTTGTCTCTGTCTGTCTCTCTCTCTGCCTCTGTCTGTCTGTCTCTCTGTCTCTCTCTCTGTCTCTCTGTCTCTAGCGCAGTACTCCTAGGTGCAGCTCTAGCGCACGATGAGTCCCTCACTCTCTCCTTTGATGCGATGGTAGATGATGTAGCGCTTGCACGCTGTTGCAGTCAGAGAAATGATGTACGTGCAGCAAAGCCAGAGCAGCACGAACCGCGCGCTTCGCATTTCGTGGAAAGGGCCGCGACGCCACAGCACCAAGGACACACGCAAGATGAAGAATAGGTCTGAGCAGAGCATATATATATATACATATATATATATATACATATATATATATATACATATATATATATACATATATATATATACATATATATATACATATATATGTACATATATATGTATATATATACATGGGCCAAAAGGGTGCAGCAGCCTGGAGAGCTGGGGTGTACGTACTCATCGCCTTGGCTGAGTGGGGTGTCTCACTGCCCTGACGTGGCACACTTTGCAACTTGCATTCGACGCGGGAAAGGGAGCTGCTGCAGTGAAGGCCCTTCGAGGAGCGATGCCGAAGGCTGTGCCTGCGTGTGCTTTTTCGTGTTTGCGGCTTACCGTTGATCATGTCGAAGTGATCGAGAGCCTCGATAAGGAGCAGCTTCGCTTGTTTCTGCTTAACGGCGTCGCCTCTAAAGAAGTGAGGGCACACTTCTCCGAGGAAATTCGCCCAGCCACAATGCAGGGGAGTGTTGTGGCCAGTCTGCGCAAGATCGCAACTCACTCCGCTACACTCCAGTGCTCTGAGCAGCGCCGCTTCCCCTCCGTGCATGGCGTTGGAGCAAAGGGCAGGGGGTGAACGAAGCTTGCCTCTTCGCTTAGAAGACTTTCAGTCGAAAGACCAGTCCATGCAGACGGCCGAAACAAGCCTCTGAAGCCACAGAAGCTGGCTAAAAAAGCCTCCCCGATCGAATTTCAAGGCTCTCGCAGGTCGGTAAGCGAGCAAGGCTTGCAGCAGGGGCGTCTGAGCTCTTAGAAGGAGCGCATTGCTGGGGGGAGGCGGGAGGAGGGGGAAGGAGGTGACTCCGGTTGCACTGGCTGTGTGTGTGTCTGTGTGTGTCTGCGTGTGTCTGCGTGTGTCTGTGTGTGTCTGTGTGTCTGTGTTAGTCTGTGTGTGGATGTCTACGCTGTAAGGTGCTGATCTTACCCTCCCCAGAGACTCTGTCGTGGACTGCGCAGAGGGTGGTGCTCCTCAGCAGGAGCTGCAAGCACACATTGATGACCAAGGGTGCATTATACACTGCACAGTCGAGACTCTCCGTATGTGCTGTATCGCGTCGACTCTTGCTTGGCGCTTACGGGAGTGGTGGGGGCTTGGTTCCTCAATGGTGGCAATGAAAGACTGCAACTCCTGATGACTCTCCGCTGCAGTGCCCGCTATCGGCAGCGTCAGCGGAAAGGGCGCTGTCTGCTGAGGCGCATGTGGCAGCGCCTCGGGAGTCTGCTGCTCCTGCGACAGCTGCAGCTGCTGCCTTTTCTGGAGGGGCAGCTCCATCCGCTGAGGCTCCTGATTCAGGGGTCTTTGCAACTCTCTCAACCGTCTCGCTGCTGCTCTTGAGTTGCTGCCAGCTTGAGTGGCCGTCCTGCCCCCTTCACAGCCTTGCTGCTGAGCGCTGTGCTGCGTTTGCAGGAGCTGCGGAAGGCGCCTTTACCGCGACTGCCCCTACCTCCGCCTTCAATCAGCCGTCCTTCGAGTGGCGCTGTGCAGCAAGATTCTCAGCTGGCTCGCTGCAGCCATGCGACCCACGAAATGGCGAACTCACTAACTCGCAACGCTGGCTAGCTGCGGACAGAAGGCTCGGAGACACTCAGAGCGAGGGCGACTGCTGTCGGCTGCGGGAAAGCGGCTAAACCCCGGAGCGCAAACTCCGCAGCGCAGACTCTGAATTTCGTGGAACCGTAAAAAGTCTTTGTTACACGTAAGAGGCAACAAATGGGATGATGGGAGCCGAAGAGAGAATCGCGTCTTTCCCAGCAGCGCCACGCCACGTGTCTCTAGCGCTGCATCAGGAATTCTGTAATTCTGATATTGGCGCTCTATTTAACTAAAAATAATGCAGCCGCAAACCCGCAATCCCCAAGACTACCAAACTCAAACCGTCAACATAGAAACCGTACGACGACGCGCCTCGTCCGCAGTCGGCTGCTGCCCGCGCATCGTCCTTGCCGATAAGTGTCTGCTCCAACATTGCGAAAACAGCACTGTTTTCCCCCCAAACCACGAATTACTGAGCCTTTTAATTTTCAGTGTACCTGTCTGCATCATTTGCGCATGCTTTCGGCGACTTCCCTCCCATCCCGCAGCCTGCACCCTGAACGCTCGACTTCCCTCCGGATGGGAGCTTCTTCGGCGGGAACTCTTCGGCTACTCGCAGTTGCTCTCCTAATCCGAATACATCCCCGAGCAGCAGCAGCAGCGACGGTGACGAGAGCAGCTTGGCTCCACACTCAGCTGCTCGCAACGCACCAGCTCGAGCAACGTCTGTACACTGCATCCCGCGCTTGCGTGCGAAGCAGGGAGAGCACATCCAGCAGCGGCAGCGACGGCGGGAGGGGCTGCTCGCTGCATGCATGCGTCCCGGCGGCGCTTCCGTGCTACGCAGCGGCAGCAGCAAACGCAGCAGCAGTCGCGGCACCGGCCCGCGCATCCCCAGGAATAACGAGAACGACAAGGAGCACGACAACAGTGCTGCTCCTTGCTGGTGGCTGTTCTTCGCGTGCGCGCAGCAGATCAATGTCTTCCAAGCCGAAGGCAAGGACGAAACAGGACTGGGAAAGTGGGGTGTACGGGCATCGCTTCCTGAGTTTCAAGGTTTGGGGCCGAGTGCCGCATGCATTGGCGCACCCCGCTTTGGGTGTTGTTTTGCTCATGCATTTCAGGGAAAAAAAACTCCTGCAACACTCAAAAGCAGTGGCGGCAAATCTAACATTCAGATCCACACAGACGAGCTACCCAGGTTCATGCGAACGACAGCAGATGGCTGCGTCCTGCTGCAAATCCATGCCACTCCTGGCGCGAAGACGTCTTCCATAGGCGGTACGTGCGCCGTTGCACTGCTTTGGAAGGCGCTGCTGGGAATGCTGCTTTTGTCGCTTCGCCTCTTGTTCGGCAATAAGTTGTCTTTTTTATGGTGCTACTGCTGAGGCTGCCGCTGCGCTCACCGTTGCAGCATTCGGGTTTGCAGACAGCGAGCTAACTGTGCATATTGCAGCACCTCCGAGGGAGGGCGCAGCCAATGAGGAACTGCTGGAATTCGTTGCGGATGCATGTGAGTACCTCCTTCCCCTCCCCCGCTTGTTGTGAGGCATCTGTTCCGGCCCGTTGCTACTGCTGCTGACATGCAATGTCTGTGCAAAGTCGCGTGCCTCGCTGTGCTCGCACGGCTTTCACTTGATGCTTAACGATGGGGAAAATGTGGCATGTGGGTGGTTTCGCTTGCTCGAGCTTCTCGCGGACCGGTGTCTGCGAACTACTGCTTGTGCGGCACCGACGCTGTTGGAGAGATCAGACAGTAATTGTCTCAAGGCTGCTATACGTGCTGCTTTTGCTGCTGTTGCAGTGAAGATTCGTAAGGGGAAGGTATCGCTTGAGACAGGGCACAAGTGCAGGTCCAAGGCAAGTAGCTGGCCCTGCTCCTCCAAATGCTGTTGCTGGAAAAAAGGCCTCTTTTTGCGCCGCTGCTCCACCCGCTGCAAGACACTACCACTAATACAGTGCACTTGCGTCAATGCTCGTGCTGCTCACATTGGCCTTGTGCTGCAGGTGATCCGTGTCGCCGAACTGACGCCTACGGAAGTATTGCAGCGGTTGCAGCAGGAGGTGCATTGACAGGTGGGCACTGTACAGGCAGCTGTGTGGCGCACCCTTGGGAAGCCCATCGCAGCAGGAATCTGCTTGCTGCTTTCATTGAGACTCCAATTTCACAAGCTGTGATAGCCGCCCTGAAAAGGGGCTGCTCCTCAGGGAACGCCTAGAGTAGACGACTGCCTTAGCAGCGCACGCCAAGAGACAGCTGTCTCTGCACTCCACCATCTCACAGGAGAAATCACTGTGCGCAAAGCTCAAGATTTAGGATTTGGCCTGGAGTGGAGACTCCAAAACAAGCAGCTTGAAAGTGACACAAGTAGTGACAGCAATAGCGCGAACAGCGACTGCATGGCACGCGGCAGCAGCACCAAATGGCGCTGCCAAAAATTTTGGATGGATAGGTGCATGGGGCCTGCAGCGATGTAGCGATGCGCGATCTGTTGAGGAGGCAGTTAAACGAACAACCACCAATGGAAACAGCGGCGGGAAATGTAGCGGGCTAAGGCGAACCTAAGCACTTCCTGCTGCACCAGTTTCTTCTTTCAGGTTGAGCGAATGACTGACTATTTGGTTTGGCTGCACGCACATCGTGATTCTTGTTGAGCAGCGTTTGCTCAATTCAATAAGTCGCAAATTGTGTGCATGTGCGCTAGATGCTATGTGAAACTGGCGGTGAACGCCCTGATTGCTCATAGGGTGTAGCAACAAGCACCCTGGCTGTTTGTCCTCTGGCATGTCAGAAATACTGAGAAGCGCCAACAGAGGAATTGAGGACGTTATTAAAAGCGTACAACATTCTTGAGCTTGAACAGCAGCGAGCTGATGAGAGAGCAGTGGCTGCAGAGCTGGTAGAACACCACAAATGTCGACCAATAACCTGAGATGCGTCAACGTCGACGATGCTATGTTGACCTAGTAAAGTGTGATGGCCCTGAGTTTAGGCAGGTACTCAAACCTGTTATCAGCCTTTTGGAAGTGCAGCTCGCCTCGCACCCCGCAGATGACCAGGCACGACTGTGGCTCGTGGCATGTTTACGGGATGGGAAAACAATTCCATTAAGGCTCTATTCATGTACAGGAAATCAGAGGCCTGCAGGGATTATTGCAGCTGAAGATTCTATACAATCCCTTACTCATCAATACATACCGAGATTAACTCGCCAACACACTTTGGGAGAACCCACAAAGCTTGTGCACGAGGAGCTATCAAGAGATCGATACGTCTCAAACTGTGTAATTCGGTTGGCAAAAGCCACAGCGTACAGGAACAGCTGCTTTCATCAGTGTCTTACTTTCAAGCCTACGTGGAAGTTCACGTCAGGCGGTTGCAGGATGTGCAGCGGCTCAGCAACCAAACAACTGGCTAGTGGGGCTTTCACAAATGACGAACTATCTGAAGTATCAAGAGCAAAGAAGCCCAAATCCAGCGCCACTGGGTAAAAAAATAAGTCAATGCAAGAAATAGAGCTCGTGAATCTCGGGGTCTTCAGGCTGCTCAAGCCCAGAGTCAGGTCGACCGGAAAGTAAGCCGGGGGGAACCGGCATTTTTGGACAGCCCTATACAGCCCCTCAACGGCTCACACGCTTTTAATACGGGAACTTTTGTCTTATAATCCGGAATTGAAAGCGCATGCAAAGGTCAAGGAACTTGAACAACGTAACACGCCCAAGTATAAGCGGGCTGCTTGGCAAGGAAGTTCGGCGTGTCCAGAGCACCCTTGCCACTACACGCCGGCTGCAGGGCAGTGAGGAGGCCTAGAGACAAAAGAACCGCAATTGGATCCCCACAACAACTAAGCTATGCGGATAAAGTTTGCACTCACGGCTGCGAATTGCTAGCGTTACCTGACAATGGATTGAAGTAAAATCTACCACTGGATGAGACGGCGTATAAGTGCAGTGTGCTTGCTCTCTCGTCAGCGCAGTCTTTAAGACCCAATCTTACCGACGGTCGGCAGACCGCAAGGATTGGGAAACTGCAGCAGTTAAACACCACCTAAAATTGGAGTTGGCTTATATTAGCATCGTCACTTCAATATTGGGCCCGTGAACCATAACTCGATCCGAGGAGTGGCATGGGTGACCTAAGGGAGGGCCTGCATCCATCAAGAGCCACGCTCTCTAGAGGCTATTGTGGCAGGATGCGCTGGAAAGCACCATTTTTTCAATCCTCAACAGCCATCAATTCAACCATGGCGAGCGGTGTAAAGTTAGTGGTTTAACTAGGTAGAACCTGTTCCGTTGGGGGGCTCTCACGAAGTTGTAAGAGAAGACGATTTTGAGCTCGTATCCTGTCGCATGGTCTCTGCCTTTAATCCGTTTAGGGAGTACTATTGGCACTTGGGTAAGTAAATGCAACAATGATTTAATACTTCAGGTAGAAGTGGCAGATATGCTATACAATGACGAGCTGCCAGCAGACTGGCCACCTGATGGTCGTCAGGCATACCAGGGTCAGCTAATCCTCGTGTTAGCCTGAAGGCTTGTTTCGCGACACTGATCACTCCTATTTAATGGGAAGAAAATAGAGCTGCAGGCAGACGATCCGCTGGAAGAAGGCAAGTTGCAGGAATAATCCGGCGCTTTGGGGCATACCTGTGGTGATGTGGAACAGGGATGAACGGTGGCGCTTGAAAAATAATGTCAAGCTGCTGAACGGCGTCAATGTAAAGCAAAACTTTTCGGTGCCTTATGCTGGAGAAATAGTTCAGTAACTAACCGGATTGATTGCCATCAACGACTTCTCCCAAATCCCCATTCACAAGGTTGTAGGCACACAGCAGCGTTTCACACTTGCTCTCATAAACTTGGGCATACCTGTATGCCAAGTAAATTTGTTCACACTTTATCTGAATTGCCATCGTAAGTAAATCGGGCTGCATATGGGCCTATCCAGGAGAAGTATGTCAACGAAGTCTTAGCATCAAGGCAGTTTGCTCAAAAGCACCTTCAGCACCTACGACTCTCAATTCAGGTGTTTCAAGACTAGTGGCGGTATGTGACCGCGAGAGGGTGTTTAATTGCGATTTTCAAAAAACTGTTATAAACGACTTTCGTGTTTTGGCTGTTGGAATTGAGCAAGTTCCAGTAAAGTGAAACTAGTCAAAGCTTTGCCTTCAACTTCACGCACCCACAAGAGCGCTCAAAAGCTCGGTGAATTTGCAACTGATTACACAACTTTTTATTCCTGAAGTTGCCCTGAGTGCTACTGGCTTGACTGATCTACTTTAAAATGCAATATTTTACCTCTACTCTGGACCATGATGCAGCAGCAAGGAGACTGATTGGCGGCCTTCCAGCTCCTACGGTACGCACGCTGCCGGATTATGCATGCCATCCTTTCCCTGCAGTCAATTCTAGCAATACGAGACTGGAAGATATTTTCTCGACAGACTACAAGCTCTTCAAAATGGCAAATCATTGCTTTTCACTCTCATCGCTACACCGAGACCAAGCAGCGACATCAACAAGAAAATGAAGGCTTATGCG